GATTGATCTAAAGCCTGATGTATCCTTTGCTTTCCCACCACCTACCCTCTGTTTCATATTGATTATGATAGCTTTAATAACATTACTGTTGGCACTAGGGCTGCCGAGTCTGGGTCTTGAGAGAAAGGCAGACCCTGACCTTAACAAACCCTGCCCCTTCTGTGTATAGGTCCAACCAGGTCTGGGTCTCTGGGTCAGGGTCAGGGTTGGTGTACCCTGACCCTGAACCTGACAAACCCTACCTGACTTGTACTCTACCCTCATCTTGCACATATAGATATGCATATAATGAATGAGGTATATACCTCTCTCTCAGTTCATTTGTACATTCTAACATGAAACCCTCTATCACTTCAACCCTCCACTCGTGCTTTCCAGGGAAGAGTAAAATGTGGACAATGAAGAGGATCAGGATGTAGCGATGGCGGCATCCGGTTTGGCCTTCCAGTTTGAAGCTGAACTGGACCAAACCAAATACCGTGTAGGGTAGAGCAGAGGTCAGGGTCAACTCGCAGGGTTTCAAGATAGGGTCTGTCAGGGTCAAGATACACCAATTCTTGAATCCGGCCAAACCCAGACCCTTTCTGAATCAACCTGGAGGGTCCAATAAGTTTTTGTGATTTAATAATTTCCTATCTAAATATGATTTTATGACTTTTTTAAGAGAAAAAAAAATCAGATGTCACTCAAGTCACTCAAGTGACATGTGACATATGAGTAGATTGTATTCAATATCCTTAAATTCTTGAGGAATAGGCTACATATACTATATCTGAGCCCATATCATATAGTAAAATGTATATTATGTTAAAATTATTGTTCCAAATACATCTTCTGCTTCCCTGTCTGCAACCCGTGGGTCAACCCAGACCCGGTTGGACTCGTATCCAGAAGAGTCAGGGTTAGTCAGGGTCAGGGTCAGCGCTCTTGACTTTTCTCATTTCCGCTGTCACCCGGAAATAGGAATTGTGGAGCAAGGGATCGGACGATCGCTGGACTTTGCTGGAGCAGTGTGACGCAAGCCGCCGTGACGCAAGCCTGATGCAAGCCGCTGTGACGCAAGCCTGACGCAAGCTGCCGTGACGCAAGCCGCCGTGACTCCCGAGTAAAGTATTCTCTCCCCTTTCCCTCCTCCGTCATCTCTCTTTCATCTTAAATCCAGGCACTCCCCGCGCACCATGCTCTCCATACTCACTGTAGCCGTGACTATGACAGGAGGCCAACCTGTCGTTTAGTGACAGTCAGACTTAAGCTTTTCGGGCAGCGTGGGCTAGTACCGGCCCGGGTGCCACTCAAAGTGCTGCAAGGCGACGTGGGGTGACCGGGCAATCAGTCTGGGAGTACTTAATGTACATTCAATGTCACTTGTGGATTATAGTACTTGACATTGTCTGCCTACTGCATATGAAACTGACTTGTCCTGCCCAACTTCGAGGACTTGTGAATTCGGTACATGAGTGACCCAATTGTGACCCCCGGACATCCGGCCGATCGCCGGCGATCACCGTCTGAGATATTCCTTTTCCGGGTGACAGCGGAAATGATAAAACTTCACAACTCAGGGTCAGGGTCAGCCTTCTGAGACCCGGACCTGTGCTCAACCCTATGAACGCGCATTCAAGTTCAAAGTGTAAGGCCTGTCCTCTCCAGCACTGGTATCAGGCCACCGAAGGCCCGCAACACACAGTATGTAATGATAGGAACAGACACCCTAATAGGGGGAATGCACACATAGAAAGCACGTGACCAAGAAAGATGTGTCAGACCCAACACTGACTTTAATGGGCCCTTTTGGTTCGACTTGAACCCGCCCGCCATACTTATGGCCCGACAATTCATCTGTTCTGTTCTGGGCACATGTTTCTCAAGAGAAGCCTGGCATAGCCCGACCTGAACCCTGACAGTCAGGGTCAAGGTCAGGGTCAGGGTCAGGGTCTGAGTCAAGTTAAACAGACCCAGACCTGTACCTGTGCTCTATCATACAAGTGGTAAGCAGTGAACAGGAGGGGGAAATTCACAACAATATAGTGTTAATACTATTTGAGCCAGGCTAGCCCTAAACTAACAAAGCTAATATTTTGGGAGTATTTCACCTTTTGTGAGTCAACTATTATAAATTTTGAATAGGTTTGAACTGAACACTTACTCAATCAATGAAGCTCTACTACTATGTGCAATATGGAGTCATTTGGTTGACTTTGGATTTTGAAGTCAATTCAATAAACCTTGACTTGTAGTGAAAGTCTGTGGTTTTGTAATCAACCATATCAGGGTTGAAATCAAGTTTGTAGAATTTGGAAATACCTTTCTGACCATATCCAACTTTTGATGAACAGCCTAGAAACCATCAAGTAATTGGGTTAACAATCTAATAGTCAAAATATATTTTGTAATAAAGTCTGTGGTTTTGTATACAATGAACTTTATGTTGAATACCAGTTTATAGGCCAATTGAATACCTTCCTGCTCATATATAACATGTTAGGAACGGATAAGAACTCATTAAGATATGACCCTACCACTGTTTTGAAAACTCAGGGTTGGGTCAGTAATTTGCATTTTCTGACTCAACCATTGACCTTGAAGCATAGGTCTAAACTGAATAGTAACATGTATTAAGGGTCCCTACAATCTGGTAACATTTATTAGAAAGTTTATGTAAAGTCATTAGAAAGTTTGTGTAAAGTCATTACAAAGTTGTTATCCCATTCATGCTAATTATGTATTTAAATATGTAGCTGGAGACTGAACTTGTAGGGTCTACCCGGAGATCAGACCCTTGGGGTTGACTTGAGGGTTAACTTGAGGGTTGACCCTCAAGTCACTGATATACATACAATATCTCTTACAATTTCTCCAATGTATATACTGACAGTTTTAATCACAATTTCTGGCATGAATAAATTTGAGATTTCAACAATGATTTCATTGTACTGTAAATCTACAGTTTCAGCAGTGGAGAAATGTAAATAGAAACAAAGAGAATCTATGTGCATTTCTCCACTGCTGATTTCCTTTGTATCATCTGTGCTGAAACTGTCAGTGAAATCCTTTGTTTCACTGTCAGTTTCGCCACATTTGATATGCGTGATATCATGACCAAATATATGTGCACAGATATCAACCATTTCAGGCATAGTTTCAGTCCCATAGATAGTTTTCATCTCAGACTGCCTAAAACTAGTATATATTTGACTAAAATCATTCTCAGTTTCAAAAATGTATATTTTGGGCAAATCTCCATAGGTTGATTTGGTTCTAGATTCTACCAGAATCTAGCACAGTTTCTACTTCAAGGGATATTTTACCAAATCCGGTGTGGATGTTACAATGCCACTCTCACTCCAAGCAGTCATCTGTAACGGGATTCCATTCTTTTGTGGTAGTCCCGAGGACCTTCTCCGAGCAGAGGGATGGGCAAGTGTTGTTGGCATGCGCGAGCTTGGCTTGACAACTTGGTAGCGCTCCAAGTTTGAATGGTGTTGGGGTTTGCATCCTAATACAATGGAAGAGTACCTGAGCTCCTTTGGTGCGCAATGGTCAGGTACTTGGCTTTTACTCAGCAAATACTACAGACGATCCTGATGTCGAAGCGTTGCTCGCAGACGACAACTCGATCCTTGCTGTGTCTCCAAAGTGGGTCGGTCTATTGCTCAAGCACCAACTCGCTGCCCCCAAATACTGCCAGCCTAGCCCTATCGACAAAGTTTGTCTCTCCCCAGCACGAGGCGGTTCTTCCTTTTGACTACTTTCGGGCAGGTATACGACGGCGAAGCGCCCTTTGAATATCTTGTTCTCCAGACGGACAAATCCCCCCTACTCCCACCACGCCTCATCACCTCCTCGATTCCTCCTCATTTGACCTATGCCCTCTCAGAAAGAAAGCTTGCAAAAGACAGATTTTCTGGGTCACGGCGCCACCAACTTCTCCATGATCTCCTGGACCCAATGCCCTTTGAAACGCGCCCCTGGCCCGAGCTCTCCAGCAGGGAAATCAGTGACACTTTTACGAAGGCGAAAATGGCATTCAACTGCTGGATTGCCGAAATTCCGCCTACTGCATTCATCGCCGGCGACCCAAACGCAGAGCTCTCGCCATCCGAATCCTCTGACTCTTCGTTATCTGATGATGAGCCGGTGTCGGACGACGACAGCTATGTCTCTGACTCCCAGCGTGAACAGCAGGCCAACATGGAGGAGCGGTGGCGCTATTCGAAAGCACACCAGCAATGGACAAGAGCTATGATGAGATGGGCAAAAACGACGGAACTGTTAGTGAACGAAACCAACGATGTACCAATCCAGGCGGAGGATAAAGAGGAGCCCAGGCCGATTTCAAGTATGGATTTGGGGAAACCAGACTATTTACAAGTACTTCGCCACGTCAAGCAGAATAAACGACGTTAATAGATTCGTGTGTGACTTGTTGCACATGGATATGACTTGACGCGTCGGTCAGGTGCTTAGCTCGCGTCCGATGATGTGGCGCGCATTGCTGCAGAATATTCCATGAGTTTGCATGAGAGAGGATGTTCCGAAGCCAATGTGCTATCTTCTCGACACCAATCTCCTCAAACGACCGACTAAGTACTGACAATCCCAACGGTGTTACGGTGTAGAAGGACTCTTGGCAGTTTGTTACACGACATGAAGAGCAAACGGAATGCAGATCTAGTCAGTTTGCATTTGCATATGGTTGCCCGAGTTAGAGGTGAGATTGGTAGGACCACGACAATAGCTGAAGTATTGACCGAGAATCTAGTGCAGACACTCTGACCAACAGCAAGGTTAGAACAACCAGAGTTAATTCACGGGTTCAAACTATCCGAGTCCACCGTTCGAGCTACACTCTTCGAGTACAAACTGATGTGTCAATGCCACAACAAGAATGCAGTCTCAGTCTGGGACGGGATACGCACTTAAATGCGTTCAAAAGTTATAGCGTTGAGTGAACGCCTATCCATTCATTACGTCTTATTTACGATGTACCACAGTCAAGTTCAGTGAGGTAGGAAGTTTAGCCAATTCAAATCCGGAATGGCATTGCGCACTTGGTTCGTCAAGTCCGTTCTTGTGACCGACACGCCACGAGAGTACACCGAAGCCGGTGTTTCGATCTGTTGGGTTTGCCCAGCACGTTGGAATTGGACCTAGCAATGCTGAGCATATGGTAAAAAGCGCCGCCACCACATCTACTGACCTGATCAAGCAGAACCGGCCACGAAAGATCGACGACCGCGGCGGTGGTCTGGCCACCGTTGTAGAGAGGGATGAGGTTGTCAAGTTGATTACTGGCAAGGTTTTAGATATTTCGCATGAAAGTCGCTGATCAAACGCACCGAATGAATGGCACAACGTTGCTCATGACCTGAAATCAGGTTGGTCGTGGTCAAATATGTTCACAATCAACACATACCGAATGCACCCACGTGTCATAGAGAGCTGGAACATTGACATTAGTGCGGTTTGGAGCGTCAACAGTCGCTGCCTAGAAGCGTTTCAACAGAGGAGCATTCGCCAACAGAAAACAACTAACGCGATAAGCAGTCTGCCAAGCCGACCATACCGACCGAACACAATTGCTCTGTTGCAAGAAGATCTGGCTGATATCGTACTCGTTCAAGAATGACGGGATTCCCGCAGCAGCACGTAGAACCGCGATTTGTTTTTGGGGACAGTAAGAGGTAAACTTGTCGTTAGTTCGCAGAGGCTGGGCGGTTTTCCCGATGAGGGCTGCTGCTTGCGAGAAATAGGCAGTGTTTTTCATCACGTTCGCATCTTGCTCGAGCACGACCATCGGCGACTGTGCTGCGTTATTAGGATAGCACGTGCCCAGCATGCCAAACAACGAGTTTGTGCCCCAGGCCGCCTAAGTATTTTCTGTCAGCTCAATAGAAAGAGCATACCGAAACCACATACAGGATTGTAGGCTGGTCTAGATTGGAAGTTTGTTCTAACCTAACAACTGATCAGCACGCGGAATTTTCAAGAGACTCAACCAACCCAGGCACACCAGGTGTTGTCTTCATCAGTGTTTCTCCACAAGTCAGGGCTCCGTTCCAGGAAGTCAATGAACAGAGCAACCATTGATTCCTATGTGCTCGGTTACCGCAATTCAATGTTCGCCCAAGTCACCATACCTCATAAGGATGTTCTCTGGCATAGATATTTTTGTTACCACCACCGGATGGGATAGTCAAGTAAGGCTCTCCATTCTTCTTGTTGCCTAGATTGACAGGAACTTGAGGACTCCAACTACCCATGGTGGGATTCAAGGCGGCTGGGTTGTCAAGATCATAGTAACTGATAATCTACAAAGTGTAAGCTCTCGCAACGGTAGAAAAAAAAGGCCAACCGGAGTTTTGTCGTACCCAGGTATAGGAATACTGATCGATGAGCAACTTTCCAGGGACACCGACCGGAGGACTTTGAGCCCATCGATGAAGCTGGTGTTCTTGGGACCGTTGAGAACGAGCTCTTGATCTATCGCAACGGAGCGCTTGGCCGTGATCAGAGCGTTGTTGATGGGATCATTTCCTGCATCACTGTAGCAGTAGCAGTCTACAACCAAATTAGCGTCAGAAATCATGAGTGGCATGCTCGTACCCGAACCAGCATCGGTACCAGTGATATCGGTCCCAGCATCAGGACAAAATAGATTGCCTGGCAAAAACGGCACGCCACCACGCTTCTCTAGTCGCTCGGTCAAGTTGGACGCCACGGGTAGGGTTGGCGGTGCCACCCAGCCTTCGGCTTCAGTCTCGTACACTGCGTAGACAGGATATGGCGAGCGATGTGATAACTTGAGAGCTGAGCCAGTCTCGCCTTGACCGGTAATAAGACCATCGCGTTTTGATGACCCAGAAGCTTGCTGTTGTGAACCGAAGCATTTACCGCCGAAGGGGAATTGAGTTGAATAAAATTGATAACTGATTGCATTATCTCTCCAGAAGAGGACGGAGCCCGTGAGTCCTTGACTTGGATTAAGATTGCTTTCTAGTAGTAACAACTCGGCATACCTGCATTGAGATCCACACCAAAGTACTAAATGCTGTGAGACAAAAAATCCAACCGATAGTGATTGACTTACAGGATTGACGCAGAACTGGGGAGCAACCGAGCTGGAAACACTGCCAGTGACCCCGACTCCAGCATACATGTCGGCTTCAACAAACACTTGCGCATCGAGAAGAGAACCCCCGAGGATACTGACACCAAGTTGCAGGCTGGGAACCTACACACAAGGTCAGCCAACGTTGTAAACATTTGTTTGGCGCACAATATGAGCCTCGACATTGCCCGACAGTTCGACATTATAGCCGAAAGAGTAATCATAGCCATTATTGTTAGAGTTGGGGCTGACGGGATTGCTTGTCTGCTCTTCATCAGCATGCGAGTCTTCTTTCCCAAAAGTGAGATCAAGTGACTATAACGGATTAAGTTTCAACAGGGAAACTACTTGGAAGAAAAACTGACCGGGAATGTGTACCCAACGCTGGCACTATATCGACCTGACATGCTCAATTGGCCAGAGAGTTGACCATAGAGATGAAGACTGGGCCCGATTGTAAGCAGTCCTAATCGTCATATGTGAGATCCTGTTAATCTGGGCATAACTCGCAAACCAGGATAATAAAGCTGAGATTTATGTTATTTGGAAGCATGGAAAGAGACGGAAGAAGCACGCACTCCAGGGAACCCAAAAGAGATGATCTCCGCTCTTTCCGTTCCAAATTGCGCCTTTGCCAGTCCAGAAACGGTGAAAGTAGCCTGGGCCGACGCTCCAGCAGTCAGGTAAACGTAACTTTGCTGAATGGCAGGCGGGACAATCGTTGCCTCAAGATAATACCCGAATCTGCTATTGGCTTGAGCATTTCCTGTGACCGAAATATCCAAGCTGCTCGTAAAGTGGGGGCAAGACTGGAAAATCAACTTCAGACTCAATCAAAGGCTTTGGTGATTCCATACCTCTTCCTGGTGGAAAATAGTGTATGTGTCAGACCAGTGGAAGTTGCGGGAGATACTGTTTGAGCTCGTGACAGTGTTCAGTTTTTGAAGCCACCTAGGAAGTATTCAAGGAAATGTAAACAAAATAAAAATGCGGAAACTGACCGATCGAACGGTCCAAACCAGCGCTTGTCGAGTTCCTCTGGTTGGTGGAAGTCGCGCTTAGAGTTTGATCGTCTGGTGCCTGTGGTGCCAGCATCCGGAGGAGAGTTGATCATTTCGTCCCAATAGCCTGGCATATCCGTCTGTGAACATAATATCAGAAGGTAACTTGTGGCCAGGGCCAGGACAGACCACATCGGCTCGCATCCTAGAAACCAGTCAAAAAAACGGCATAAAACAAAGCATGAAAGCGACTCACAGGATCGGTCCATTCGAAGCGGGAATTGCAGCGAAGTTATAGTCAAACCGCAGAGAGTAAACAAGTTCGTTCTCCGGTAGGTCACGGCGAATGTGGGTTGGTAAGACATCTTGATCCTCGTGCGGGGAGAGGGATACAATACGTGCATACGGACCAGCGCCACAACTTGAGGGCAGTTTGACAATGGTGTGTTCAGCCTGATCGATGAACACGTGACCACATCCCGCATCATCGCTGTCCATTGATTTTGAGCAGAACGCAAGCACCTAGAGCTATATGAGCAATTAAAATGAAGCACATGCGGTTCTGACCTCTTGGGGCTGGTCGCTGAATCGATCGCAGCTGGTGATGACCCAGTCAGATGCTCGATCCAGAGAACTGACAGAGCCTGGGTTGGGTGAAGAGATGAAGACTTCGCCAAAGGGGCTGTCGTTCTCTTTTCCATCGTCGCTTTCTCCAGAGGTTCCAGCACCCGGAGTGTTTGTGTCTGGCGTTCCGATGTTCTATGCGAGAAGTTTCATGATCAAGTTCTCGATTTTCAGCTTGTGAACTTACATCGTCGAAGTCAACCGTGAAGGAAGCAGGCTGAATAACACCAAATCCTCCGGGCGTAGGGTTCTGCGAGGGTAAAACCCATGCTTCTGGGACCGGCAAAAATTGTTCGTCTGATGATTGTGGTTTAGTGTTTCACTCAGTCTTGCTCTGTTCCGACAACTCACTTGCGGGTGGGTTACAACAGTACAGCCTCTTGCCCTTGCCAACGCAAGACTGAGAAGCATCTCCCTGAATATCATCAACTGAATGAACTCAGTCAGAGATAACATCCATGGAAGCAGTTGTGGCTTACAAACGGCGACCTTTCCAGCCGGACACGCGGAATTGAGACAGTTGGGGAGGTCTCCGACCCAACCACACTAGTATAGATCAGCGATGCCACAGAATGTAAGAGTATCACCCACATTGGTGTATGCCGATATCACACTTGCTTCACAACAAACAGGTTTGTTGTTCGTCGCGCAGATTTCGGGACATGGTTGCTTGTTGATGACATTTGGGTCTGAGTTTTCAGCTTCACACGATCCATTATCCTCGGTTCCTTGCCTCACAAAAGTGAGGAAGGCATCGCCAGAGGCACAAGAAGTCGAACCACACCCTATAATCATTGTCAGAAAACCGAGCGCTGGAGCGCAGATATGATAAAGTTTATGTACCCGTCGCATGACAGCCAGTTGGATCATTCTGTCCGGTAGAGCAGCAGAAAGCTTTCGTTCCTTGAGCACAAGTTGGCTTTCCATCCCCGCCAACTGGATCAGTGGCAATCGTAATTTCCCCAACGGAACACTGAGGATTACAGGTGCTTCCTCCGCCACCTCGCCAAGAGCAATTCTGCGGAGCGTTGCCCGAAGGACAGCAGAGCCGAGCGGGATTATTGCTCGGGCAGGAAGTTGCAGCACCAGGGTTGGTGGTGAGCGTAGTTAATGTATCCCAACCTGAGGGGCATGATTGGCCACAACCGGTGATGGTGCATTGGTCGCCGGATTCCACGAGCGAAGGTTTGTTGACGTCGATATCAGGATACAGACCTGGATGCTATTGAGCGATTTTCAGGAGACCAAATAAAATGAAGACCTTTGAGAGCAGAATATGAGGTGTCGTCCTGATCTATTTGGATAGTTGATACCAGAACGTATATGGTTGACCGACACTACTCACCAACACTCCAGATCATTGTTCCGCCAAGACAGCGGGAGTTGGCAAATTGCAGTTTCATTGCAAGAGTTTGTGCATCGTCGTAGCTGACCCAGTTGACATCGTTCCAGACAACGTATTTGACAGCGGCGGCGGCGTCAAAGGTTGCTTGCACACCCGGCTGTGCGAGGATGGTCTCTATTTCGGAAAACCTGCATCCAAAGATAAGATCAACTTGAATGATGCTAAATCATGATTACATCAATGTTCCAGAGTTGGCCGAGCAGGCCCCGGGCACGGCTCCACCAACGAAGACGCAGCCGGGACTCGAACAACTTGGGTCTGCAAGTTGGAAGGAGCGACCATAGAATCCAATGCCGAGAACTATCTTGTTAGGATCTACGCCAACGTTGTTGAATAAGGAAAGAGTGTCTTCAATTTCAGTTCTGTTCGTTGTTAGCCAAGGGTTCAGGTTGCACAGCGCCTTACAAATTGGTATGCGCCAAAACAAGTGGACCGATATATGGGTCCGTTCCATCCCACGTCTATAACTTGCTTGTTAGTTTGGTAGCTCTGACGAGAGAAACGATGAATACCCCATGTCTGTAATATCTTGTTAGGTCTGAGCACGTTGAAAGGCAAGGACATACAGATCGTAGGTCATTACATTGACCCAGTCTGCTGACTGGAGCAAGCCGGGTAGATCGAAATGTTGGAGGTACCAATAACTGCTCGGAGCAGTGAACGTGAGACCGTAATTTCGGGGTTTGAAGGCTGCTTTGACTTTGGCCATGAATGTAACAAAATTGGCCTGCAGTCGATGAGAACGCAGAAAAGAAGTTACATTGAAAATCAGACCTTATCGGCAGGATTGCCGCCTCGATCATATGCAGCTGGGTACTCCCAGTCAACATCTGTAGTGGCTCAATCGTGATCAAAATAGACGACGAATAATGTACCAATGCCATCAAAACCATACGCTTGCAGCGTCTGTAGGGCAGAGTTGATGAATGCAGCAGTGTTTGCAGCACTGGCAACGAGATTGGAAAACACGTTAGATGTTGGCTGGCTGGTTATGAGAAAATAGTGAATGGACGATTGAGAGCACTTGCAGGATCGTTGAAACTCCAACCTGTGTGAGCGTTTAGATGATTTCAACAAACAAGGGTTTCTTACCGCCGATAGAGAGAAAGACCTTCAGTGCGACGTTGTTCTTCTTCAGTGCCGTTGTCCGTGTCCATAAAGCAGCATCACCGGGGGACATTTCTTTGATCGCATAAGATGATCCATCAATAAGAGCAAAAGCGAAGTTGACTAGAAGAAAAAAATGAATCAGATGTTCCGACAACAAGTAGCAAATGCGGAACGCACTGTGGGTCAACGTCTCCGCAGAGATCATTTCAGGTGGGTACGAGGAGCACGCTCGAGTGACTGCCCATCCTTCATAATATCCAATCCGTCTTTGCGTAGCGCTTTGTTGATCAGCGCCGCAGGAACGGGGAGCGGGTGGGTTGCAATTGGACTGACAGCCAGCTCCGCAAAATTCTGCAGTGGTCCCACAGAAACCAAATTGTGAGCAGCAGACGCTTAGAGGGCATGTGAAGTTGGCGGGCGCTGCATTGGGCCCGCATTCAGCCAAGGCATTGCAGTTAGACGTGCAAGGACCGCCTTGAGAAACTGTCTTGCAAAAAGAAGGTCCAAACCTACGAAGCAGCGTCAGTGAGAAATCAATCACATATCTGGCTTGAAACACTGACCCGCAGAATCCAGAATCGCCATTGCAGCACGCTCCATTACTGCATGGTATTTCAGCGGTACACGAGCCGACAGGGAGAACGGTGTTGTTGGATTGCGAAAAGACAGTGCTGACAAGAGCTGAAGGTGTATTGAGAAGGGTTAGAACAGCAGCACTCGCTGGGCTCACCAAAGACGAAGTACAAGAGAAGATGTCTGGAGGGATTTCCCATCCTGAACTCCTTCCGAGCGACGAGTCCCGAACACAACAAATATATACGCCATTCTGAACTTGACTCTCTTTCGCCTAGAGAGACCCCAGAACACCGCCAATGGCCAGGCCACTAGGAACTTGTACGTATAAGTCTGATGCGTTTGTCGCGGTTGAGACCAAATTCGAGTCGAAAATGATTTTCGGTTGCCCGCCGTGTTTATTTGTGTTCGCCGCCAAGAGCGCTCAAGTTCTATATTTAACCCACGGCCAATTTTCGGCGACCGTGGTGACTGAGCTGGTTGAGGTATCAACCAAGGAACCGACAACAAGCATACACAGAGGACTAACCTGAAGCCGATCTCAGTTCCCCAAATTCTGATAAGCGACCGTGTGGTTGAGTCCTAGACCAAAGAGAGCGGGTACAAAGCTTCCAAGTTATAGAGTCGGCATTCGAGTATCGACGATATGTGTTTCAGGATGCCAAGGCACGGTGTTCGTGGAAGCCAAAGATGCGAGGAAAAACGTCACAGTGTGACACCGCCAACCGCATCTCCGTGTTGGACATTCACTCATGCGACAACAACGGCGCTAATCTGCCTTAAGAGAAGTTCAGACAATAGCCATTGGTCAGAACAGCGAACTTGACCATGTAGAGCGGTGCCAGAAGTCTCTCTCCGCCCGATAATGTGGATGGATTTGCTCTAGATGTTCGCGACTTTATTATAGGCGCGTGCGATTGAGCATTCCGCTGCAATTCACCATGTGGGGCCTTCTCCTCCTCTTCCACTTCATATCGGTGGTGTCACCTTCGAGCCTCCACAAGACGTTGAACCACATCAAAGCGGCCAGCGACAAAGCTTTCCATGACGCGCTATTGCAACAACTTGCCAATTCGCGCGCGAACGCGTCAAACACACATTTGGACGATGACTCCCTGGTCTCCAGCGTAGACTTGAGCATTGACAACGTCGTTTTAGCGGCAGCTGCAAACAGTACCGGGTCTTGGGCGACTGGATCCACCTCCTCTTTCCAGCTCTATACTCAGAACACCTTACCAACATCCCCTGCCCCCAACTCAGCATGCGCATCGGCCCTAACCGCGACTCTGAGCTGCAACTCTACCATTCCGCTCATGAGGTACGTGTTTAAATACCCCTTCCCCCTCGAAAATAATCTGCATACTCAGCTCTTATCCTTACCTGATGATAAACGACCTCGCTACCGTCTGCACATCCACCTGCACGACCTCTTTGGCTAATTATCGAGCAAACGTTGCGACGGCCTGCAAAAACTTTGGTATTTCCGGGGCCAACAATGTCTCGTACCTTCCGACACTTGCCATCGATACGATTGCAGGCCCGTACCAGGCTCAATGTCTTCAGGACCCAACCTCCGGCAAATTTTGTGAACCGCTTCTTGCCTCGTTTAACACTACGGGTGGTTTGCTCTCACTCCCAACTTCGCAACTCTGCACGTTCTGCACGCTCAAGACCCTCAATGTCACCCTTTCAAATCCCGTCACATATTCAACTCCTGTGGCCGCACTTCTGTCTTCTGCTATCACTCAGTGTGGAAGGTAAGCGACATTTTGTTCTGCGATCAAACCTACCGATTGACTCTGGATCCAGCCAATTTAACTCGTATAATGTTTCGACCCCCGGTACTGGAACAATTACCACTCCACCATTTGGTAGCCCTCCATCTGCCAACCCCGCGGGTGATTGTGCAGTTAGCGGTCACAATGTTTCCGTGACTACAAATACAAGCTGTTCAGCTCTCGCTCAGACGAACAGCGTAACTGTTTACTCCATTTTGTCGTCCAACTCTTTCCTATCTGGATCTACGGACTGTACGGTCAAGGCTGGCTCGAACGTATGCGTGTTCAAAGCTTGTCATCTCTACCGTGTCGCTGCCAACGACACTTGCGATAGCATTGCAGATAGCTCAGCTTCAATTACTGGGACCAAAATCACCACAACCCAGCTTCAGTCCTTCAATCCGGACCTGGGAACCTACTGCCAACTCATCTCGGCGAAAGTTGGACAGAATATCTGTTTGACGCCTAATGGTGGATTTCCCGATGTATGCGATTCTCTTTCCGTTGATCATTAGTCGACTAATATTTTCAGGTCGGAGCTGGTACCGACAACAACATTCCATCCGGAACCCCAACTGCGAAAGCTCCCATCCCGACGCCGACTGTCGCTGGCACAACAAGCAATTGCGGCAGATACTACCAAGTCAAACAGGGCGACATCTGCAACAGTGTTGTTCTCGCCAACTCCATTTCGTTGCCCGACTTCTTGGTCTTGAATCCCGGTTAGTGACTAGGTTCTTCCAAGAGAATACTTCTAAGCTCCTTAACAGAAATCGACACTAATTGCACAAATCTATGGCTGGACTACTATTATTGTGTTGCGGCATTCCCGCCTCTATCGACCGTGTCTGCTCCACCAGTGGTCACCACGAACTACACAAGCGCTAGCGTTTTCCAGTATTCGCTGCCAACTCAGTCATACACTGCTTCCTTCGCGACCCAGATCCTTACAGCAGCTGGTGTTCCGGTCCCGACCAACATTGCTAAAGGAACACGACCGGTTAACTGCGGGTTTTATTATACAGTACAGGTAAGCCCGCTTCACTCGTTTGTCCACATTCATTTATTGAACTTGTGCTCCAGTCTGGGGATACCCTTGCGACCATTTCCAACACCACTGGGCTCAATGCGACATTACTCGAAACATGGAATCCGCAGCTGGCCGCATCCTCGCCGGTCGCAGGCAGCGCACTATGTGTTGTCTTTCCCAAAGGCAATTATACGCTTTCGACTGCTCCGATTCCCAGCAACGTAGCTCCCAACGTGACCACCGCTAACTGTGCTGAATATGATACCATCGTTTCTGGCGACAGCTGCACGACTGTCGAGAAGCGGAACTTCATCGATCACACCCAGTTTTTGAAGCTCAACCCTGGCATTAATTCTCAGTGCAGCAACATCGTACTCGGTCTCGCATATTGCGTCTTCTCCATCTTCCCCCCATCGACTTCAACTTCCACAGGGCCGCCGTCAAACGTGGCTCCAGGGACAATTACGGACGGCTGCACTTCTTACTACACCGTTGTCTCTGGCGATGGTTGCGCGAGTATTGAGAGCAAGTTTAACTTGACATTGGCACAATTCATTCAAATGAATCCTGAACTCAACTCACAATGCACGAATCTCGCGCTCGGGGAAGCGTACTGTGTCGCTTCTAGCAACAGTACCGGCCCTCCGAGCAATGTTGCGCCTGGGACCATTACTGCTGGCTGCACGAAATACTACACGGTCGTGTCTGGCGACGGCTGTGCGAGTATCGAAAGTCGCTTCAATCTCACGCTCGCGCAGTTCATCCAGATGAACCCGGAGCTCAACTCTCAGTGCACCAACCTGGCGCTCGGCGAGGCTTACTGTGTTGCATCGAGTAACAGCACCAGCTCCGGACCGCCTGCGAATGTCGCGCCTGGCACAATCACGGCTGGCTGCACGAAATACTACACGGTCGTGTCTGGCGACGGCTGCGCAAGCATTGACAGCCGCTTCAACCTTACTCTCACCCAACTGATCCAGATGAACCCCGAGCTCAACTCGCAGTGTACCAATCTCGCGCTTGGGGAGGCTTATTGTGTTGCGTCGAGTAACAGCACAAGCACCGGGCCGCCATCGAACCTCGCCACAGGTTCCTTCAGCAACTGCACCTCCTACCACACTGTTGTGAGCGGCGACACCTGTAATGCCATGGACACATCGGCCAAGATTGCGTTCTCCGATTTCTTGCACTGGAACCCAGAAATCAACACGGCGTGCACCAACATCCAGCTCGCCGCGGCATACTGCGTTGGAGGAGGGGGAAGTCCGTGTGGGAAACTGTACACTGTCGTGTCTGGCGATTCGTGTTCGGCAATTGTGACCAAGCAGAGCGTGACCCAGGCGAAGCTGAATAGCCTGAACCCGTGGATCAACTCTGGTTGCTCTAACCTTGCTGTTGGTCAGAATGTCTGTGTTGGATAGTTGTAACTTGAATACTCGCAATTATGCATGCTTCCAAAGGGCTCCCATTATCACGCAGCTTGTTGCAGAATAAAAGCCCAAACGCGTGGCGTCACCACTATGAGATTCGTATTTGTCGCGAAATTTAGTCCAAAATGGGCTATTTCGACAACTCTTGGTTCCAATAATATTGAGTTGTGATGTTGTAATCAGTGTCCGGCTCAGCCCCCATTGTGTCGCTGTCCAAATACCATTGCGGCTCTGGAACGTCCTCCCATCCGAGCTCATGGAAGATCTCGACACAGATTTTAGCTATATCGTCCACCCAGCGCGGTTTAATGGGAAACGGCGGCATGTACGATGAATAGAACCTGAACACCACGTAGACGCTGTTCAAAGAGTCCACATGCGAAGCTCCGACAAAGTCGTCAAAGGAGCCATTCAGGGAGTCCCGTATATACCGCGAGATAGCTTTGGTAGAGTCATATTTCTTCGGGTCACAAAAGGTCAGCGTCGGGGATTTTGGCCTGCATTTCGTCGAGTTTCTTGAAGGTCGGAGCGAGTTTGCCACGCTGGAACGGAAACGCAAAGCCGTAGACAAAGCGTGGTATGGGTTCGCCCTCGCCATCCATCATCTTGGAAGATCTATAATATTCGTCGGGCAGGACAAGAAAAGGTTGGTTCTGGCGCATGTAATCCAATGTCAGTTTCTATACGTGTATCAGAGTAAGCAAAGAAGCGGTGGGGCGCGGATTCAACTGGATTATAAGCCGGATCCAACGCATTAAGCGAGCTGAATAGTCTAGTGGTCGTAGTCTGCAACATACGAGCATACGGGCACGTGACTTGCTTTCAAGTTTGGCTCAAGTCCAAATCTAGACTCAAGAATTGAAAAGACTTGAATACCTCCACGCGATTTACTTCTTTGTACTCATACTTCTACACATGGATGTCAAAAATATTGTAGTCGGTCGATGGAGGGGACAAGAGGGTATGGGTGGTGAGGTACCACTTTGGCTGCGGCACGTCCTCCCATCCAAGCTCGCCAAATATTTCTGCAGCAACGCGCGCGACGTCATCCACCCAGAGCGGCTTGCGGGGCTTTTCTGCTCGATACGACGAGAAGATCTGGAATATGCGGAAAATACTACCGGTCTTGTCCCAGTCACTGGCAATGGGCGGCGCCCCCGAGGTCGTTGTAGGGCGCGAAGTCATCGATGTCCATAGAGGCGGCGATGTATTTCAGGATAGCGGAGATCGGGCGATACTTGGTCTTGTCGCGCAGTGTGCGAATAGGAATTTTGGCCTGCATCGCGTGAGAGTGGGCGCAAGGTTGAGGCCAAGGTCAACGAAGTGGAATTCAAAGCCGTAGACGAAGCGTGGGAGAGTTAGAGGATCCCCCTTCATTTGGCGTGCACAATGGTAGTATTCGGTAGGGAGTTCTTCGAACGGATGGTTGTGTCGCATATATTCCAACGTCAGTTTCTGGAGAGTTGTCAACGCAGAGAACAATAGGGGGAAGGAAGTTAGCTACAGGATTATACGGCGGTATTTCTTGCTTCTCGTTGGAGGGTGTTGGGGGAGACGCTGCTAGCGACATGAAAGCTATGTCCAACGTGTGAAACCCAGTTCGAGTCGCGGTCTTGTACTCATCCAAACAATGGGGTGATAGCGCTAGCAGACAATGGTGTTGCATGCAGAGCACATTAGCAAAAGGGAGTACTTGTCGTGCGGTCACCCAGACGGTGAAGGTTGGCAGAAGATACATGACCGTCAGAAACAAAAACGGGTTTACTCTGATGATAATCAGGCTCTATCTAGTACTCGGGCCGGCTTCCGGTTGGTGGTGGCGGTTCAAGTCAACGGCACGGTCTTCGTTTTTATTCTTGCTTGAACGTTGCGCTACCCTCGGCATACCTAGTACTCGACCTCAGCCCGTTTGGATGCCTTCCGCAGCAGACGGACGAAGAGCTCTCTTTTCAAGTTCGCGATGCCCTCCTCCGGAATTCCGCTGTCAATCAGCGCCATCACCTCCTTGTGGATGTTCTCCTCATACTCTTGGTAGTGCTCGCGCAGGCCCACCTCTTCAAACACGCCCTGCATCCCCTCGATGTCTTTCCGTCCGTAGTTGCTCTCCAGGATTTCCTTCTGCTCCGGGTTCGCTAGCGAAAGCGCCGCATTGACACACCATGAGCACCTCCCGACTTTGCCCGTGCGCTTCCGGGTCCCCACGCAGTCAAGAAAGTCGCTTTGAACATGGAAGTAGATCCCGAGCGGCATCGCTATCGAGTGGGCAATCTCGTAGGGATAGAAGGTCCCGGGCGACCACACGGAGCGGGAGACGTGTGTTTTGGGGACACCTGTGAGGGTCATCGCGAGGGCAACGGGGAGGTAGAACGAGTAGTAAGCCGTTTTGTACTGCGCGACAAGGCGGAACCTGATCTTTTGCTTTAGACTTTTTCCAAGAGTAGAGCGCGGCCCACCTGTCCATAGTCATATTCGCATTCTTTGCCAGCAACTGCCCCGTCGCGGTCTGAAACGTCGTCTGCACCAGATAAGAGACCGGTCCGATGTTTTTTGACCCACTCACGTCATGAAACAACTCCAGCAATTCGACATATGCCACATCGCGTCGAAAGAATCGCTTCAGCAGCTGGTAAATTGCCGTCTCCAACAGGAGCGCGTCGATGCTGCCAACCTCCTGCCCTTTTCTTGTCGTCGACCCGTCCATAATGTTATCCAACACCAGCAAGGCCGCTTGAAGCTGCAAAGTCCGGTCTTCCTTATCGAATGTTGGGGAGAAGAAAACCCACAAATTCGACAGCCCATCCCAAAACCGCCGCCTTGAAGAACTCGTCTTTGGAGAGATACCCGCCGCGGATGATTTCCGCCGACTCGACGACCGAAAGACCGCGATTCGCCTTGCCGTTGGGGACGTTGTAGTCGATGAGCTTGAGAAACCACTGCTGTGCATCTTCCGGCATTCCTTGTGCTGCAAATATTGACCCCAGCTCGGCTCTGATCTCGGGCAGGACGCGCTCAAATCTGTGCCGCTGGCTGACGGGGATGCGCAAACGGACCAAGGCGGTCGAATATCTGTCTTGCGTTGAATTGGCCGCCGCCGAGACTTTTGGCGTGACTCACTTGGTCGTATCAAAAGGGTTCCAACCCACGATAGAGGCGAGCGCTGCTCGCTGTCAGTGTCGGCGGCAGCTGCTGTAACAAGACACTAGCCAATCGTCAATGCAGCCAGGGTGCATAACTTGCGAGCGATCCCATCCATCGGGGTAAAGGTAAGTTTGAGGCTATCAATACGTAGGAAGAAGCTCGACTGATAATACGTAAATTCGTGTTTACAGTAACTATCATGTCCCTAGCTGGCCATGAGGAATTCGGCTAGATATCCCCCTACTCCGAATGGGCTTGACGTCAACTACTTACTTTCAGAAGGATATATGGGTTGAGAAATGTTACCTGGAGACTAGCGACGCCATTCTCGACTGCCCAAACACTGGCGGCCTCTGGTAGGAAGCGTAGTTTGAAAATGCCGGTATAGACTCGCTCTTTGAGCCGCGCTATGACATTGGCGTCGTGAAACACTGTTTTCCATTAACGGGAACAACAACAAAATGGCGACGCACTTGGGTAACCTTGGATGTCTGCGCTGAGTTCCTCGAAAGAGAGGAGCGCATAGCGCCCAAGATGGTCTAGAAGGTCGTCCCCAGGCTGCACGTGCGCTGCCCTCAGATCCCGGTGAAACTCGGTCCAGTTGGGATCCAACACGACCTTCATCCCAATGCGCTCGCTCATCGCCGCCCGGGCAGCCTGGATCCGGGTATCGTCGTATTCGAAGTCTATCGAGTGGAGAGTCACGAGGTCCCATCCCTCGAGCAAGTTGGCGGAGCGCTGTATGGGGACGATCTCGTCCATAATCGTGGCGTGGAGCGTATAGTGCCCTTCAAGAGGCTCACAGCGGCGGCTGCCAAACCATTTAGGGCCTAATCGGACCAGCAAAATCCCGTCGAGTTCAAGTTCATTGACAACACACGGTTTCTCCAAGCTGGCATACTTCGAAAACAATCTTGCGTCGTGAGACTGCGTAGTTGAAACACAGCTTTCCGGGGGCCTTGTAAAGCGCAACGTAGAGTTTCAGTGCAGCGATCAGCGCCGAGGTGTGTCTGTTCTGTGGCGGTCAAGAGGCCGAGCCGAGCCGAACATGCAGCATACATACCGACGATAAAGCGCCCCAAATGAGGTCACATCTACACCATTCCTGACTGCAGATGGCCACAGCGTATCGTGGAGGATTTCGAGCTCGTAACGCTCCCCGAATATGTCCTGTAAGGTTGCACAAAACTCGATTTTATGGGCCTCTTGGCCAAAGATCGGAGGCGGAGCGCACATGCTTGCTTCAAGGTCGGTGTTAGGGTTCATAGTAAGTCGACAATAGGGGCACACTGGATTACGTCAGCCAGCGATTCGGAAAGAGAGCAGCGTTACATGTAGATATTGTACCGATACAAAACAGTATAGACGGGTAAGAAAACCAAATCAACTTAGCGGCAGGATATTTCCGTCACCCATCGGGCCGACTGCGTCTATAGGCAAGTTACCAAGCTCGGTGGAAACAGGGCCTTGGCCAACTGTGCCCATTGCGCCAGGTGCCGAAAGGACCTGCATGACATTCATCCCACCGTTCCTCGACAGCTCACTCCGCACGTGCTCAATCGTTTTCTTCAGGTTTAGTCGTTCATTGAGAAGCGCCATTCTCGCGCTCTCCAAGTTTTTGCGTTCTTCTTCAAGAATATCCTCCAGCTCTTCAAACTGCGACATCTTCAGTTCGAGTTTCGTCAACGTTAGCTTGATGAGAGACGCAAGAGTAGAGCGAATCTCCTTGTCTTCCGTCTCCGCCAAAGCCGCGGCCGCCTTTGCGGATGACTTCAGCGCCAAATCCGCAGCTCTGGCCGCCTGAGATCGAGGAACGGTCGTCTTTTTGGGTGGTCCATCAACAGCCATAGCATCTCCACTCGGTTCCGTCGTTTCTGCCTCCGGCTCATCCGCTTTTGTAGCTTCTCCTTTACCTTCGCTGGCAAGATGATGTAGGGCGGTTTTGGCAGCTTCACCAGCGACAGAGGGATCCACGACGCCAGCTAAGAATGCAACGACACTCATAACTGGATTGTCTGCTTGCTCGAAGGGAATTCGAGCGTAGCGCAACGGTCCCATAGATGCCTCCGACGCAAGATACGGGTCTTCGATGTCGAGTTGGAGGAATTTAGTGATGCATTGTTGCGCGCTTCTGGTCTGAACGTGTTCCTCGATCTTAGACCAGTCGTCATCGTACATCTCAATGGCCTCGAGCAATAGAAGAGTCTCTTGGTCTGTCCAATCATCGGACGGACCCGCGGTCGCCGTGTTGAGCTTGACGAAGTCTCCACTAAACATGTTCGAAGGGAAACGACCATCGAGGTAACAAGGGGCGCAAAGTTGGAATTTTTGGTCTTTCAGGGAGTGATAACGGGTCCGAGTGCAGTCAGAACCACAGGTGTCGCAGGTGAATGTAGTTGGGCCGCGGCTGGTACCGTTGGCAGCTCCATCTCGGGGACCGTTGGCCAATGCTTCAGCCTCCGTTGAGTCAATAGGTCGAGCGGATTTATTAGAGGTTTGGTAAATGTTGGAGCGAAGTTCCAACGAAGCTGGCGTTGGTGGTGGTTTTTTAGCGCCATTTACAGCTGCAGCACCAGGATTTGTAGGCCGGATACCAGGATGGAGAGATTGGAGTCCACGAGGAGTATCGAGAATAACTCTGAAGTGGCCTGTAAATGGAGGCGCGAGGGCCGCAGGACGTGAGTCTGGGTCAATCTGGAGGATGTCAATAAATAGCAATTCAGGTTGAATGCGACACGCACTTGGTAGTTGATGAGACCCCATTGCTCCAGAAAAGCGTGAACTCTCATTATGGCACACACATCACCGGCTAAGTTGCGTCGGCAAGCAGTTACGGTGAGGTATTCCATTGGACGGAGACGATATGTGTTGATCATGAAGTCGCGGTAGTCCTTGTATATGGCAGGCGTTTTGGATCGATTTCGAGAGTTGAAAAACTCGGGGAGGGCCCTACTCTCCACAGCGTTGATTTTGGACATGTCAAACCACGCGGAGTAGGAGGGGATGATGACTTCGTGTGTTTGGGCTGCCAGATATTTGCGCGCTTGTTCTTCCAGCCGCTGACGAGCAGCCTCAAGCTGCGCTGGGTCTTCCTCGTCGTTGTCATCGGCTGAGTCGCCTTCGTCGTCCCCCATTGACACGTCGTCGTCGTCTGCATCGGCTTTGAGTTGTCTGACGCGCCCTCCATTCTCTGGTCTGTTGCCCCATTCTTCTGACTGGAGATTCGCGAGGTCTGTGGACGCCAACGGCTCTAGTTCCCCGCGTTTCCCTGAGACAACATTCAGGTCGACGGGAATAGCACCTCCTTGGTCGGGAGAACCGGCGCGACTAGGTGAATCCATCTGGGCCAGGTGACGGTGAGTGACAGAGAGTGCGATTTGTCAGCCATCAAGTTGACAGAACAGCATTCACTCCCGCACCGCCGGAAAGTGCCAAAATAAAATGGAATGGAATGGATTACATGAGCGTTAATTTTGCTTGGTTGCAAGAGTTTGGGAAGGTCTTGGGACTGTCGGGAAAGAAATCCAGTAGCCAAGGCGTCTGGGATCACGTAAGCCAGGTGGGAGCTACGGCGAGTATGACCCGTGTGGAGCCGCAAACTTGAGCACCAACGCTCACCATCTTTGGCGCAGTTCGTTCTGTCGTCCACTTCCCCGTCTCATGGCGAAGCTTGCTATTGCTGCCGCTATATATCCAGCTCTCGTTTCCGCCTACACTTGGCGCTTTACCTCCCAGCCCACCCAGTGCGGCAATGTCACTATCGCAGTCAACGGCGGCACCCCACCCTTTAGCGTGCTAGTTGTTCCCTACGGCATCTCCCCACTCCCAAATAACATCGAGGCGAGGAAAATACAGAGCATAGAGAACCAGAATGGCCCCGATATCAGCTTCAAGCTCAACTTTCCTGCAAACTCGCAATTCGTCGCAGTGGTGAGTGCCCTGCTCGTCTTCCTCGGACTTTTTTGGTTGACTCTGTCGTAGTTGAGCGACAAATCAGGCTTCGCATCCGGTGGTACAAGTGTCGGTGTCCTCGTTACCGGGTCCGGCGATGCGAGCTGTTTTGACGCGTCGAAAAACGTCGCTCCAGCTTTCTTCTACAACATTGAACCAGGTGGTGTTATAGCTCAATGCGTCTCAACTCGAATCTGGTATAGCGGCTCTCAACCCGTATTTTTTAGCTTATCACCAAATAGGTGGGACCCCTCCGCAGTCCAAGGCACGCCACACTTCCAAGGTGTCATTCCTGGTGGCCAGTCTTTCGAAATCCCCGGAAACAACCCCACCACCGTCCCAAATCAAGGTCTTGGCTTCAATTGGGTACCCCCTTTGCGTGGCGGCACCACTTTGCTTCTTGTCTCGGGAGACAATCGTGGCAATGGAAGCGGTGGAAGCTCCCCGTATACCGTCGGCTCTGGTCCCAACAACGACAACTCTTGCTTGAACAGTGACAGTCCAAGTTCGACTCCTGGGAATCCTGCTGGTGGTTCTTACCAGACAAGTACCAACGCCCCTAGCAATAACTCTGGGTGCGTTATCCCTCATTTCGCTTCCTTTCTTAATCATGCTTTCAGCCATGAAACGAATGTCGCAGCCATTGCAGGCGGTGTGGTTGGGGGTGTTGTTGCACTACTGGCCATATGTCTGATTATGTTCTTCTTTATGCGCCGCCGCCGCCTCCGCGCAGAAGAAAAAAGCAAAATTCGACCCGATCTACTTCAAGCTGACGAAGGAGACGAAGGAGGCGCTTCAGGAGTGCCGCAATATTACCAACCCGAACCATATCTTATGGCCGAGTCGACAGTGGGGCGGTCTTCGCTTGGCGGTCTTACGTCGGACGACCGCAGATTTAGTCAGACGGACACAGACGGTCGACCACTCAGCACGCTTTTGTCTGATACTGCGAGCAGAAGCGGCACCCCAGATCCTTCAAACATGTCGTCGAGTACCCGCAAGGGCCCCTTGCGGCAAATGCGGCCCGTCAACATCATCCAACATTCCGACGCCGGACCGAGTGCGCCGCCTGCCACTGCCGAGGAGGAAGAGCCAGAGACAGTAGAGCTGCCTCCCGCTTACACCAACATCAACAAATAATCCAAAAAAAGAACGGTGTTCGGGTATGTATGGGCAGTCTGATGGACCCTACCACGATTGACGCATGTTTTACGACTCTCCTCTCCACGATATTTAACCAGAAAGTCGCTGTACAACCGTACGTTACTCCCTCGTTAAAGAGTGCGCTACCCTCATGGACCTCTTCGCATAATCATTTCTCATCATCCCTTCCTTATCAATCCCTGTGCGTAACCGTGGAATTTCGTCCCTTCCCTTTCCCGATCCCAGGTTTACGCCATTCACCGTTGTATTATACGCACATTGTTCTCCGCTATCCATCGCATCAAATTCCTGCTTCACACCCAAAAAAAACAATTCCCGTTTCATACCGCATAAATCTTCCATACGTAGCAACCCGTAAAGAGTGTACTGTTTCAATGTCACTCCCGGGGAGGTGTACCCAAGACCCATCGGGCGTTCAACACCCCACGCCGAAAAAGGAAATTTTCTTGCGCTCCAGACTGGCCGGCTCAAGCTTCAGTTGGAGACTTTCTAGCGGTGGCTCAGCTCCATATATATGATATGTAAGGTCGCTCGTCGGCTCTATGCACACTTTGGATCGCTTGAGGTTGACGCTGGAGGGAAAATGAGTGGGATTGAGTACTGTGGTTAGAAGGCCGAAATACTTGTGAGTGATCGCATTAACGTTCAAGCAGCCTCGAGGCACAGTGCTGACTCGGATAGGTTGTATCGAAATAAATTAATACATATGCGCAAGGCGGGGTTCGAACGAGGATCGCATTGTGTTTTATGGAGGCACAAAGTTTGTTCTTCGCAAGTTGGCATTTCTCTCTGTGCTTTCATGTCTGAGTCTGAGTCGCTGGCGCCACCCTCAACGTCTTTTCAGTCAACTCGCTTCGAAGAGGAGCAAGAAACTGTAATGCGGCGCTATAATCCTGTACCTAACCACCTTCCCCCAGCCCATCGTTCTCTGGACTCACACGTTCTCCAGAAATTAAGGCTGCAATATATACGACGAAACCATCCTTTCGAAGAGCTCCCTGCTGAATACTACCTTTGTGCACGCCAAATGGCGGGGGATCCTCTTCCGCACTTTGTCTATGGCTTTGCATTTCCCTTCGTGGGCTGCGACTTTGAGCCCACTCTCGCGAAACTCCACGGGATGCAGGCCAAAATTCCTCACCGCACACTCTCCGACAAGACCAAGTATCACCCGATCACCGCCATCCTGACATATATCGCCGACTCGATGGACATCGATGATTTCGCGTACTACAACGACCTGGGGACGGCGAGGCCTGACACTGACAAGTCCGGTCGTATCTACCAGATTTTCAAGATTTTCTCGTCGTATAGACCGGAAAGCTTCAAACCGCTTTGGGTGGATGATGTGGCGCGCATTGCGGCAGAAATACTTCAGGAGCTTGGATGGGAGGATGTTCCGAAGCCAATGTGGTATCTCGACACCAATACGATTGGTTCTCCTCCAACGACTGACTACAATCCCACCTACCCAGTGTACCCAGTGTAGAACTACTTTACGTAGTTCAAGTTAGAGGTAGAGCTACGATAACGACTCAAGTATCGACAGAATATAAACTAAACTATCCTACTAGTACGCAGACATTCTGACCAACAGCAAGGTTAGAGCAGTTAGAGCAACCAGAGTTGATCCACGCGTTCAGACTAGCTCTGGATCGCCTGAGTCATGCTCTGCTTTTACACGATTGCCAAACACGACAGGGTACAGTTTTCCACACAGACTCCCCCCTCCTCCAACGCAGTATGCCGCGGCGAGCTGGATGTTGGTGCACGCCGTGTTGATTTCTGGGTTCCAGTGCAAGAAATCACAGAACGCAATCTTGGCCGATGTGTCCATAGCATTACAGGTGTCTCCGCTCACAACAGTGTGGTAGGAGGTGCAGTTGCTGACCTGTGGCAAGGTTCGATGGAGGTCCAGTGCTTGTGCTGTTACTCGACGCAACACAATAACAGTAGTCCAGCCATAGATTTGTGCAATTGGTGTCGATTTCTATTAAGGAGGTTAGAGGTATTCTCTTGGAATAACCCAGTCACTAACCGGGATTCAAGACCAAGAAGTCGGGCAACGAAATGGAGTTGGCGAGAACAACACACTGTTGCAGATGTCGCCCTGTTTGACTTGGTAGTACTTGCCGCAATTGCTGGAGTTGTTTCATGACGTGAGTGGGCCAAAAACATCGGACCGGTCTCTTACATATCTTGGGCAGACAACGTTCCAGACCGCGACGGGGCAGTTGCTGGCAAAGAATGCGAATATAACTATGGGCAGGTGGGCAAAGTGCTACTCTTAGAGTCTGAAACCAACAGATCAGGTTCCGCCTTGTCGCGCAGTACAAAACTGCTTACTACTCGTTCTACCTCCCCGTCGCTCTCGCGATGACCCTCACGGGTGTCCCCAAAACATACGTCTCCCGCTCTGCTGTGTGGTCGCCCGGGACCTTCTATCCCTACGAGATCGCCCACTCGATAACGATGCCAATCGGAATCTACTTCCATGTCCAAAGCGACTTTCTTGACTGCGTGGGGACCCGGAAGCGCACGGGCAAAGTCGGGAGGTGCTCATGGTGTGTCAACGCGGCGCTTTCGCTAGCGAACCCGGAGCAGAAGGAGTTGCCGGAGAGCAGCTACGGACGGAAGGACATCGAGGGGATGCAGGGCGTGTTTGAAGAGGTGGGCCTGCGCGAGCACTATCAAGAGTATGAGGAGAACATCCACAAGGAGGTGATGGCGCTGATTGACAGCGCGATTCCGGAGGAGGGCATCGCGAACTTGAAAAGAGAGCTCTTCGTCCGTCTGCTGCGGAAGGCATCCAAACGGGCTGAGGTCGAGTACTAGGTATGCCGAGGGTAGCGCAACGTTCAAGCAAGAATAAAAACGAAGACCGTGCCGTTGACTTGAACCGCCACCACCAACCGGAAGCCGGCCCGAGTACTAGATGGAGAGCCTGATCATCATCAGAGTAAACCCGTTTTTGTTTCTGACGGTATCTTCTGCCAACCTTTACCGTCTGGGTCATAGACCGCATGACAAGTACTCCCTTTTGCTAATGTGCTCTGCATGCAACACCATTGTCTGCTAGCGCTATCGCCCCATTGTTTGGATGAGTACAAGACCGCGACTTTTTTTTTTTTTTTTTTTTTTTTTTTTTTTTTTCCCGTTATTTGGCCTTTACATTATCGTATGGTAGCCGTTACATTTCGCGTAATATACTCCTTTTCTCTCTGCTCCTTGGTGCTGTTCTTCGATATCTTGCCCGTTCAGCCGTAGGCGCTCCGGGCGGCGGCATGAAGTGGGGTGCGTGAATAGTGTCCTGTAAGAATTATATGGTGTTAGTGTGTGAAAGTGTTTTGTCCCATCTCTTGTCCGCGCCGCCTCTCTCCGTTCCTTCGCTTACCCGAACGGCCTCTCTTCCCTGGTCATCGTCGGCAGATCTCCCTCTCTCGGCTTGGCGGCTATCTTCAGTTTCGAGATCATATCCATGAAGTCGTCTCCGTATTTCTTCGACTGGTCGAGCGGTTCGCTGAGGTGTCGGTGTACTGCCCTGAATCTCCCCGTCCTGTATATATACCACATCAGCGGCTCCATGAGCTTCCCCGCCCCAAGCAATTTCTTGATGACCCTTGTGTCTCTTCCTCCTTCGTTGTACAACTGTCTTCTCGCGTCCTCGTGCGCGCTACAGTGTAAGAGGTAGTGGGCTACCGTCTCGTCCGCCTGTCTGCAGCACGGGCATATTGGGGAGTCGGCTCTTTTGATCTTGTGGAGGTGCTTGGCGAGCGTGCAGTGGCCCGTCCTTAGCTGCATCAGGATCGTCGCGTACGATTTCGGTACGCTGGTGTATAGCTTCAGATACGATCCCTTCACCAGTTGTGGGTCGTATTGCATCGTCTGCTGGTATCTCTTCGATTTCCTCCACTTCTCCGCTATCCTCTGCCTCCTCCTCGCGTTGAGCATCTGTCTCACTGCCGCCTTGCTCAGTGGGAGTTCTGGGTGGTATTCTTCTGGTAGTTCCGCCAGGCTTGTCACATCTCCCGCCGCTGCTTTCTTCGCCTCCTTGTCCGCTTCTTCGTTGCCCGGTATGTCGATGTGTCCTGGAGTCCAGCGAATAGTCAGTAAAACGTTGTCATGTGTGTCGTTTAAACGTGAAAGCTTATCGTGCCAATCGTCCCATATCCAGCTGGACGGCGTCGATGCCGTCGAGTTGACCGCCTTTATGGAGGCTTGGTTGTCGACCGCAATTGTCACCTTCCCCGAGACTTCCTCTTGCCTCCTCAGCAGCTCCAGCGCCATCCCGCTCCCCACCGCTTCTCCTTCGTACACGGTGTGTTGTTGGGCCGTTCCCAGCCTCGCTCTCATGCTGTCGACCTTCCTGTCGTTCTTGTATAGGACCGCTGCCGCCCCGATCTCTCCGTCTATCCCCGACCCATCCGTGTACACCTTCCACTTCGCCCGATCCGCTATCTCTTCTCTCAGCGCTGCTTTCTTGTCCTTCGCAATGCTGGTGTTGATCGTTATGCCTTTGTTGGCCGTCTTCCTCACCGATTGAATCTGTTCGAAGTGCTTGGCTGGCCGCGGTAGATATTCGAGCAGCGCTGTTATCGTGCTCCTGTCCTTCTTTCTCGTGGCTGGTTTGTTTCTCCTCACCTCCTTGCTCAGTGGGTGCGAGTCCGGTAGTGTCGCTAGTCGAAGTGCCGCCGTTTCTCGTACCTTGTGTATTAGCTCGTCTATGGGTATCAGATTCGCGTAAACGTCGAGTACTTCCGTTGGGGTCGATGCCAACGCCCCCGTGATCTTGAGCGCTGCTTTTCGTTGGATTGTCCTGAACCTCTTCACTATCCCTCTCTCCCTCTCCTTCCCGGTTGCCGTCTTGTCGATCGGGTTGAGGTATATGTCGGCAGCATACAGCATCTGTGGCACGCAGATACTGAGATACAATCTGCGCATGCTCACCGGGGGAAGTCCTCCTGTCACCTTCGCCAGCCTCTCAAACGTCGCCAGCCACGCCTGTCCCTTCCCTATCGCCGCTGCCTCCTGTTGCTTCCACCTTAGTTCGCTGTCGATGTGCACGCCCACGAGTTTTACAGCCGTCGTCGATTTGATGATGTTCCTCCCCAGCTCCAGGTCGTGCCTTGGTGTCGGCCTCGTTCCCGCTTGCCCCGTCGGATTCTTCACCCTTTTCCTTGACACGTCCACTAGTTGATACTTTTCCGGCCCGAATATTGCGTTGTGCTCGGCTCCCCAGTGCACTATGCCTCCGTTCCTATGTGTGATGTCGTCGATCTTCTTGTGCGTTGCCGTAAAATCCTTTCCCGTAGTTATTACTGTGTCGTCGTCAACAAAAAGCACCTTGTTTTCCCCTCTGCTCCTCTTGGGTATCTCCGCTAGTGTTGCGTTGTATATGAGGTATAAGATACCGGATATCGGGTCGCCTTGGTCTAGCCCATTTCCCACGTCGTACCATTCTGATTCGAAGTCCCCAAAGACCATCTTGCTTCTTCGCGAGCTGTAGCGCCTCTCAACCCACCTGGTGTACCCCTCCGGCACTCCCCTCATCCTCATATCGTGTCGCAGCCGTTTCAAGTCTACGCTCGGAAAAGCTCCCTTGACGTCCATGCAGAGGATGCTCGCCACTTCTTCTTTTTCCCACGCCTTCTTGATGATCGCCACGGCGTTATGCACAGCATCCGTTGTCGATCTCCCCGGCCTAGCCCCGTACTGATTCGCCGGCAGTATGCCTGCCAACTCCGCCTCCCTCGTTAGCTGCTTCGCCTTGCAGGCGTGATACAGACGAGCTGTGCCCTTCGACAGTACCACCGGTCGATATGCTCCAGGTTTGGCGTAGTCCGGCTTGCCCGGTTTCCGCAACACGATCGTTGTTGTGTCCGCCCATCCCTCCGGGTACCACTCCAACTCGTCCATCGCTCTGAAAAGGGGGCCTAGGAACGGCACTAGAATGTTCTCGCATTCCTTGAATATGCAATTTGCTGGTGAACCTGGGTATGTGGCCTTGTATGGCTGCATCGCGCCGATCGCCTCTCGTATCGTCTTGTCGTTCACGCTCTCGAATCGGAACTTGGGTTCCGGGTACTGGTCCCGCCCCCACGTCGCGGGGGCCAGCATCTCTGGTGGGTAGAATTCAGCCTTGAACAAGCTTACCTTTTCCTCCTCCTTGCACGCCTCTCTCCCATTCGCTTTGAGTGTTGGTACCCTGGTCGCCCCCCCGTCGTCCCTCTTTCCCCTCGCAAACCGGGCTACATTCCAAAGCTTTTCCCTCGTTGCCGTCACCAGAAACTTCTCCCACATCTCCTTCTTCGCCCTCCTTACCGCCTCCGCGAATTTGTTCTTTGCCTCTTTTGCTTCTGCGTGTATTGGGTGTGCTTGTTCGAAGCGCCATCGATATGCTTGTCTCTGCTTCTTCGCGCTCTCTCTCCTCATCGCGTCTAGCTCCTTGCTGTACCACCTCTTCCAATGCTTTGACGGCTTGGTCATTGGTATCATCTCCTTGGTCGTCTCCTCAATCGCCTCCTCAACCGCTCTTAGGTTCGCTTCGGCCTCTGACCTGTCTTGGTATCTCGCTGGTCTCGGTACTGTTTGCAGTTTCGACACTAGCCTCGCCCTGTATTCCGGCCAGTGCGTGCTCGCGTATTTGGGCCTTGGTTGATGCTGGTTCGACGGGACTTGCAGTTCTATGGTCAGTATGACTGGGAAGTGGTCGGTTTTCACTGGTTGCTGTTCCGGGTCCGTTTTGCACTGTATAAGGTGAGGCAGTAGTGAGTCTGAGATATAAACGTTGTCCACTCGCGTATAGTTCCCCGTCCCAAAAGCCTTCAGCGTCGGTATTCCTTTCGGCAGTACCATCCTCATGCTGAACATTGACATCAGCGTCCTCCACGCCTCCGCATGTGTCATGGCTCTCTCGCTCAGTAGGTGCGCGTTCCTTGCTTCGTCTTCCCAGTCTGGGTGATGTCGGTTGATATCGCCTCCCCACACATAGCGGAGCGGCTGGGCGGGGCACCACCTGGTCCTTGGATCAGCCATGTATTCCAGCAGGATCTTTACCGTGTCGTTGTGTTCTATGTCGTTGTACACGTTGATTGCCCGTATGGTCCCAAAATCCCCGTGTATCTGTACCGCCACCACGTCTGGGCTCAGTATCGGTATTGCCGTCCACATTCTGGTCGGTATTCTCGCGTTCACCAGCGTCATCGCCCTCGATCTCTGCTCCGTTCTGTTGTGTGTCGTCGGGTATACTGAGTGCCAATGGTTGTTGGCCCTCGATAACTTCCAGTGGTCAAAGTATGGTTCTTGAATTAGTGCCATGTCGTAGCGTCTCGGGTCCATTCTGTTAAGCAAGTCTTGCTGCGCGTCTAGTGATTTGTTTACATTCTGCTGCCAAAAAGTCAGCTGGTTCCTTGCGCTTGTGCTTGTCTCATCTGTGTCCGTCATAGTCCTCCCAGCGCGTGGTCTCTCTGCCCTGTTTCTTCACCCGTCGCATTGCTGATGTCCATACTTCCTGTGCCGATGGAGCCGTTTTGTCCTCCCCTTGCCCACTCTGTAATCGCCCTCTGCCTGAGGATTGGTCCGCCAGTTGCCGTTAATCTCGGACCTCTCGTCATCGCCTTCTGAATCTCTAGCGCCGGTCCCCCTGCTCTGTTCCTCGTCCTCATAATTGTCTGCCAGTCGGGTGTGTGCTCCTCGTCCACGGCGTTCTTCCCCGCTTCCAGCCATGTTGTCCTATCCCCTGGAACCGGGAAGAAGGTGTACTTCGCGTCGGGATTTCGTTCTAGTGCTGATTTCAATTTCGCCCCAAATGCTGGGCATTGCCTGTCCGCCGCGCCATGTGTTTTGCATCCTTCGACATCTCCGGCGTTCTTGCAGTTGACGCACTGTCTCTCCTCTTCTCCCGCTTCGCAGTCCCCTGTTCTGTGTTTGCCCGCACATCTCGCGCACGTGTCGACCGCGTCAGGGCAATTCACGGCCACGTGACCGGTGCCGATCTTCTGGCACTTGAGGCACCTCATCGGCTCTATGAGCAGCTTCCTCCCCTGTACTCTCTTTCCCTCCGCGAACATCCCGTGCGCGAGAAAGTGGTTTGCCGCTTCGGGGCGCCTGAATCCCACGACCATGTGCGCTACCTTTTGGCCTGGTCTGTGTCGCTCAATTGGCTTGATGTACCTTGCCGCGCCAATGTCTCCTTTGCGCATGTTGTTGTCTGTTTCGAGGTCTCTGAGTGTGCTTTCTCTTGTCGGGTCCAGTGTTTTGGGCACAAACTCGACCACCACGTCGTAGAGTCGTTCCCTGAATCTTGCTGTCCCTCCCAGGCCCATGGTGAACTTCGTCATGTTGTCCTTCACCCACTCTGCCGCTTCTCTCGACGCCAATCTCAGCAGCAGCGCCCCGCTCTTCACTCTCCTCGCCTCCACGAATTTCACTTCGTCAGGCACCTCGTCGGCTCCCGCTGCGAATTCCGCTGCTATCTTGGCCTTCTGTACCATTTCCTTCTCTGACAACCCTTCTATCGCCACCCCTTCTATCCAGATTTGTTGCTCCCGCTCGTCGGCCCTGCCCAGCATTTCTATCTGCTCGCGTGTCTTTGGCGCGTTGTTGCGTCGGCCTGTGCCGTTGGCCACTGCTGCCGCATACGTCGATGCCCCTCTCTCCTCCCTTTCCTCTTCCGCCTCTCCGGCCCTCTCTATCGTCTCCATGACTGTCGCTTCCATCCTCCTCATAAGTTCCTCCATTCCCTCCTTCTGTTCATCAGCCGTCCTCGTCAGTACCACCGCTGCTTGCCTGATTTCCTCCGCTGCTGCTCCCCCTCCGTCGCCCCAACCTCCTGCATCACCTCCCGCTACGTCTCCCGTCATGTCCTCGAGTAGTTCGAGGGCTTTTGCCATCTTCCGCTCCATCCCTTGTGCCGCCTCTCTGCTCACTTCGTCCAACATCTTCGCTATTGCCCTACAGCACCACGCCATGTTGGGGTCTCTGCCTTGTAGGTCCGCTCCCATTTTTAGGACGGCCATTGCGATTTGTTGTACGCTAGGAGTGTAACCTTCCTCATATTCTGTGATAAACGCACCTTTTTGGTGCAGTCCCTCGCACGCTTCATGCACCGTCGTCGTCTCCCATGCATCTCCTTCTCTCCCGCATGCATACAGCTGCTTTTTGTTCATGAAGATATAATCCTTCTGTGCATTCGCTCTCGTTATAGGTCCTTTTCTTTGCGTTTGCGTCTGTGTCGGTGTCGCGCTCGCCGTCCCCGGTGTACCGCTTCTCGGCGGGTTTGACCCCCTCGCATTCGCCATTTTTGAAGTATTTGTATCTAAGTTGAAGTAGTATAGAGCCTATAGCTACAGCCTCTCCGTGGTCCCAATGCACCCACTCAAAAAGTTTTTTTTTTTGAGTGTCGATCAGTATCCCACGATGTGGTCGTAAGCCAAGAAGAATCCCCAAAGACCGCGACTCGAACTGGGTTTCACACGTTGGACATAGCTTTCATGTCGTTTGCAGCGTCTCCTCCAACACCCTCCGACGAGAAGCAAGAAATACCGCCGTATAATCCTGTACCTCCTACCTTCCGAGTCCCCCCATTGTTCTCTGCGTTGACAAATTCTTCAGAAACTTGAATTGACGTTGGAATATATGCGACACAACCATCCGTTCGACGAACTGCCCCCCGAATACTACCTCTCTGCACGCCAAATGAAGGGGGATCCTCTCCCGCGCTTCGTCTACGGCTTTGAATTCCACTTCGTTGACCTCGGTCTCGACCTTGCGCCCACTCTCGCGAAGCTCCACGCGATGCAGGCCAAAAACTCCTATTCGCACACTGCGCGACAAGACCAAGTATCGCCCGATCTCCGCTATCCTGAAATACATCGCCGCCTCTATGGACATCGATGATTTCTCATACTACAACGACCTCGTGGCGGCGCCGATCGACTGGGACAAGACCGGTAGTATTTTCCGGGTATTCAACCAGGTCTTCTCGTCGCATCGACCGGAAAGCTTCAAACCGCTCTGGGTGGATGATGTTGCGCGCATTGCTGCAGAAATACTTCACGAGCTTGGATGGGAGGATGTGCCAAAACCGAAGTGGTATCTCACCACCAACACGATTGGGTCCCCTTCATCGACTGACTACAATATTTTTAACATCCACGTGTAATAAAAAGCGTGCGGACTGTGAATCACTCAATAATTTAGAGTAGATTAACCTCAGTCGGAGATATAAGAACCCGTCAACCATCCGATGGCAGATAAGATTTCTCGTTTCCTTGCCCTACCGGCAGATCCCACTGTCTCTCCCTCAGCTGCCAATGCCGGCGCCTCCGGTAGTAGTATACGAATACCCCTGCGGGGATGAGCAGGAACACAATGCCAGCGATGACAGGCCAAAAGGCCGATATCCTGAACGCGGCGTGACTTCCCGATGGAGGGGGAGTCGGCCGGGAACTTGAAATCGGGCCCCCCGATTCGCTGACACCGAGTATGTCTCTAGAAGTAGATGATTGGGCTGGTCAGTGCTGGTGGAATGCACGCACAGGACACGGGCTTGCGATGGAGATGCCCGTGATGGTTCATCACTGGATTTCGTCAACATTCTGGGTTGAAAATCATTACATTAGCTGGACCGGCTTAAGAGGCCGAATAAGTACATACGCTGTGGCGTCCGGAGATGACGGCTCTTCTCGGTCCACTGTGACCACAGCGTAGTCGAACAAGCCTGCTCCATCGCCATAAGCGTCCCATGCGACGGTATGCGGTATAGCTCCATCGAGGCTGTCCGCCGAGAAGAGAAGCGCGTCGTAGATGTAGTCATTGTGCGTGTTCTCAGTGCGATGAACAGCGAGAATACTCGGGTTTCTCAACGAGAAGCTAAGGCTCCCCGGCTTCCCAGAGTCGATGCCGAAGATGCAGACCGCGACGCCTATTCGCGTGCTCAGCGTTGACCGTCCTTTTGGTGCAGTTGGAAAATAAGGTACCTTGAAAAGTAAATGACCCTGAAGCAGCAACACCGCCTGCCAGTGGACCATGCCAGGAATGGTTGTAAGCTTTCGCGGAGTCTGGTGTTTCCCAGAGATTATTAGTGTCGTTCAGGGTCATCGCATGCCACGGCCCGGTCCACGTCCAGGCAGTCGCATCAGTGTCGTCGATTGTGATATTGACAAGCGCAGCGTTGACCAGAGAGAAACACAACGCCAACGAGAGAGTAAAAAGCATCGACTCTGGATGGTTCGCGCTTGGCAGAAGAGCGGTCGGGGTTCCCACATGGCCACCCTTTAAGTGGTATGAAAACCGTCATTATGAGTCGCGCGACAGGCAGTCTGGGCCGCCGGTTGGGTGGAGGACACAGAGTTATTTCCAGGCACGCAGTGCATCATGCCAACTATCTGTCCCCGGGCCGCGAAAATCAATTCCCGTTGACGCATCGTGACTAACTAGTTGGTCCGCTTTGCTGAGGGCAAATCATCTGCGGAAGGCATTAGAAAACTTGTGTGGACGGCACAAAGGTGTGGCAATGATATTTTATTGCCATAGATTGTACACGGGAGTTGAACTCAGCGCCGCCGTCTTCTCGCCTCTGCAGCCCTATTTGCCTTTGTCATGGCTTTCGCCTTGGCCGCAATTTTCGCCTTCCGCTCTGCGATAACGATCTTCCTGCGCTGGTTCACGCTGACGTTGTTATCGCTCTGCTCCTCCACCGCCATTTGGGCGACATATCGGTCGATGCAGCCCTCCATCTTGGCTTGTATAACCTCTGGCGAAGGTAGTCGCTCATCGGACCCCAAATCCCACTCCAAATCGAAGCCCCATCCAGGCGGGGCGATGGGCTGGCCGGTTTTGGTGGTCACTTCGACCAGGGCCCGCGAGTCTAGTGCCTCGATAACGGCGCCACCAGCACCTATTGGCAGGGCAGGCGAAGCTTCTGGCACGAACGAAGTCGACGCAGCAATTAGGCCGCCCTCTCCACGCCACCAGCGCACAAAATAGAGTGCAGCCCTTGGCCTGTCCAGGACACCGCCCTTGCCGACCATGCCCATCCGCTCTGCCAAGATGTCTAGGAAAACGTCCAACTCGGTGACGGGTAATGTCCCTGGGGGGAGCAGGGCCAGGTACGCGGGTGATGCGGGATTGAGCGTGTTGAGCTTCTGGAGGAGGTATGCGGCAAGAGCTTCGATGTCGTATAGTCCTTCCTTAATGCCCGCTGTCAATGCAAATTGAGTATGTGCAGTTTCTTAGAGGCATTTCAAACCAATTAGAGCAAGCTTGACCCCTCTCTCGGCGCCTTCTGGACCATGGCCAAGGAAGGGAAGCATGACGCCGGGGCTGTCGAATGCATATACCGGTGGTGACACAGATAGCTTCAGCCTCGTTGAAAGGGCCTGAGTTAGGCCCGGGTTGGCTGACGTTTGAAGTGCTTTCGCAGTTTCTGCGAGAATTCAGAACAGGCCCACTTTCGGAGTGAATCCACATACTCCCTTTGATTCCCAAACTTCGGAGGGAGTTGAGCAGCGTTGACTTGCCAACATTCGGCATCCCGACGACAAGCACATTCATTTCCATAGCGTATGGGTACCTGCCCGCTATGCCTGACGAATTTCTCAGCACACAGGAAGCCAAACACAGAACCAACATACTCACTAGCATTTCGTGGAGTTTCCTCACATCTCGTTGCTGCTGACACGACGCAAAGACGTTGTGCTGGCCCGGAAACCGACTCGACATGGCTTTGCGAAATGGCTCCAGTCCCCAAGTTGGAACCATATCTCGTTTGTTGAAGACGACTATCCGTTCGCAGGCCATGCTGTTGAACACCCTTCTATCCGGGTTACTGGGGTCCCATCCCCGCTCGAGTCTCCATCGTTGAATTGCATGTTCTAGCTTGTGGTTGATGCTTGTGAGCGGCAGACGAGAGTCGCGGACTTCTAGAACAACGTTGGTGCGATTGAGGAGAGCAGGGAGTATACGCGCGAAGCGCGCCATATGGCCAGGATACCATGAATGTGGTGCGGGAAGGTCGAGCATAGTGGTGGTGGTTTCAGATTGAAACAGAAAAGTACTTCCGATAGACTCGCTCACATGAGCGCTTCGCGAACCCAAGTGAAAAAGGTGAAAAAATACAAATTACCGCGCCTATACGCGTCCGAAGTACCTACTTCAACCAGAAATACAGAAGAAGATTTACCGAAAGCCATAAGAGGACAGTTATCGACCTAATCGTCTAAAACATTCAAACCCAGCCTTCCTTGAGCGAAATCCTTGCATAAACAATTAAACCCAGCCTTCCTTTCCGACACCAATGGCGTCGAAATTCTTGCCACTACGCGTGCGCCGTTCCTGGAGAATAGGCACTGCATCTACAGTCAGAATGAGTCTGTCTTCACAGAGTGGAAAGCTGCGGGCGGCTCACCGAGATTGATAAGTTTTTCCGAGGGTGGTGGGGAGCCCTCAACCCAGCCCTTCCATCCTTTTCTGACAGCAGGGCGTGGTTTACGAGGAGGTGGTGGGCGATGGATGACTCTGACTAAATCTTCATCGTCATCGGGAGTTCTGGGTCGTTTCGAGGACGTTCGTGACGTGCTCGACGACTCGGATGGACTTGGCGTCGAGGCTGGAGTCGAGGGCAAGGCGGACAAGTAAGCGGGTAACGGGGGTGGCGTTTCTGAACGCGACCGCTGTAAGGTGGCAATGTGTATAGCAGGTCTGAATGACTCAGGTGAGAATGAGATAGTGAGAAAGACGCGCAATGACTCGCCTGGCGTTCCAATAGGCGGATGAAGTCGAGGCATGAGGGAGTGCCTCGGTTTGAACGCCAATGCCTTCGCCTGTGGCTTCTTGAAGAGCCCGCCGTTGCTCTTTCTCGCGTGCTTTTTTATCCCTCTTCCTCTGGCGCCGTATTTCGTCTTCGTCAGGCCCAAGTGGAGTATATGGAGCAACTCCGTTCAATAAGCTCGTCAACACATCGCGATGAGGACGAGGATCGAAGTAGCCAGTGAGGACAGATGTAGCGGTCCTGCGGACCCGTTTTCGAGGTTTGAAGGTGGGTGGTCGGGCGAGTGTTTCGACGGCCATGGTAGTGGTTAAGAAAAGAGAATCAACAACTCCACTTTCGGAATTGCATCAACAAGCCCGGTGGCACGTGTCTTTCCTGGACTTCCCCCGCTATCCCCATCTAATTCTCCTCCACAATTACACTCCCTCCGCCCCGGCCCTTCCACAGCCTCCCAAGGTACCCTCCTGAGTCACTGCCAGCTATCCAGCGCCATTATTTCGTCCCTCCCCATTTTTTTTGTTCTCACCCATGCGTCCATTTTGATCCAGCGAATCATATCACTAGCCTCTTGCCCAAAACAGGCCACTTTCCCCGGCTCCCCGAGTTATCATGACCAGATTTTCCCTTGGAACGCCTTATTTTTACCCTTTTGCTCGATAACAATCGTCTTCATCAAGCTTCCGCCGCTGTGAGAGCCTCTCCTCTGCCTTTGTTCTTTGCCTGCAAGGAAACCAATTGTTCTCAAATCGTCTTGCTGTTGTCCGCTGCCGCGAGTTGATGGTATCGGAGATCTGGTCCCTCAACTCTCACACACGCATTAGCACCTCGTTGACAGCCCATCCATCTACCGAGACCCGCCTCGAGCTCACTTGCCTCGTCAACACGACCAGCCAGGTATCCTTGATCGCCATACTGCCTCTGCACGTGCTGGGTCGCCTTCCCCATCGCCCGCGGCGCCAGCGTTTAACTGACAGCTTAACCTTACAGTGTTTCTCATTTCGGCACTGATCCCTATTAGACGCTTGAATTTCGCTATCCACTCCACAGTAAGCTCTAAGGCTCCTTTACCCTCGATGGAACCCGTAATGTTACTCGACAGGCGTCTCGGAGTTGATAGGCAAGTTGGCGCTAGGACTGCTAATGCAGTGGCGCTTAATGACACCACCACTCTGCACTTGCTCTGCACCACTGGTAATGTCCTCTGCTCGTGGAAACTGGCCCTTACTCCGCACTAGTTTTGCCCCTTTCCCGAAGTGATTGCTGGGAACCATGTTTCATGTGTCAGCAATTGACCCTTGACGATGGCACCTGCATGCACTACTGACTCAAGCCGCACCGCAGCACAGATCGTAATTGCGGCATGCCCATCGGTTTCGAACAGCGGTGGCCGCTCCGAACCCGCCGTGCACATTCATGCCGTGTTACACCTGCTGCTGCCACACAGCCGACATCCACTTCGGAAACCAAACCGAAGCAGCCCGAGTATTCGCCTGTCCACAGTTCCGAGCTAACGACCATGTATTCATGTCTGTCGAGCTTACGCCTCGAACCTTCGATGTGACGACGGTCGCTGATTTTTCTTCAGTCTAGAATACAGATCAACGGGCTCGTCGGACACTTTGGATTTGGCCCATAACCCACACCGGGGACACCAGTGGCTGCGTCTCAGCTTCCGTCAGCCGTGTAAGGCCGAGCTGGGCCCACTAACCTCCCATCGAAGGATTACCGCTTTTGGAAATCACCGCCTTCCCCACAGATGTTCGTCCCTAAAATCCACCGCCTCCGCATCGTACGTGGACTTCATGTGCCGAGCACATAGCATCGAAACCTTGTTTCCGGCCGCGGTTTCGTGGTTTCAGCATGTCTCTGGGATACCACAAGGATGATTTGATGGGAGGACGTTGGGGTTTGTTGATGCGGCGTGTTTTAAGAGTCCGAGCATGATATTCGGTATCTTTGAGCTCGTCAAAGACTCGTTAACCTCCAAGTCTGCCCATTGGTGTATTTCCTGGTCTGTGATGCAGTATTCTGTGAGCAAATGGATATTTTTGATCAGTATTGTGATCGGATAAACTCCAAAGTCATTGTTAAGCCTTCATTTGTCTCGTTGTTTCACCCAAGACACCATCCCAGCACTCTACTATTAATTGACCTAGATTGCGCCTCCAAATTTACAGCTCGTTCCTCCACTTCAGAATCAGTAACCTTCGGCAATTGCCGTACCTCCCACTAGCTACGATGCGCAGAAACAGCTACGAAACCCCGGCTGTTAGCATACCACTAGATCCCCAACAGCAGCGACCCGCATCAAATCCGTGCATACCCACTCTGCGGAACAAAATCCATGAACAAGAAAATTGAACTGTGGCGGTGTTACTTAGTTGACTTAACAATACGGAAATGAGTTATTATGAAAAACGCTTGCTGAACGGCGTGCGCAAACCCTGGCGCGGAGATGAAGGGTCGTGTCTTCTACGTTATCACCCCGGTCTCTAGTCATGCTAGTGACTACGGACAAAAATAACTGCCGCCGTTCAATGCCGTGACTCGCCAAATCGATGCCAAGGTTCGCGGGTGTTTGGTTTGGAATGGACGGGTTTGTAGAGTTGCTAGTACCATGCACGATGAAATCATCTACTCATCCTGATCCTTGCAATGCCAGAGCCCGATCATGATTATGATCAGTTCGCGGCGCCAGAGAGGATTAGAGTATTTCATTTTGCATAATGACAGCCACTCAAACGACGGTTAGAACCTATTGCCTGTAAGTACGAGAGGAGAAGGGGAGATCCTGACACGCGCACACCAGCTTAGATCGCGAAAGCCAAAGACTCTGAGTTAATAAGCACGAGCAGCGGCCTAGTCAGTTGCCCGTGAGCTCGAGAGGCATGGAACCCCGCGATCTCATATCATAGACGCCGAAAGTTAGATGGAATTGAAAGCCGTTTGCAAAGATCCCACGATCAATCGCCACCCGGGGTAAACCTATCTTGCTTGAGCGGGAGAGCGGCCAATTCTGTCGTTTATTTCTCTTGCTAGCCTCAATTCCGACTTGTACACGAGCGGCCCGATGTAACAGCTGGCAGCAGGCTTCCCAAATTAGAGTTTTGGCGGCGGTGTCAGTGTGAGCGTCATGTTTGCAAGCGCCAGCCACGCAGGGTTGTCCAAGTTTGGCGCTGGAAGGACAGGTCACACGGCCAAGTTCTGCTGTCATGATAATCGCCAACGCTAATGGATGTTGTTGCGGGACGACAAGAAGGCAAGAATGGAAACAGAAGCACAATATTAATCCCGTCGGACATTGATATATGATGAGTGCTGCAGTGTAGAGTGTGCACTCTCCAAGTCGATGAGCGACAAAGCAGGTGCATGTGACTGCGGCTAGAAATCGATCTGGAGCGCGATAAGAATCGATAGTTGGGTGTGTTCAGCAGAAGGCAGAGAAGCAGATGTCTAGGAACCTTGAAATGATCAGTGCGCGTGAGAAGACTTCTACGTCAACGAAGATGGCCAGCGAAAAGAGGTTCTTGACTGTTCTTGATCTCTCATCGTGGAAGCTAGAGCCATCGCCTAGATAATCCTGTTTGCGATAATCAAACCAGTGATCGGCTGATAAGATATGCTGACCAATCGTAGCTGACACAAAGTAAACCACATTCCTGAAAATTTTATCCAGACCCAAGAACTAAGGTGAATTCTGACTTTGTTATATACACGTCTATGTTTTGAAGATCCTCAATAGCCTTGCCTCTGTGACAATCCTTGTGCGGCACAGCGGACATTCACGTGAGCTATTCATGACGAGTTCAGAGCATTCGCGGCACATCGCAAGGTGTCTGTGGTCGTTTAAGCTGAATTGTGGGAGGACGAAGAAAGGAAAGCTTACCCGCAGTCAACAATGGCAATATTAGCTTCTTCGTCTTGACATATAACACAAAGACCCGTTCGTTCGACATGAATGGCTTTTGGCTTCGGTAAAGGAGGTGGACTTGGAGTCGCGGCAGCAATGAATTCTGTCTCCGACTCTGTGGGGGCGCTAGGCGGAGACGCACTGTCATCAGGTGTTGGATGCTCGTCTTGCGCTGCCGCGGCAGCCTCTGCTCTTTCCCGCTCTGCTCTTTCCCTCTGTTGCCTTTGGAACTGCTCCATCATGACCCTTTGCTGCTCAATTCGTGCCTCCTCCTCTGCTTCTTCCTCTAATCTTCTCCTTTCTCTTGTCCGTCTCTCTTCTTCTACAAGATCTATCACTTTCTTAACAAGGTCGCTTTTTTCTAAGGCGCCTTGACCTAAGTTTACGTGGTTCGCAAACAGAAGGGCCTTCAGTGCATGGACAGGCAACGCGCCAACTGATTCCGAAGTCATTGATAGTAATTGGTCAAGTGATGGTGGTGGGACACTGGGTGGTCCAGGTGGTGGTGGAGGATGTGCAGAAGAAGCAGCACGTGCTCTAGGAGGTGGGCCATTCGCCTGAGCATTAAGATTATGAGAAGACCGGGAGGGTCGTGGTCCCTGATTCGGGCGAGTCGCGCGAGGTGCCACAGGTGGCCCTGCGTGTTGAGGAGAGGGGAAGTGTGTCTGAGAATGATATTGGTCATTCGGGTTATGATAAGCTGGTCGCGAAGTAGCTGGCCGTGGGGGAGGGGAAGAGTGTTGTTGTTGTGTGCTTGGTTGTGATGTCGGGCGAAGAGGGATGTCCGGAGCAAGATCAGGTCGCGGAAATTCATACGTTGGGGTTTGATGAGGACGAGGTGGTGGCGGCGGTGGTTCAGTATTGGTAGATGCCGAGCTTCGAGAGAACAAGCCACGTCGAGGCACATTAGACCTATCCGGAACAGAATATTTACGATAGTAACTCTGTCCGGTGATTGGTATGAATAGATATTGACCTGAATGAGTGAGACACCAACCTCGTGTGCTGGAGTCAAGCACCCATTGTCTCCCTAGCCATCGGTCACTATCAAGCAGACAGTATATGAAGCTTTGCGCACCTTGGCCGCCATGATCGCTTCTATCAGATCGTTCTTCTCAACTGCCCGCTCTGCTCCTTTGATGTTGTAGGCGCTGATGTATTTCTTCAGTTTCGGTAGAGTTAACGATCTAAGGTGCGCCCTTCCGCCTGCAGTTACTGGATTTCGTTAGGTTGATAGGGTAATTTAGATGAGAAGCAAACATACTGGTCAGGTATTCGATGCAATACCCACAGACATTCACCGCGTCGTACCCCATTTCCGCACCAGTCCTCGGCATCAGTGCTTGGAAGTCTGTGCAACTGTGACAGTACATATATCCTAGAGCTCACTGAGCGGTACTGAGAGAGAGCACTCAATCAATACGTGCCGCAATGGTTACAACGTCTTGGTCGGGCTAAGAGGAAATTGAAATCTTTCGAGCACTTTCTGCAACTGGTCGCATCTGCACGGGTAGACTCGAGAACTGGTGGTGGTCCCGAGAGCAAAGGAAGCCCAGACATGGTGGTTTGAGTACAAGGAGTGAGTAAGCGTCGACAGAAGGTGCTAGATCAAGTGATGACAGTTGCTGCTCACGTTATAACGTCGCAACTTGAATACCCTTTTAGATGCTTACGGTCACCTTCGTGCGTGCTCAGTGCGACCATACCTTTCTTTCTTCTAATGCTTCTCAGATTCGTCATGGTCAATCTTTAGACAATTTAAAGGTTTTTCTCACTCCCCTTTATTTGAGGAAGCATTGCACGACCCAACAGAGTAATTGGGCTGGTTGGAAGGATGCTCCGCTGAGCGAACTTGGCAATAAGGTATGAATGGCTTTGAATAGATTTTTTGCGCGAGCTTGGAGTCGACTGTAAACGGGCTCCATCGCGACGGCAAAAAAACTAATCTACGATGCAGCAAGCAGCTGCGCTTGGCAAGGCTTTCAAGGCATCAAACACTCATTTCGACTTTATTTACGCCTCCGATCTACTACGCGCAAACACCACTGGACTTTCCGTGCTCGAAGCCCATGACGACCCCAAGCCAACTTTCTCCTCATCTCCCAAACTCCGCGAACAGCATTTTGGCGTTGCGGAAGGTCAACCTTGGGTCTTGAGCACCCCGCCAGGCGACCAGAGTTTAGATGAGCTATTTGCTCAGGGGATATTCCCGGTGCTCCACTCCCGCAACGCCAAATTTCCAGAGGGCGAGTCTTTGGATGACTTAGCCCGGCGAGCCGACGGAGCGGTCGCGGAATTTCTTGTCCCACATCTCGCTTCGCCTAACAACACCCATGTTGCCATAGCAAGTCACGGGCTGTGCATCAGCGAACTGGTTGCCGCACTTCTGCGACTTGACCCTCAATCACGGAGGGACATATCTTATGCTGGCCTCCGCAATACGGCTTGGACTCGGGCGGTCGTCACTGTCAAGGTACATCTTTTGTTGTGCTTTCTCCCTCGACTGTAGTTGACGCGCTCTAATCGTAAGGACGGCTACAGCTTGCCGAAATACGGGGCCCCGCCTCCATTGACTGTGGATATCACGCATGTTAACGTCGCTGATCACCTTCACACTTTGGAGGTATTGATGCATATTTATTGACTGCGACTTTTTGTGCTCACTCGGTGCAGAGTGTGGAGCCTCTCGAAGAGGTGGATGAGTCGAAGGCATCTGCTCGCGCGTTCTTTGGGGGCAAGGCCATGGTTTAGCTGCTTGCATCCGAAAAATAGAATCTATGCCAATCGTGTTATCCCACCAGGGAATCGCATATCCAACCATGTAGACGAGAAAATAAAATAGATTCAGAGTTAGACCACCTATGAGCATCATGATTTCTGAATCTCACTTATACTCCATGATTGCCCATCAAGCCTTGTCAGTGCCAGTGACTCGGAGTCATTTGCTCATCGCATGAACTTATGTGGATGAACCACTACTTATCCGGAGGGTAACAAGAAGAGATCTATCATAAGTACTGCATAACTAGAGTCATGACTCGGAGTCCGGCAAACGACGCGTTCATCACGTGCACGCGCCGTGTGTGACATTCGTGACATCATTGTTTGAATTGCGTTTACGCTTGGTTCGCATTGCCACTGTGCCACTGGCTTCCTGGTGCTTTGACTGCTTGGTTGTGCATATAAGACTTGGTGCGCTGCATTGTTACGCAAATTTTGACTACCACCAATTATGGCCCTGCCTCAGACGCCTCACCGTGACCCCGGACGCGTTCCATTCAACACGACTGGCGCTCTAGGTCCACCATTCACAGAAACTTCGGCGACTACTCCCCTTAAAGTCAAAGCGGGCAACTCTCAATACGCCTGCGACAAAGACGTGGCGAAGCAGGACAACCTCCGAGAAATGGAGGCTTGGAAAGCTCAAGCCAGATCTGGGTTTTCATGCGAGGTCTCCACCGAAGACTTCTTTCGGATTTATATGGGCAAACAATCTCCTCCCGACTCGATAATCGACGAAATGGTTCTTCGAGGGCACGGACATCTTGCTGACGCTGCTGATCAGATTCAACACTCTGAGCCGGCTGTTTATGTCCCTTGGGTATGTCCTCTCCGCTGACTCTAAAGGTATATTTACGCTCGACAGACGAAATATTGTAATGCTTTTGCTGTAGCTCTTCCAAAGGCTCAACGACCATTCTTTGATTCGACATGGGCAACCACCTTCCCCCGACTTCATCCTACCGACCCTGACTCGAAACCTGACGTTGTTGCCTCAAAACCTGGGCTGAAGCAAGCACACTTCCGAAGAAAGAACAAAGGGAAGGAAACGAAAGTTTGGTCATGGCCGTCGGTCGCGAATGCGACTGAGCATAAGCCGAACATCAAGGACGATCCTTTTACGGACCAGGGCCCAGCAGTCTCTAAAGCGGGCTGCGAAGCTGCTGTTCAGCTTCTTCACAACGCACGACGCATGTTTATGGCCTCCGGATGCTGCTATGTCTTCCTTTTGACGGTTTTTGGGCATCACGCAAGAATCGTCCGCGTTGACCACTCGGGATACATTGTCACCGTGCCCTTCAACTGGACCCCAAACCACTCCGACCGCGTGATTCCCGAATTCTACTGGCGCTTATTTTGTGGGGGCGAGCCAAAGTCTTTCCTCGGCGCTGACAATACTATCTCGCCAACAACGTTCCGCGAACAGGCGAAAATGTACAAAGCGTTGAAGGGGATCGCGCCTTCCTCAGATTGGACCATGGCTTCGCTGAGAAGCAGTCTTTGCATCACCCTTGACACTGGATCGACGACAAAACGGTGCTTTACGGTCGGCCCGCCTATTCACCAATCGAAAGGGCTCTTCTCCCGTGCCACACGAATCTATCGCGTGCTGGTGGAGGGCGAAGAACCTCCTCGTCTCCATGCATTAAAAGACGCCTGGGTTCAAGCTCACCGTGTCCCCGAGTGGGTTTTCTACCGTATCATCGACGACCACATCGAAAACGAGCTCGGCGGAAGGCCAGTACGAGGTCTGACACGTTGCCTCGGAAGTCAAGAGCTCAATCAAATGTCTGTGGACCATACAACCACCTCAGCCGGTCTTCGTGACGGTGGCAAGCCGCTTCAAGAGCGACATCACCAACGGACCCTCCTTGCCGACGTTGGAACACCGATCTACGAATACCCGCGGACCAAAGTGCTCTTGCAGGGAATACGCGATGCCATGGAAGGCAAGTTCAAACTCGTTTGCTGTTCTTCCTGATCGCTCACTTGTTGTAGGACATAAAATTGCCGTTGATGCGGGAATTATTCATCGCGACGTCAGTCCGGGCAACCTTCTTTTGAAAGAGGGTCCGGAGGGGAGCTACGAAGGCTTCATACTCGACTGGGATGTCAGTCTCCTCACAGAGAAAGGAAAGGCCGCTGCGCAACGCGTCTGTGGAATTGATCTGTCGCAGTACGAGTTATCCAAGCTCGAGAAAGAGATTACGGTTTGTTGACATTGAAACATGAATCCACGCTGTCTAACCCAATGTTTTCAGGGAACATTTCAATTCATGGCAATTGAAGTCTTGGAAGCCTACAGCGAATATCAGAGCTCCCGCCCTGAAGCTCTTCTGGATGATCAACCACCGCCTTTCATACACGAAGCAAAGCATGATATGGAGTCCTTCTTTTGGGTCCTTCTCTGGATTTTGCTCCGTTACGCACAACATTCGGTCGCTGAACAAGGGCTTGCGGCCACCTCGATATTTGATCATTCGACTGCGCTCGCTGCGCAACTCACGAAGATTGGTTGGCTTTCCAGCGCGGGGAAGCGGAATTTAATCCCGCAAATTGCCCCGCTCAATCTTGCCGTAAAACAACTTGGAACCCTCTTCCGGATAGCACACGCCATTGGGACAAGCCCTGCATACCAAGAAGCCTTCGATGCGATGGACCCACATCTGTCAACAGACGATGGTTGGCCAGCAGACGACAAACCCATCCCCTTCGTCCCCCAAAGTGCTTCGCGAGGGGCAGCCGAAATCCAGGCACGTGTTCCTGTACTTAAATTTGGGACATGGGCTGGCGGGGACCCTAACTCTACTTCGGCATATCCTGCGCCACTAGTTGTCCATGACGATGTCTCGCGTTTCTTTGCTGGTCCTTCCCGGCCTTCAAATCGACCACCAGGGTCAGCATCAGCCACCAGTAAGCGCAAGCGCGAAGACGACGAAGAGCCACATCCGGAGGCACCGGCGGTCGGTTCGAAAGAGAGTGTCGAGGTTGCCCTTAGCACCGGAGATGTCGACGTTGCTAGTGAGCGCAAGAAGCAAAAGACCCAATAGTATAGTGGCTTGGAACACACTCTACGACTCATCTTACATTTGTAGATTACCTTTCCCTCTATAATCCAATAGCATAAATAGAATCACTAATTCACCGAAGAAGAACACCAATTAATGATTGCATCATCTGATCATCAATTTTAATTGCATCATCTGATCATCAATTTTGAAACTCTCGCAGACCCACTGTGTGCACATACAGATAACCATGGTGCGAATCGGATTCTGGAGTACTACGTGACCATCACTGACGAACTTCAGTCTGCGTGCTGCCTCGAAGCTTCGTTACACCATGTCCACCTTCGACTCTGACCTTCGTGCTTGTCTTCTCGACTCTGACCTTCGTGCTTGTCTTCTCCAATATGTTTCGCTCAAGACCACGAGTCGCGTCGACTCTGTTGTGTTGAATGGGACAGAGTTTGCACGTCCTGAACCCGCAGCTAAGGGCCAGGATATGCAGCACTTTGAAGAATGGGACTTCGGTCAGGGTACATGGATTTTTGCTATGATTTTGGACGGTATGTGCTCAGGTTACCGATGGTCAAAGGGCTCACGAGGATTGGTAGGCCATGGTGGAATTAGCAGCGACTTGAAGTTGAACGATGCAGCGGAGTTCATCCACTCAGAGCTGCCTCCTCTCATCAAAGCCGCTGTTGCAGCGAGGCTGGCCGCTACCCGAAGCCATTGTCTCCCAGATGCAGACATGGCGAAAATTCTGTCCGATAACCTAGTTGCACTCGATGACCGCATCAAGGACGATGTTATCGCTGCCCTCGCTGATGAATCGATGCCGAACCGTGATATCCTCTTGGGTAGAGCTGTAACAGGAACGACGGCTTGTGTCGCGGTAGTGGACCCTTCTCGCCGCGTTCACGTCGCCAACATTGGCGACTCGGACTGCTACCTGGTCTCGGGCACGACGAAGGAGGCGGCCCATTTGACACCCCATCAAAGTTGTACCAACCCCGCCGAAAAGCAGCGGATACTCGACGAACATCCCAATGAGTCCAGCTCAGATCTCTTTCATGCCAGAAGACTCTTCGGGCGACTAATTCCAAGCAGAGGTCGGTTGCAAGCCTGTCATTGCGCGAACAACTCCGTGCTCAGTCTGTCTCCGATAGGTATCGGCGATTTCCCGCTCAAGCTTGCGGCGCCAGAGGTCAAGAAACTGCTCCTGTGGATGAATATGGCGGGGGTTGACGTTGAAACGGACTCAGCCGTATTGCATAACCACACCCCGCCCTATCTCAGCAACAAACCCGACATCATACACGTCCAGGCAAACGAAGGGGACTTTCTCGTACTTGCATCGGACGGGCTTGGCAGTCAAGTCTGGTTCATGAACGACGGGGATAATTCGGTCGAAACTGTCGGCCGAGTTTGTGCCGCGGGTCTGGTTGACCAGCCCAGATCTGGCTTCAACGCTGCGCTCGAGATTATTTGGCAAGCCTGGCTCGGTGTCGTCGACTGCCACCTGTATCGTTTGGTTGTGGACAAGTATTCGCCTTCTGGTCGTGTTGATGACATTGCCATAGTCGTTGGTCGTCTATAAACGACCGAGATTCTGGCGTCTTATTTCAACTTGAACTTGCTTGTGATGTTACTACTATCAGTGCTTGGTAAATGAACAACAGCTCGAAGAGCGACTTGGAGATCAGTTGTCTACTTGATCTTGATGCAGTTGGCCTTCTGCCGCGTGGTCTGTTGCAATGGAGTCTTTTTTCAACAAGTCAGATGCAAAAGCATTGTAAATCATGATTTACTTGAGCCAAATGTCCCACAGTAAATGCATGCTTCCTCAAAGTCCATACTTATTGCTCTCAAGTTTGCCTTTGATTTGGACTAAGTAACAATACCTCAATTCAACCCGCAGTGCCTAAGTTTGAGTCAAGATCTTGGAGATTATGGATGGATGATCCTATACACGGACAACAATGATAGCAACATCGTCAACTCGACCAGAAGGCGAGTATTTGTTGACCACCAAACGATACATGTGGGTGTCAACTACACCCAGCCACGCCTCCCAGAGGATCTCGAGCGCAGAATTAAACCCAGAGCTGGGTGTTCTACTCAAGCCGGCCCCGCAAGTGCGCCCCACGCTCTCGATTGTGCTGACGTGGCCGTCCCTCCACCAGACCTGGTCGGCCAACCCGTCTGATGCGAGCACAAGGACATCCCCTTCGTCTGCCTGCACGTGCGTGATGTCGGGCTTGTTGCTGAGATAAGGCGGGGTGTGGTTATGCACGATGGTGGGGTCTGCTTCTGACTCTGACTCGTTCATCCAGAGGAGTAGTTGTTTAACCTGTGGCGCTGCAAGCTTGCACATAAAATCGCCGATAGCTATCATGAACATGTTGAGGATGCGCATAATTATGGAAGTAAGACAACTGGCCTCTGCTAAGAATCACTCGCCCGAGAATCCTTCTGGCGTGGAAGAGATCTGAGCTGGGCTCGTTAGGATGTTCGCCTATTATTCGTTGCTTTTCGGCGGGGTTGGTGCAAGTGTGACGGGGCGTCAAGTGAGAGGACTCCTTCGCCATGCCCGAGACCAAGAAGCAGTCCGAATCGCCGATATGGGCAACGTGAACACGGCGAAAAGGGTCCACGACAGCGACACAAACTGTTGTGCCCGTTGCAGCTCGGCTTAAGATAGTTTCCCGGTCAGCCAACGACTCGTCAGCCAGGGCAGCAACAACGTCGTCTTTGATGTGGTCATCGAGTGCAACTAGATGATCAGACAATATTTTCCCGATGTCTGCATCTGGAAGGCAACGGCTCTGAGCCGCATCCAACCCTGAAGCGACAGACGCTTTTACGAGAGGAGGCAGCTCTGCTTGTATGAACTTTGCTGCAGCGTTGTTCCCAACTTTGCCATGACCTGTCACTTTCGCTCGTGAAATTCTCCTCGACAATAAGTACTCGCTGCACGCACCATCAAGCACCAGAGCGAAAATCCACGTGCCCCCAATGAAGTCCCACTCCTCGAAGTGCTGGATATCTTGGCCTTCAGGCATAGGTGCAGGATGGTCATATCCTGTCCCGTTCAGCAGGACAGAATCGACGCGGCTCGTGGTCCTCAGTGACACGGATTCAAGAAGACGCGCGCGAATGTTGGATTCAGAGATTGTTGTAGTCATGGTGCAAGTAAGTCCCAGGAAGCGTTGTGTACACGCAACATGGTTTGGTTGAAGCTTCTCGAGCGGATCGACAACACGGATCAAATACCAAAATCACCAGCACGTGTTCGAAATATTTTTGGCCTCTGCAACCATCTCCTCCAACAAATGGCGCCTCTTTGCATAGCAATATCATCCCTTGTGGCGTCCCGAATGCTGGCCACTGCTTTTCTTCCGACCACTTGAGTCACAAGGCAATGCTACGTCTCGCGTGGATCCTCGTTCTGTTCGTTTTCGGAGCACAAACAGCATTGGTCAATATCACCATCGACGATACCGACCCGAACGCATGGACCTGGATCGGGAAGTGGGATGCGTATACGAAAGACAAGACTACCTGTGACGGCTGCTTTGCCCACCCTGACCCGAGTCAGGTCCACAACAGCTCATGGCACGATGGCCGCCTCTGTTCGGGGTCATTTACTTCGCAAGGTATAGTTTTCTTCCTATAGAGTTTTGCAGCTGCTCAATGCTGTCTTCAAGGCGTCGCGGTTTACATCTACGGGATTGACCTGTCAGGCTTCGAAGGCGACCCCGCCAACATCAGCTTCTCCGTGAAGAACTCGCCCGTCTCGACGTTCCACTACTTGAAGACTCCTTCTGGGTACATCTACAACTCTCTTTTCTTCTCCGCTCATGGCCTGGACGACTCTGCGCCGTTTACCGTTGATTGGACGGAAAACCTTAGCAGTGCCGGGGGTGGAGTGGGGCTGTTCGATTATGCTGTGGTTACCGTCGAGCAAAAGGACGCTCTTCCAGTAGTGAAACCTTCAACGTATGTTCTCGCAACCCATCGAAGTTATGACTGATTGCCAATAGCACGACGACGACGAGTAGTGCCACAACGAGCTCCAGTATAACCCCCACCTCCACAAGTGAGAAAAGTTCGATGTGAGCCAGCGCATCAGTTTCAGCTGCCGTGGCTGATCATCTTCAAGTTCCCCGTCAAGCACAAGCGCTAGAAAATCGATTCCCGCCGCTGACTCGACGAGCTCAAGTGCTCTGCAAAGCTCTATCTCCGCTTTTGGCTTCTCGCTACCAACCGGCTCCAGTCTCCCGACAACCCATCAATCCAAAACTGGGTTCATTGTCGGTGGCGTTGTCGGCGGGATTGCTGTTTTTCTATTTTTGGCGGGCGTGTGTTTGTGCTATTGGAGGCGTCGGAGCCGCTCAGCGGTCCCCACGCAGGAAGTAGTCCCGTTCCAGCCGCAGCCCCCATCACCATTAACCATCACCACCCAACAAAAACGTGAGTTTTCTTTTGTATCGATTGGATGATTGCACATAATGCTGTTTCTAGACTTGGAATCAAACCCATTGATGTCTACACACTCTTTTACTAGTTCTCCAATATCTAATACCCCAAGTGGGACTCTTCAAAATCGAGAAGCCGAATTCGAGCAGCGTCTACGTGATTTGGAGGCGATGACGATGAACCCACCTGCTTATAGTTAATGGGTATTTTGTGTCCTTCAGATACCCTTACTCCAGATCTACTATGGTTGACAACGTATAATCTAATCTACTACTATCCAATTGTTTTTTTTTTTTTTTTTTTTGATTCAGTGATCGTGCACGTGCCCAACATTTTCCGAGTCTGTTCTTCGCCAACACATCTCTCCGAACAAATGGGATGGCGATGCCTTTCCGCCTGGTGCCCAAGCAGCCTGCTTTCCCTCTCGCCACGTCGGGCCAATGCTGCAACTCTTGCTAGTCCTGGCTCTGTGCATATTCAGAGTCCAAACCACACTCGTTAACATCACCATCGACGATACCGACCCGCACGCATGGACCTGGAAGGGGGACTGGCGAGCATATGAGAGCGGCAATACCGTTTGCAATGACGGCTGCTGGGCGCATCCTGACCCCAGCAAAGTGTACGGCAGCTCATGGCACGATGGGCAGTTTAGCTCGGGGACATTCACCGCGCAAGGTATGTCAATCTAATTCTGCGTGTCCTTATCGTCTCTGAAACCTCGCAGGAGTCGCGGTCTATATCTATGGCGTCGATGTCTCGCAGCCCCAGGGCCCGCCCGGAAATGTCAGCTTCTTCCTGAAAAATTCAGCGGTTTCGGGGTATCATGTCGTCGGCACTGCACCAGGCTACACGTACAACTCTCTTTATTTTTCTGCCCAGGCGTTGGACGCATCCTCCCCGTTTACCGTGCAATGGACGCTCCGCGCCAGTGTTGGTGGGGTTGGTGGGTTAGGGCTATTTGACTACGCTGTGGTCACGGTTGAGCGGCCCGATCCTCCGCCGCCAGCGCCACCACCTCCACCACCATCACCGACTGGGAACAACGCGGATGCGGCGTATGTTTTCCAAACCCTTCAAAAGTGTCGCTAATTTGCGCTCAAGTGCAACCTCAAGTGTAAGGACAACAACAACTCCAACAACACACAGCTCTACGAGTGAGAAAAGGGACATATCGTGAGTGAGGGCGATGTCCCCGTCATCGTGCTAATAATCATGTTCAAGTCCTTCTTCTGGAACAAGCGCTGGTAGTGGATCCACTGTTGGAACAAGCACCACTAAAACCTCCAGCATCACAAGCATCGCCCAAAGCACTACTCTGGCTCCTGTTCCGAGCAACTTAATTTTCCCTACACCTCACCGATCCCAAACTGGATATATCGTCGGCGGAGTCGTTGGCGGCATTATATTTCTAGTTATCCTTGTGGGTGGCCTGTGTTACTGGAAGCGTCGCAGTCACCATCCGCAAACTGCCCTCGAACCGGCCCCGTTTCAGTCACAATCCCAATCGTTTCTACTCGACCAACTAAAAAGTCGGTTTGCTTTTTACAAAATTGGTCTCTCTTTGACTCAAGGCTACCTCTAGACTCCAAGCTGGAAGCATCAATGTCCACACATTCTTTGAACGGTCTTGCAACATCTAATATTTCGACTGGAAGTTTGCAGGGTCGGGAAGCTGAATTCGAGCGGCGTCTGCGTGATCTGGAGGCGAGGGCGCTTGACCCTCCTGCTTACAGCTAACAACTGTGTGCCTCCCTCATTGGATACCCTTTTAATTCTGAGTAAACGGTAGTCATCAATGGCATCTATTCTTATACGAACCCCGATTAGATGCTGCCTCCCGATCAAGGTCGATCATTTTTTGCGAATCTTTCTTCTCGCTCGCTCGATGGACAGGAAACGCCTGATGTTCCGCGGGACCGACCGACTTTCTCTTTCCGACTCCCTCGAGGGCTTTTGCCCGCGATGACGAGGCCTCTCTACCTGCTTTCTAGTGCCCTTTTATGGGCGGCGGAATGTCTTGCGATTCTGGTGAACAAGACCATCGACGACACGGATGGGTCAGCGTGGACGTTTTCGGGGAGCTGGCATGCGATTACTGCCCAGAATCCTTGTACTGTCCGTCTTTTGGCTTGTCATTGCTGAAGCTCTCTGACGGAGCTTGAAGAACTGCGTTGCCAACCCAGACCCCAACCGAATATATAACCGCTCGTGGCACGATGGGTCGGCGCGGTCGGGGACGTTTACCTTTCAAGGTTTGAGTCAGCGCTTTGAACAAAGCAGAACGAATACTCATTGCCGTCAGGTGTCGCCGTCTATATCTACGGAATCGACGTGAACAATCCCGCGCGCGTCGGCTTTTCAATGAGCAATCCTTCGATTTCCACCTCGCATTACAGGGACACGGGCAGCCCAGGCAGCTTCATATACGACTCTCTTTTCTTTTCCATGAACAACCTCGATGGGACGCAGCAACACACGGTTGCGTTTACTGAGATTGTGGTGGACGGGCCTGGAGGTGTACCCGGCATGGCAGCCCTGTTTGACTATGCCATTGTCACGGTTGACCAAGAAGACTCTGCGCCGCCCACTCAACCACAGAAACCTCCGCCGAGTCCTCCGCCACCGTAAGCACATCTATAAGCAATTCGTGAGGGAGCTTACATAGTCTGTTGTTTGGCAGAGTCACTACCACAAGGACAACCACGAGCCCGACACCCGCATCATCATCACTGATAGCTAATAATCAAGGCCATTCATCAGGATCATCCAGCTCGCCAGGGCGAAGCATATCTGCCTCGTACGTGTACCATGCATTGGTCTGCTTTATGGTCTCACCACATTTGTTTGTAGGAGTAGCGCTTACCTGAGCCATACCCCGTCTCCCAGCCCAACTGCATCCACTCCTTCTCCATCCACGAGCAACTCCGCTCTCTCTCAATCGACCCTCGTTACCCACAAATCCAACGCCGTCCCCATCGCCGGCGGACTCGTCGCCGGAATCACGCTTCTGGCTATCATCGCAGGGATAGTCTACTGCTTGAAGCGGCGGCGAAGAAGCATGGGGTCCACAGCTCCGCTATCACAATACGAGAAACACCCTGCTAGCCAGTCTTCCCACCCCATGCTAACGCCGGCGCCCGCATTCCAGCCGCTCAGGCGGGGCCATGCAAGCGTGATGTCGAGTGCTTCGCCAATGTCAAGCAGCGGTTCATCGTTGCCGTTTTCGTCCTCGAAAGGTGAGCGTCATTGCATCCCGGTGGGTCGGGGCTTATCACACACTACAGAAGACCCGCCTCCCGTTGAGCGGCCGAGCCTCAGTCAACCTCTGAACTCAGGTCGAACCGCTGCTGTTCCGAACAGCGAGACGGAAGTGGAGAGGAGGCTGCGTATTTTGGAAGAGATGATGCAAGGACAGGCGCCGCCAGCATATACCTAGTTTTGTCAGAAATGGTGTATTTCTTTTCGATGCTTGGACTGTGGTCAAGTTGTTGTTGAAGAGAAGGAAGAACTGATGCAATCAGGTCACTGTGACTAATCACTCTTCCTTTCCTCTTCCACTGGCAGTAGTCTGGCAGTGCGCGTTGATCTATCCTTCGTAGGACAGCCCAATTATCCGACTATAGAGAGGCCAAGAACGGAGTCTGATCAAGATTTAAGACGAATTTTTTGCTCTCAGTGCGTTCGTTTACGTTCTTCAACTGTAGGGTCAACCAATATCAATAACTTACAGTCACTGGCATAATATGTTTTTCTGTACCGGCTCCTCACCACTCAACATGCGCCGCATCCCGAGCTGACAGACCCACGTGCTCAAAATCATCCAACAAATGGTTGACCTTTCGATATCATCCCGCCTGTTGTTCGGGTGCCCAGCTTCGACTCCTCTTTCCGCCTCCAGAGGCTAACAATGCTGCAACTCGTACTCATCCTCCTTATGCGCATACTTGAAGCCCAGACTGCACTTGTCAACGTCACAGTCGACGATACGGACCCGATTGCATGGACCTGGATTGGCGCGTGGAGTGCCTACACGAAGGGCAATACTAGCTGCACTGATGGCTGTTGGGCGCACCCCGACCCCACCCGAGTTCACAATAGCTCGTGGCACGACGGACGGTTTCGTTCGGGCTCATTTACCGCACAGGGTATCATATTTTTCTGTTCGTTCGTGTCCCTTTCTCTCTCAACATCTTTCGAAGGGGTCGCGGTATATATATATGGCATCGATCTATCTGCCTCCGGAGGAGCGCCGGCCAACATCAGCTTTTCGCTCAAAAATTCACCCGTTTCGGGATTCCACTTCAAGTTGACTCCGGACGGGTCCTACATCTACGACTCGCTTTTCTTCTCTGCCGACGGACTGGATGCCTCCTCGCCATTTACCGTTGACTGGGCCCAGGACGCTAGTGATTTTGGGGGCGGAGTTGCGTTATTTGACTACGCTGTGGTCACGGTCGAGCAGAAGGACACATTGCCGGTTGGAGGAAGCCCTGCAACTGTGAGGTAGGCACTCCCAATTCATGGCAAGGCGGGCCAATGCACACTACATAGCACGACCTCCGATCTGAGCATCACACACATCACGACAGATGGGAAGAGCTCAGTGTCAGTAGGCATGTCGATCCGTGACTATGTCTATACTGAAGACATTTTAGTTCGTTGTCAAGCACAAGTGCCGCGTTGACTCTTGGGACAAGTGCAGTCAACTCGGACAGTCAGGGTTTCCGACCAAGCTCTACTAGTACCTCGACCTCGACTCTTTTGAGTAGTTCGAGCTCCCTAGCAGCTCAAATTCGCCCACCTAGCACCAGGCTTATCGCTGGCGGTGTCATTGGCGGTCTCGCGCTCCTAGTGATTTTGATGGCCGTGTTCCTGTGCTACTGGAAGCACCGGAATCGCTCTGGGCCCACCTCACGCGAGCTGGTACCGTTCCAATTGCGGCCCCAATCCGAGTCACTGGTCCTTACCAGTCGGTTATCCTTTTTTCTTCGGAGCCACTGGACTGATGATGTCTTCAGAGTCCTCGATGTCTTTGAGCAATGGCATTCCGGCTGGGACATCGCAAGGCCAGGAAGCGCAGATCGGGCAAGTCGGGAGGCGGTCTTTGTCAGCGTCATCCACGCCTGTTGGGAATAGTTTGATGCGCAACGATTCCGCGTCGGCCATGCGTGAGTCGTGGCCCCCTTGAAGTCATTATTCCATTTGCTGACACCACACCAGCTTATTTCCCTGCCGTTTCTGAGTCGACAAGCGACACGGGGTTGGAGCGGAGGCTGCGGATTTTGGAGGAGATGCAGAGGGTGCATGGCCAGGCGCCGCCGGCTTATACTGTGCTGTATTGACTTGAAAGCCTTCTTTCACCGTGGCCTTAGTGGGTGACGTCACTGGTGGGAGGGATCCCTCCCACTCATCAACGCCTTGTCACGCCCACTGATCCGCCGTTGTGCGTGGCATCAAGAATTGAATCGTTGCTTACACCGGAGGCTCTAGCTTCAGGCTCAGCGCCTACGAATATGATTAGATAGACTCTGAATCCCAACCCACCCTCAATGATTATCACCGTGGCGGAATAACCAGTTACAGCGACCTCTCTTCGTTGCCCTGGATCCCTTTCCGAGTCTCTCTCTTTCCAGTGTTGCTCAGCTGGCAACCTGGATCTTGTGTTGCTTACAGGAAATGCAAGCAAAATTGGTAGGCTAGGACAGAGTTTGTAACTCCACCGCATTCCCTTGAACATACATATTGCTGCTGGTCGACGAAACTCCATATCTCTGGATCCCGATAATCCTTAGTCAACAGAGCCATGTATCATGATCGTGTTGGAGGAGTTGGTGCGTTCCCGGGCCGAGACCGCCAGTGCTGCGCTCCCTCCAGCGGCGTACTTAGGGGGAAATTGAGCCTGAGACTTTTGTGAAGAAAGGAAGGCTCAGTGCATATAATATGAGCACGTTGAAGAAGCACAACTGGGTTGTAATGTTGGACTTGAGTCTTTTGTACTATACAATTGCAATTCTTGAAGTTTGATTGCGCTGTCGCAGCGCCGAAGTTGTCTCAGGCTGGACTTGCAGGAGTAGGCTTGAGATCCTTGTTACTTCGGCGGTCGAGATGGAATGTGACTTTTCCAAGTAGGATACTCGTGAAACAGTCGTGAACAATTTTTATGATGCGGTCGCGCCGGGCCGGGCGTGTAATCACTGATTCGGCATCACGGTGTGACCTGTGACTTGTTGCTTGTCGACGAATCAGACGACGACGACGATGATAAATCCCCCCATGAAAGTGTCCCGATCTTGTCTGGCAGGAAAGGCCATGCACGCAAAGCAACCTGACGATCGTCAGGCCCTGGAGTCCTTTCCTCTTTTAAACGCGCAGACAAACCATGCCGGTGGGCAGTAGGATGTCCCTACTCTACTTGCTACTCGCGCTGGCCTGGAACATGCGGTGCTCTGCGATTTTGGTCAACATAACCATCGACGATATGGACACTGCGTGGTCCTGGAACGGCGCCTGGAACGCGGTCACCCCAGAGAGCCCTTGTCCCAATCATGTTCGTCGCCCAGTATTGCGACGAGAGTGACTCATTTCAACACACACACCCGCAGCTATGCGTCGTTCATCCAGACAGCAACCAGGCATACAACCATTCGTGGCATAATGGCGCGCTCTTCTCGGGGACATTCACTTTTAAAGGTGCGAGTGTCTTGACCAAGTGAAAAATGAATGCGTTAACCAGACTAGGCGTTGCGGTGTATATCTATGGAATCGACATTGTGAATCCGGCCAACGTCAGCTTCTCCATGGAGTGTCCCCGTGTCTCGACATTCCACTACGTGAACACCAATGCAAGCGGCAACTATGTCTACAACTCCCTTTTCTTCTCTGCAAGCAACCTCGACGGGACGAAGGAGAGCACGGTACTGTTCCAGGAGATGCTGGCGCCGATGCCCAGTCCACTGAATCCCGGCCGGATAGCATTGCTGGACTACGCGGTGGTTACTATTGATCTACAGACAGCGGCACCTCCCAATCTACCGCAACAACCCGAGCCGTATGCGACTTGCTGCTGTTTTACTGATAATCTAATTAAGTCACGGATCCTACAGATCGAATTCTATTGCTGCACCACAGTCATCAACAAGTAATTCAACTACGCTTTCCACTGGGGACCAACAATCCGAGTATGCTGTCACTTACCACACTTCTCGCGGTGATCATCTAATCCGGTATATGTAGATCTTACAATTCTAATGCGACGACCTCGTCGACACCAGGTGGACCAACTCCGAGGGCAAGTCACCCTGGTGCTAGTAACCAGTCGAGACTCTTGCCTGTCATTGGCGGGATTCTTGGCGCGGTTGGGGCTATGGCGCTCGCTGGTATCATGATATTATGCTCAGCTCGGCGCCGCCATCGGAATGTCAACCGTAATCATTCCCCCGCTCCCGAAACACGAACACAGTCGAACCGCCTCGCGGTCAGGTTCAAGCTGATCTTCGAACGACTTCGACGAGGTATTGGTGCCAGTGTCCGAACAAGGGCGACACCCTATGCTTTCAGTCTCGAAACAGAGGCACGCCCGCAGGCTCCCGCAGGCCTCGGCTCCAGGAGTGCGTGTACCGAGCTGTTCACGTTGCCGCTCATTGACAAAGCTGCTATGTAGAAAACCCTCCAACTGTCGCAGTTCAAAATCATGATGGCAACTTGAGTCCTGATCCGGCACCGGCACTGGCACCGGCACCTCAGCGGGCCGGATCCCAGATTCTGGCTCCAAATCGAGTCCGAGCAGCGCGCGCGGATTCGGAGGTCGAACGAAGATTGCGCGTTCTGGAGGAGCTGGTCAGAGCTTATGTCCCGCCAGCATATACCCAACCTCCCAGGAGCTGATTGGATGCAGTCACATAAGACTGGTCGCGTTAGAATTATTTAAACTCTCGAGTACAGTACATGAGATACCACTGGCCTGCCGAACGATGGCTCTGGAAGTTGTACTGGTGTTTATCAGTACAGCAAGTTCCCGATTTGTCAGTGTAGTAATGCAAATAAAGCATTGTTAGTAACTGCCTGCAGCTGAACTTACTTGGAAGAGGACTCCCACCATTTTTTTTTGTTTACCCTCATATTGCCTGCACCTGATCTGTAAGATTCAGCGGCTTACAAGAGGAAATTTTTTATCCTGTAAAATAAACCAGTTTATGTCCAAAGCAGGGAGAAAGGATAACGTTTCTCCCGATCAAGTGACGTCGATCATTTTCTTCTTCGCGATACAAACCATGTCGCGCGGGAGCTCACAGCTGCCTACCTTCATATTCCCGCCTCCCAGGTTCGACTCTCATGCATTGGCCCGTGTGCACAGTCCTGGCGCTCTCCTGGATCGCCTACTCTAGCGCGATTCTCGTCAATGTCACCTTCGACGACACTGATGCTGCCTGGGCGTGGTCCAGCGGGTGGCATGCAATAACCCGGGAGAATCCATGCGCGGTATGGCTAATTATATGGTGGAATCAACTCACTTACTGGACGTGAAGGACTGCGCCGCCCAACCAGACGGGAACAGACCCTACAACCATTCGTGGCATGACGGGTCGCTGGATTCTGGCTCTTTCACGTTTCAAGGTTTGTCTCATCATATTGCTCACCGTCGTCTTCGAAGACTCTCTTACAAGCTTCGGCAGGTGTTGCGGTCTACATCTTCGGAGTCGACATTTCGAATCCCGCACAATTCACCTTCGCCATGAGCAATCCATCCATTTCCAGCTCTCATTTCAAGGACACTGGCGGCGGTTACCTCTACGACTCCCTCTTCTTTTCTGCCAAGGACCTCGACGGGGCGCAGCGGCATACCGTGTCGTTTCAGCAGGTGCATGGGGCGAACGCACCAGGGGTAGCCGGCCTGCTCGACTATGCCGTGGTCACTGTCGATCGAGAGAGCTCACCTCCGCCTACGCAACCGCAACCGCCACCACAGTATGCCTGTCCTTTGCTGTTTCTTCGGAGGATAACTAATACTTATTGCTACTTCCAGAGGCACGACTTTACATATAACTACTACAACGACCACCACTGGTGGACCCACTCCCGGATCTACAAATGATCAAGGGCATTCATTGAGTTCGCCCGTATCCGACCATTCATCGAACATTGCTAGTGGTCTAACCAAATCCGCCTCGTCAAATCGCGCCAGTACTGGCTCCGATTTTAGCCAAACACTCGTTCATGACTCTTCTTCTCTTGCATCTCCAAATAACTCGGGTGTCCCTACGACACTGTCCAGCCACAGAGCCAGAGCCAAAACCATCCCTTTAGTCGGCGGAATAGTTGCCGCGATTATTCTTCTGGTGCTACTTGCAGCCTTAGTCTACTGCCTGAAACGGCGGAAACAGCGAAGCGCGAGCACTGTCCCCCCGATAACGCGGTATGATAAGCACCTGGCAACCACCTACGGCCAGCCACTATCGCAACTGCCGACGCCAGCACCATCTTCCAAGGGTACATATACATCAAGTTCGCTGTCCATCCGCTATTTACTCACGCATGTATTCACTCACAGGCATGTTTACCCCAGAAGACGATACTCCTGTTCGGGTCCCATCACCGGGTCTCACAGAGCCGATGCCCCGGGCCACTGATCCGGAGCGGGCCGAAACTGCTCCGGACAGAGATGTCGAGCTGGAACGGAGGCTGCGCGTTTTGGAGGAGATGGTGCAGGGGCAGGCGCCCCCGGCGTATACCTAGCGATGATATATCAGGGCAACGAGAATGAACGTGGGACAGAGAAGCAAAAGTGGACAGGTGTCAGGTTCTATTTGCTGCTCGTTGTCGTGACCTCCAATGAACGACGAACGAGAAATGCGTGTGTTCTCACTTACTTCCACCTTGGACTGGCTGATTCCCCCTCATTATCCGCGCTTTCGAGTCGACAACACAGACTGGCTGTGATGGGTAATTGAGAAGAAGCACCTGCCTGAGGGATGTCGACGGTTGTGCATGCAGTTGACGGTCGATCCGTCGGCACTGTCAAGCTATTCTTGCTCGAATAGATTCCGCCGCGACTCCCGATCATACAACTCTTGTTGGTACTTGCCCGTGAACACATTGTGGGATAGGACATGGCAGTCCTCGGAAGTCTGCTTTGCCTTGCTCTCAGCTATGTGGGTGTCCCCCAAGTTGCTGGTCGCGCTGGTCTGGACCACGCGCTGTGGCGCAACTTTGGTCAACATAACGGTGGACGACACGGATGGTTCCGCGTGGACGTGGAACGGGAAGTGGAACGCGATAACGGAGGGCAATCCTTGCAAGGCAGGTTCAAGTTCATCGACCCCTGCTAAATAAATGACGCACTCGGCGCATGCAGAACTGTCTCTCAAAGCCTGACGGAAATCAGGCGTTCAACCACTCGTGGCACGACGGGCTATTGCTCTCGGGGTCTTTCAAATTTCGAGGTTGTTTTCTCTCCAGACTGGAAGCAACAGAGCTGACTCGTTCTGCTACTAGGTGTTGCGGTCTACATCTACGGAATCGACGTCTTCAATCCCGCAAACGTCACATTTTCCTCAGACAAACCGTCGCTCTCGGCATTCCACTACGCAGACACCGGGTCACCACAGAAATATTCGTATAACTCTCTGTTCTTTGCTGCAGGCGACCTCGATGGCACGCAGGAGCACACGATATTGTTCAATGAGACTGCGATGCCAAAGTCTAGCGGGCAGCCACCGGGGCGGGTCGCGCTGCTCGACTACGCGGTGGTTACCGTCGATCAAGAGACGCTGCCCGGGCCGCCTTCCGGCCAGCCCCAATCACCTGAGGGGTATGTTACAACTATAGGTTAATGATTGGACTAATTGTATCCTACTTAGATCAGGAACACTGTCCGCGCAGCCTACAAGTCAGCCATCGCGACCCGGGTCCACTGGGAAGACCAATAATACTACTTGGCTCATTGTCGGCGGAATACTTGGCGGGCTGGCGGTATTATCGTTCCTCGCTGGCGCAGCCATATTCGTATTGTGTCGCCGGAGGCAGCGTGGTCGACGGTCAGAGCGCAGAGACTCGTTCGCGAGCACTTCACAGTTAACACAAAGCAACGGTTTTCCTCCCAGCGTCACGATACCAAGCACGATTCTGTCCACGGAGCCCTCAGGCCCTCCAGAGATGACCACTTCTAAAGGCAAGTCGCGCGTGTAATAATTCATCCAAGTCCACTGACTAAAATTATAAGTAGGGAATCCACTTGTGGTGCAGAATCACAACACAGATCCGGCTCCGCCTCATCAAGTCGCGGAGGTCGAGCGGCGACTGCGTGTCCTGGAAGAGATGGTGCAAGGCGCAGCGCCTCCCGCCTACACGTGACTTTGGAGTTGTGAAATATGATTGGCGTTGAACCCCGTTCAACTTCGTCCAGGCACCAGTCCGATGCGCGTCCTTCTCGATTTCAAGTTGTACCTCACGCAGGTCATACGGGTCTTGGTCTTGTTATCCTTAGACTGTGTTATGTTAATAAGGCCACTCCAACAATCTGAACTTTTTTTCACAAGGTTTATTATTTGATTGGATCATCATACATATCAGTCATGTTTTCTCGTGTTGCGAAGGTGCAACTTTAAAATTGAAGCACAAAGATACTAAATTGATAGACAGAGTTTGTAACGGGCAGGGCATTCACAGTAGTTTCAAGTTGACTGGAAGTTTAGAACATTCACTAGCAGCAGTACTTAATCCCTGTCAATACGCATATGATCCTGATGGCAGTGATGCTCATGTTGCTGATCCGGCTCGGCAATTAGGCACGTGACCAGACACGTCACATCTGTTGCTCTCCTCCCGCCAACACTCTCTCACTCCCTTGAACATATTGCTGCTGGTCGACCAGACTCCATATGTCTGGGTCCCAATAATGTCTAGTCAAGAGAGCCATACATGCGAACGCCACCTGATAAACACCTGACCATGTCCTTTGGCGTTCCGGATCCTTCAAAAACGCCCACATAAACACTGGCCCCGATAGCAGGATGCGTCTGTTTTACTACCTGTTACCTGTGCTAGTGCGGAGTACGCTGTGCCGTGCAGTCTTGACCAACGTAACGGTCGACGATACCTAGGCAATGGCACGGGTAGGCCATACCCGCGCGGGTACGCGGGTTTTACCCGCGCGGGTACGGGTGCGGGTCAGCGCTAGCCATACCCGTGGCTTGATGACTCAGCTGGGTTCGTTCCATTGTGGTGTTCAAGATGCTGTGTGTTCGATGCTGCTCTTGCGCAGCATTTTTATCCCACCTTCCGGACAAATAACTAAGCTGTCTCTGACATGGCTTCCTCCGTGCCTGCCCAACCCATGGGTAAACCCATACCCGTACCCGCGGGTATGAGTACTGTGGCTGTGCGGGTACGGGTGCGGGTAGGCCCTCGGATACCCGTGGGTATACCCGTGCCATTCCCTAACGATACCGACGATTCCGCGTGGGCGTGGAATGGGAAGTGGAACGCAATAACCGAGGGGAATCCTTGCAAGGTGAGTCGACTCGATAACATACTCTCTTTGATACGCTCATCACTCATTGCTGTCTGCTTCGACAGAACTGCATCGTGCACCCAGACGGAAATCAGGCTTTCAACCATTCGTGGCACGATGGCCTCCTGCTCTCTGGGTCGTTCACATTTCGAGGTAGTTGGCTCTCCAGGCCGAATATAACGTCACTGAGTGTACTGCTGCCAGGTGTCGCGGTCTACATATACGGAATTGACATCCTCGATCCAGCAAACGTCACATTTTCCTCCAGCAATCCGCCGCTCTCTGCGTTCCACTACAAGGACACCGGCTCGCAGAAACTTTTGTACAACTCTCTCTTCTTCGCTGCGCGCGACCTCGACGGCACGCAAGAGCATAAGATACTGTTCAACGAGACTGCGATGCCAAAGCCCAATGGGCAGGCGCCGGGGAGACGTTGTTTGACTATGCCGTGGTTACCGTCGATCAGGAGATGGCGGCGCCTCCTCTTTTATCTCAACAACCCAACTCGGAACCGTAAGCAATTTGCTACTGTGATTATTCATTTAATTAAATATCTACAGATCCCCATCCACTAGTACTGCAACACACGCGTCAACTTCAACTCCCATTGGGGAACAGCAATCCCAGTATGATGTCACTTGCTGTTGCTCAGTGATGATCTAATCTGATCATACTATGTAGATCTTCCAAATCTACTGCAGCACCTTCGTCAATTCCAAGTGACCCAACTGCGAGTAGCACCAGTCGACCAAGCCACTCGAGACTCTTGCTTATTGTTGGTGGAATCCTTGGTGCGGTTGGGGCTGTGGCCCTCGTTGGAATCATGATGTTAGGTTCTGCGAATTGGCGCTGCCATCATATGAATAATATTCACAACCATCCAAGTCCCCCTCCTCCCCAACTTGAAATACACCGAGTGCAGTCGGGTCGCCTTCCAGTCATGTTTCGCCTGATATCCGAACGACTTCAACTCGGACGAAGTGTTGCTGTCCCAGCCAGGATGGCACCCCAGGCCTTCCTCGAAACCGTGGCACACCCTACTACCACTGGCAGTACGTCTATCAAGCCGTCCACTGCGCTCTTGCTCAGTCATGAAACTATCAGAAAACCCTGCAAATGTCGTGGTTCAGGATCTCAATTCTGATCCGACTCCAGCACTCGAACGGCCCCAAACCACTGGCACGAGTCAAGTGGCAGAGCACGAACGAAGATTGCGCGTGTTGGAAGGGTTGATGCGCGCCGAATCTGATACACTCCCTCCAGCATATGTGTCGGACGTCTAAAAATGCCGACACGAACTTGAACACTACTGGTATTGTGCGCAATCAACGATGTTGGTTCTTGATTGGATCCTTCCCTCAGTTTACTTGAATATAAAGTTCCGCCGCGGGAGATTATCTTTTTATTTCTGCCTTCTGGTAACAGCAACGAATCATTACATCTGGGGGAGATGTGAGCACCAACACACCTAGCTGAATCGTATCCCGAAATGAGTGCAGGAACGTGTGGAAGTTTTTCCACTGATCATTATGTAAAATGATCCTGTCAATCACCGCTGGTTGTCATGAGCCTCGACGACGGATTTAGGTCGAACGAGGTTGCATCGATATGACCGGCTCTCCTAAGTCCTTGGACGGCGGTGGCCTGTGCGGACCACTGCAGATCGCCATAACTTAATTGGTGGACACAGCAAGTCATGATCAATCGTGAGAGTCTAAATCCGCACAGTTGCGGCCCCGCAACTTCAAGAATCAACGCTATCGACAGAGGTTTTATCGACACCTTGTGCTCGACAGCGCCTCCTCCGAGTCGACCATCAGCTATGATCTGAAACGAGAAGCATTGCCCGAGGCATTGCGAGCGATGGTAGAGGTGTATTCATGCAACTTTCCTCCATTGTCGCTATTCTTACTCAACGAGGCTCACCGCGACTACCGATCAAGTTCAACTGCAACTGCGACTCTTGACGGCCACTTGGCAACGCCTTCTGGCGGGATGCACTCGCTTCTTCTCCTACCTTGACGGCCCTCCGAGTCAACCTTCTTCAACACTGTGATGTTAAGCCAGGCCCTGCGATTCGTGTTGCTCTGGACTGCGCTCTGTTTTGCGGCTCTGGTGAACGTGACAGTCGACGATACGGACTCTTCTGCGTGGGCGTGGAGTGGGGCGTGGAACGCGATAACCGAGGGGAATCCTTGCCAAGTCAGTTTACTCATGGCGTGCTAATGCACTGATCAGCTTTGCAGCGCTGCACGGTACATGCAGACGGAAAGCAAGCGTTCAACCACTCGTGGCACGACGGCCTCCTGCTCTCGGGGGCGTTCACATTTCGAGGTCTTTGGCTCTCTGGACCGAATATAGCACAACTGACTGGACTGCTTAAAGGCGTCGCGGTCTACATTTACGGCATCGACATTGACAATCCGGCAAACGTCACATTTTCCTTGAACAATCCGTCGCTCTCTGCGTTCCACTACAAGGACACCGGCTTGCCACAGAAATTCCTGTACAACTCGCTCTTCTTCGCCGCGCACGGCCTCGACGGCACGCAGGAGCATACGATACTGTTCGGGGAGACTGCGGTGCCACAGCCGAGCCCTCACGTGCCGGGGAAGGTTGCGTTGCTTGACTATGCGGTGGTGACCATCGACCAGGAGGCGCTGCCCGGGCCGCCTTCCGGTCCTAGTCAGCCGTATGTTCCAACTTGAATCAGGTTGATGATTGGATTGATTATATCGTAGTTCACAAACATTGCCGACAAGTCTTCCAGCATCCCGGCCCGGGTCGACCGGCATGACGGGGCTCATCGTCGGCGGGATACTGGGCGGGCTTGCCGCCGTGGCGTTCCCCGCTGGCGCAGTCGTATTGGTTCTATCACGTCGGAAGCGCCGTCGCAGTGCCAACACCGCGCAGCTGACGCAGAGTAACCGTTTTCCTCCTAGTATCACGATACCGAGCACGGTTCTGTCATCGGAGCCCTCTCCGAGAAGTAAGTGACTGGCTGTTCAAGATGAAGTACTGAGTAGCCCGCTAGTTGCGCTGCATAACCGCAACTCGAACCCTTACTCGGATTCACCGGCCCGGGCAGGACCAGCCACGACTCGGCCTAATCAGATTGCGGAGGTCGAACGGCGACTACGCGTCCTGGAAGAGCTGGCACAGGTGGCGCCTCCTTCATATAAGTGACTATATTTTGTCTGAACGACTACGAGTAATCGCGTAATTGATCATATAAGGTAGTGGTAGTCGGCAGTCTTGGTGGTGATCATCAGTCTGTGTGTACTACTGTCTGATGGCATGAATGTACGTGTCTTTGAGGAAATTTTGTCTGGGTGAGGCCGGAACCCGCGCAAATGCCTCCCCGAAGCAGCCCGTGGAGCCGAGACTGATGGGAAAGGACTTAGTCTGGCGGTGGCCTCACACGACGCGGGAGAGGGTGTGGGCAGCCAAAACGGGCGGCGGACAACCCAAGCCGCGTGGTGAGGTGGGTGGGCAAAGCGGCGGCGGTTGGACGGGAAAAACGCGTCGAGGCTCAGAGGGAGACGCGTCGGTCACACATAGTCACACCCGGCCGTCAAGATGGCCAAACCATATATAGAGTGCTCGGCCCGACTACCCACTACCTTATCTAGCGCCAACCAGGGCGAGGCACGAGCCCTGGTTGGCTAGCAGTAATCTTGACGTCGAGCCGGACTGGAGCGGCGCGCCGTCGTGCCACGAGTGGTTGTACACTCTGCCACGCGCTCGCATCGGTGTCATCTTGAAGGAGATTGCTCGACATTGCCGGTGCCAGGCCAACAACAATGGCGCGGGATACACCCAGCGCATGGGGCTTCAAGCGTTAGCCTTTGAGGGCAGGAGACAAGTCGCAACGCCAATCAAAGCAGTTGCCGACATATGATGTTTCCGCGGATGAACCCTTCCTCATAAAACGTGCTGCAAATCGTCGAAGTAAGTGTTCGTGAGTGCCAACTTCAAGTTCGTAACGACACAGCGCAAGCCGGACAGGGCGGCCTCGAAGCTATGGACTCACATTCGAAGAACGAGCGGCAAGCAGAGGTTCAGCAATTCAAGTTGAATTGAAAGAAGTAGGAGCGAGCGGCGCGTGATTGGCAGTGATGACGCACGGTCACGGTGTCACACTCGTTCCTTGCCCTTCAACCACCAAGTCTACTCCGCCTCTCGCGCACCACACACGCTCGTTTCATCCACAACACCATGCGTCCTATCCACCTCGTCTATCTTGTCCTATCCGCCGCTGCTTTCGTCGCCGCAAACCCGATATCACCGGCCCGAAGTCCCACATCAGACACAACCCACCGTCTCGCTGTTCGCCAAAGCTCGCCTGCCGATGGAGACGCCTCGCCCGACGTTGTTTTGCCTCCTGTCGAAGAAGTATTTGCTCTTATGGCTGCGCCGGACACAACGGCACCCTCGCTGGCAAGTTCCGTCGCTTCGTCTGTTGTCTCTCCCAGTCCTTCCACGCCGTCGCCCCTCGAGAAAGCACAACAAAGCAAACCCGCCCCCGGCACCACCCACCCCTCGCGCCTCATCTTTGTCGCCGTTGTCATCCTCGCCATGCTCGCCGTGATCATCGCCGTCTATGTCTTCTCCCACCACCGCCACCAGATGCGAATGAGCAAACTCGACCAACTCGACGGTGTTTCGGTCATTAAGAAGCAGGGGAGCGATAAGGACGACGAGAAGCACTGCTCTATCGTCGACATCTCGCGCAACTTCCCCCGCTCAAAGTTCTCCGTGACCTCATCTGATTACCCGATCTCGGCACGCGGTACCGTGACCTCGTATGCATCCACCTCCGACGCGTCAACTGACGACGGCAACTACGACCAACATCGCGACAGTGTCTATGCACGAGAACAAGATCGTGGGATGATGGACCCGGCACACTTTTTTGCACTGCGCTCTTCCTCGATGTCAGCCTCGCCGCCCCGCCATTCGAGAATAGGGAGCGAGCCCGCTTTTGGCATTCCGCGGTACGATGAGCGGAGTAGCAGGAGATCGCGCTCGGTTACGGTGTCGGGAGGGAGTATGCATTGGCAGTATTAGCAACGACGACAGATTGTACTTGTACCTGTAGAATGATAGCCTACTCTTCCTCTCTTTTTCTTATCTACTGATAAGATCTGAGTGGACCATCTAGGTATGAAGTACTTGAAAGAACATTTGGAGGTATCTAGATACGTGAATCGGGACTGACTTGACGGAAAGACAATTATCAGTTCATCCTTTGAAGTGAATTTGGGCTGTGGATGCAGACGGTTGTCCGTGATGAGAATTCTGCAGTCTGTTTTGGTAAAATTTAAAACTGCCCAAGAACACAGAACTAAATCCCAAGGACACGTTTTAATAAGGGTGAATCAATCATGATCAGTCCATATTCCTATTCTACTATGTATTAGTACAATCTACAGCTTTGAACGTCGTTCACTCCCAGCCCGTTACTCCTTGGTCTTCTGCTTCTTGCGCTCACTCGCAATGCCAACATCTCCGGTGCCCAGGCTAGCCCCGCCACTCTTTTTCGAGCCGGAGGCCTCTGGAGGTGCCTCTCCGTCGTCGATTTCCCGCTTGCGCTTGCTGGTGGCCGATGCTGAGAGTGGTGGTCGATTTGAGGGCCGAGAGGGACCAGCAACGAAACGGGAGCCGTCGTCATGGACAATGAGCGGGGGCGGCGGATATGCGGAAGTAGAGTTTGGGTCCCCGACAGCCCAAGTGCGGGCTGCGAATACGGGGGCAGCAGGAACACGCTCATGAGTTTCGGCTTCGCCTTGGGAAGAACTTGGAAGATCGAAAGGGATGGGTTTGTCGTCGGCTGGCCAACCATCTTCTGTCGCCAGAAGATCGTCCACCGCAATGAAGGCAGCGTCATGCGTGAGGCCCGGCCATTGTTGGAAATGGACTTTGCTATACAGATAACCCAGATCATATACCGCCAAACTGAGCGGCGCATTCTGAGAAATCAAGTTCTTGTGATCGCCCAGCATGAACTCGCCGAGCCAAGCGAACTTCAGTCGATATGCGGTAGACGCATTGTTGTGATCAAACAATGTAGAAGCAGCAAGGTCGCCTTCATTAGCTGAATGTCGGGCATAACGCAATAGAACCCAGATGAGGACCCAAAAGAAAGATTCGAGATCGTGCTTAGGCTCGTGGGAGAATACTGCAAGCGCGCCGACGGAGGGTTGATTGACGCCGTGGTATCGAGAATATTCCTTGAGAACTTCTATTGCCATGAAATAGAATGTTCCCTAAAACCATGTCAGATGGAAACAGTATTGAGATAACGAACTAACCGTAATCTCTTTCTCGAGCTTGGATAACTCGTACTGCGAAAGATCAATTCCGCAGACGCGTTGCGCAGCAGCCTTGCCCTTCTCTGTGAGGAGACTGACATCCCAGTCGAGGATGAAGCCTTCGTAGCTTTCCTCCGGACCCTCTTTCAAAAGAAGGTTGCCTGGACTGACGTCGCGATGAATAATCCCCGCGTCGACGGCAATTTTATGTCCTACAACAAGTCAGCGATCAGGAAGAACAGCAAACGAGTTTGCACTTGCCTTCCATGGCATCGCGTATTCCCTGCAAGAGCACTTTGGTCCGCGGGTATTCGTAGATCGGTGTTCCAACGTCAGCAAGGAGAGTCCGTTGGTGATGTCGCTCTTGAAGCGGCTTCCCACCCTCACGAAGGGCGGCCGATATGGTCGTGTGGTCCACAGACATTTGATTCAGCTCTTGACTTCCGAGGCAACGTGTCAGACCTCGTACCGGCCTTCCGCCGAGCTCGTTTTCGATATGGTCGTCGATGATACGGTAGAAAACCCACTCGGGGACACGATGAGCTTGAACCCAAGAATCTTTTAATGCATGGAGACGAGGAGGTTCTTCGCCCTCAACCAGCACGCGATAGATTCGTGTGGCACGGGAGAAGAGACCTTTCGATTGGTGAATAGGCGGGCCGACCGTAAGGCATCGTTTGGTTGTCGATCCGGTTTTGAGCGTGATACAGAGACTGCTTCTCAGGGAGTCCATCGTCCAGCCCGCGGAAGGCGCGATCTTTTTCAGCGTTTTGTACATCTGCGCTTGTTTGCGGAAGGGTGTTGGTGAGACGGTGTTATCGGCGCCGAGGAACGACTTGGGCTCGCCCCCACAGAATAAGCGCCAGTAGAATTCGGGAATCACGCGCTCTTCGTTGTCTGGGGTCCAGTCGAAAGGCTCGGTGACGATGTACCCAGAGTGGTCGACGCGGACGATTCTTGCGTGATGCCCAAAAACCGTCAAAAGGAAGACATAGCAGCATCCAGAGGCCATGAACATGCGTCGTGCGTTGTGAAGTAGCTGGACGGCAGCCTTGCAGCCCTCATCAGACTCTGCTGGGCCCTTGTCCGTGAAAGGATCATCGCCTTTTTTTCCTTTATGCTCGGTGGCAGTGGCGACGAAGGGCCACGACCAAACTTTCGTCTCTTTCCCAGTTTTGTCTTGCCCCCGGAAGCGCTCTTTCTTCATTCCAGGCTTCGAGCCAACAACATCTGGTTTGGAGTCGGGGTCGGTGGGATGGAGCCGAGGGAAAGTGGTCGCCCATGTCGTATCAAAGAATGGTCGTTGAGCCTCTGGAAGAGCTTCAGCCAAGGCGTTGCAGTATTTGGCCTAGCGATCGTGAATATAAGCTCAGCAGAAGCGCGGACGACATACCCAAGGGACATATACAGGTATTTCAAGAGAGTTATTCATCTTCTCAGCAGCGTCAGCAAGATGTCCCCGCCCCCGAAACACCATTGCGTCAAGTTTCCGTTGGGGAGCTTTTTTGTCGCCCATGTATAGCCGAAAGAAGTCGTCAGTGGAGACCTCGCAGGAGAAACCGGATCTGGCTTGCGCTTTCCAAGCTTCCATTTCCCGCTTGTCGTTGTGCTTCGTCACGTCTTTGTCGGAGGTGTATTGAGAGTTGCCCGCTTTCACTTTTGGGGGCGTAGTCGCTGAAGTTTCCGTGAATGGGACACCTAGCGCGCCAGTGGTATTGAAAGGAACGCGTCCGGGGTCACGGTGAGGTGTCTGGGGAAGGGACATGGTTGGTACGAGTCAAAATGTGGGTAACATGACGGCGCACCCAGCTTTATATACACAACCAAGCAGTCAAAGCACCAGGAAGCCGGTGGCACAGTGGCAATGCGAACCAAGCGTGAACGCAATTCAAAACAATGGTGTCACACATGTCACACACGGCGCGTGCACGTGACGAACGCGTCGTTTGCCAGACTCATAACTTATCTTCTTGTTACCCTCCCGATAAGTATTAGTGGTTCATCCACATAAGCAAATATGGTGGCTCGCTAAACAAACAAACAAAACCTTCTTCGCAATGTCGATTCCTGTTCAGGCGATGAGCATTGGCAGTGGGCACTCACTACTGTGGTTCCCAGTGATTGGGTAATCTCCCAATGACTGGGTAATCGCCAATTCTCGCCATCGTTTCTTGTATAGCACTTCCGGTATCATCCGGGATTGCTTCATTAGCCTATCGAGTATATGTATACAAAAAATTAGAGGTATCCGTGAAGAGCTGGTGTGCCGGTGGTGTGGCCGATCACACGACTTGGGTAATATTTGCGTCCAAACTGTGTATTTCAGTCCTCCTGAGTGTGTAGTGGGCAATAAATATGCCGAAAAGATAGAGGTGGGCTTAAATCTCACCCTAAAGTGTAAAATTCCACCTCAAGATGTTCCTTCTTCGTTATCTTGAGCTATTGCTCGATTTGATGGGCTTGTGACACGGCGTCACATTTGTCTCAATCTTGACGCTATGGAGCGAATCGCGCGTAGAAATGTGTTTTAACACACGCAATGTTACTTATTAGGCATATGGAGATTGTCTAGGTGTTGTGGATGGTGACCTTCCCAGTCAACAACAGAAAATGGGTATCTGGACGCAAATATTACCCAAGTCGTGTGATCGGCCACACCACCGGCACACCAGCTCTTCATGGATACCTCTAATTTTTTGTATACATATACTCGATAGGCTAATGAAGCAATCCCGGATGATACCGGAAGTGCTATACAAGAAACGATGGCGAGAATTGGCGATTACCCAGTCATTGGGAGATTACCCAATCACTGGGAACCACAGTACTCTATCTCAGAGGCATCAGACCCTCTGTCAGAGGTGGTATTAATTTCTTATAATAACAACTTTATCTGAAACTTGAATGTATTATGTCACGATTTGTTCGATTGGACTCTGAACCGTAGTTGGGGATGCCAGCTTGTGCAAGTTGGATGTACGCGATGGTGTATTGAGCGCGGGAGAATGACGTGACGGTTAAAACTAGCCAAATAACGGGATTCAAACAAGGCCTGGTTCAAGAAGTTGAGATCGGTAGTATTGCTCAGGCTCAGTCCCAAAAGGTCTTTCTATACGAACTCGATGGCGCATCGCAGACTTCAAGGAGTTTCAACATGCTTGAAAGTCTATTAGGCTTGGTTTTTGCTGAGACTTGAACGCGAAGAAACGAGCTTTCGAATGTTTTGCAGTCGTTTTTGAAAGTTGAGTTAGGAGTTCAGTTGTTGTTCAAGGGAGAATTGACGCCAAGTAAACGTCCTTAACCAGAAAGTGTATACAGAAAGGTCCTGATGAACTGAATTCTTTATTCGCTTTTGTGAGCAGCGCGTGAAGGCAATTGTCCGAGTAAAACTTGGGATCGACTCCGAGGTCTAATAGTCCTTGAATCGTCCAATTACAATCCCATCAGTTCCCAACCTACGCGTCTCAGCCCATCCAAGTCCCGCTCCACATCACCACTGAACTGTACGCGGACTCTCCCGCTCTTCGCGTCCACCTCCGCCCGGTCGCCCTCCCACCGGCCCGCGCCGAGCGAGCCGACAAAATACGCACGTGACGTCGCGTCCTCCGCGAGGATGGTTGTATGCGGTGCTAGCGCCGCAGAGAGCGTGATGTGGTCGTTGAGGTCGCCGGCGGCGATGCTGACGCGGAGCAGGCCGTGGAAGGATAGCGGGAGATGCAGCGAGACAAAACCATTTTGGGAGACGAGGGAAATGTGGACTGGCGGGCGGCGCAGCGTGGGGGTGTGCTGTTTAATTATTTTGTTAGCTGGCAGATTAGATAAGATGGAAGCACGCACGATGCGAGCGAGGAGCGGGCTTGAAGAAAACCCTCCACACAGTTCAAAATGCAGCTCTGTCCGCTTGACTGGCCCCGTGTTGTGCTGCGTTGGCTCCCCGACAAGGTACACGTCTACATCAATACCGCCATTCTCCACCTTGAGCCGCAAGTTCTTCCGCGTTGTCTCCCCGGAGCCCAGCGGTGCGAGCAAATGGCCGGGAATGTCCAAGAACGGGTTTACTGCGAAGCTGCCTTTAATTGACCGCGAAGCGCCAACGCCGAACGAAAACGCGCGCTTGTGGGTTTTGCGGAAGACGGAGACGAAGTTGGTTGGATTGGGTGTTGTCGTGGCTGGGGCAGTGGCGGTTGCATCGGCTGAAACCGCCGAATCCCTCCGGTAGGTCGAAGAAGCGCGGCTGGGCTGAAAAATCTTGTGGTCCGGAAACAGCGACAGCCGCACTTCCGCCACTGTACTCGCATCCGTCGCAGTTGTCGGCCGCCGTCGTGGAGTTACCAGAGTCGATGGAGAAAGCGAGTCTGGTCTCAAACGAGCAGAAACAACGTCCTCGTCTTGCTCTGTTATTGGGGAAGGACACTCCGCGTCGTTTTCGTGTTCGCTGCCAGGTGGGTCAACAACGACAGAGTCCGTATATGTGGGCGGGGCCTCGGCCACCATCGAGCAAGTGGGAACGAAAGGCGGATCCCAGTTGCGGACCGTCTCGTTTCCTTTTATACCGAGCGGCAGTCCTTTCGAAATAACTTGAAGCAAGTCAGAAAAGGCTCAAAAGAAGCGGATCGGCTTACGTTCAAGCCCCGGAACCAAGTTGGAAAGAAAGAAAAACAAGGGCGGAAGGCGCTCCTAGGGAGGCGCGACGCCGGAAAGACCACACGGCGCACAAGCTGTATTTGACATGGATGTAGCTGTTCAAGGTTAAGCTGTGCACGTGCCATGAAGTGGTTCTGCAGTCTGGCGCTTGCATATGTGCACCATTATATCCGGCTCGCAATGACGCAAACTGGAAACCAGTCAAATTCGACTCGTGCCAGTTGGATGTAGAAGGTATATATTCAGCGACATGACGCCGGCGGTTGAAGCTAGCCAAATAACGGGATTCAAACAAAGCAAGGCCCGATCCCATTAATTCATAACTCTCATTCGTATAAATATTAAACGGTAGTAAGTGAAGCTCAGTCCCAAAAAGTCTCTTTCTTCTAACTCAAACGTCAAAGTCAAGCCCTTGAAACATATGTCAGTTGTAGCCGGGCGGTGGGCCTTGAACAGTGTCTTCCAGCGCACGCAGCCTGCGTTCGACTTCCGAGTCAGTGTTGTGTGCCCGCGGGGGGCTTGAGGGCGGAGATGCATTGTCGCTACTCGTAGGCGAAGATCTCACGATATACCCCTTGGGAGCTTTGGATATTGACGGTGGCGGTATGGAATTAGGAGTTGGTGCAGGAAAAGCCGTGAGGATGGTTGGATCGGCGTGTGCGTGTAACATGGGCTGCGTGCTAATAGTGGTGTCGCTGCCAAGTTCAATCCCGTCTGGCCAGACCGACAAGGCTTTTTCCTGCCGTCGACGGCGTGCTTTAAGGTAGCACAGCAACCCAACCACAAGAATTGCCAGCGCGACAACACCGGCTACTACTCCGCCCACGATTGGGCCTACTTTCAATTTGCTTGTGGGGGAGGCTGGCCCAGTCTCGGTTTGGTTCACGGTGACGACAGCATAGTCCAGCAGCACCGAGCCGCCGCCGCCGGGCCCGAGCGCCACGGACCAGTTCACGGTATGCTGTTTGGCGCCGTCGAGCCCCTGCGCGTGGAAAAAGAGCGATTCGTATAGGATAGTGCCGGAGTCGAAGAAATACGAGCTGGAGCTGGGCGGGTCGTCGATGGTGAAGGTGATGTTTCCGGGCCGGGGCACGTCGATGCCGTAGATGTAAACTTGAGTGCCTGGCTTTTCAGTTAGCAGAGCTATTCAGCGAGTTGTGTTCTGACCTTGGAAGCGGAAGGAGCCGGACCCAAGCGCGCCGTCGTGCCACGAGTAGTTGTACACTCTGTTTCGATCGGGCTTTGCAACGCAATCCTTTGTGGTGTCAGTGTGAGTCGTCTTTTGCACTGGAAACGACAAGCAGGCACACCTGACAAGGATGCCCGTCCGCTATCGCGTGCCAGCTGCTCGAGAAGCTCCACGCGTTCGAATCGGTGTCGTCGATAGTTCTGTTGAAGGAAAGTGCGCGACAGGGCAACAGTAAGGCCGCAGCAAGTAGATACACCCAGTGCATCTGCATGGCCATGGGGGAGTTGCGTTGAGTGCTCCAAGAATAAAAGGAAACTTCGAGTCCGGAAAGAGACAAGGGCGCGTCAATATGAATCGAATGGAAGACTTGCGTTATGTTTTTGCGCGCTTAACAGCGGGTAACCCGCTTTTATAGAAAATAGCGCCCATAAACGGCGCGTCGCAGACTGTGTCTCGGTCCAAGGAGTGTGCACATGCCTGAAGGTCTGTTTTTGCTGAGGCCCACAAAGGACTTGAATGCGAACCTGAAGAAACGAGCTTTCGAATCAGGTCTAAGCTTTGCAGTCGTTTTTGAACCTGACGCCAGCCGTCACGAGCGTCAAAAGCGGCGGCGCCAGACGTCACGGGCCACGAGCGCTCAAGCAGCGGCGCCGCCTGAGATTCGGCAGCTACTAGTAATTGGCTTGCTTGTAATAAAGCACTGGTCTTTGTTGCCTTTTAGCGTTCAAGGGCTTGTACTTGAACAGGACCCGGGAAGCTCCTGCTTCAAGATTTCGGCCTCAAAAACCCAAAAGAAGGCAGTTTGTAGCTGACAGCGTGGCAGTTGATGGCATTGGTAATCTACCACGTCATCTTCCGACCGAAATCCTGCCTCAAAAACCCATTTTCTGGACAAGGAAAACACAATTTTGGGTCCTAAGGTAAGGTATAGGCCATGCACGATCCACGACCCCCACGTGAGTGATGCGCCACATCTATATTGGGAAATATCTGCTAAATTTCATCCATTCGACCACTTCTAGCCTGAATTGGGTCAATCGCCGCCATGAATCGATAGATATTGGTGCCTAAGTACTATATATGTAAAAATAATCGTGAAAATACAAGAACTGATGACGGAGTTCGTGCAACAATGACTACTTGATATTCTGTGTACCCTTGGCCTCGGCTTCTGCCTTTTCAAGCTCAGCTCTGAACTCTGGGGGAAGCATACGATGCCCTTTGTACTTCTTTACTGCCCATGCGGCCTGTGCGCCATCAAGTCCTTTTCGATAAGCGTCGGCAAAACGATGAGCACGCAAAACAAACCTTCGCATCGAGGCCAACGGTACACTATCCAACGCTGTCAGCGTGTTCCGCTCTAATGCTTCATCGCCAGACGATTCAGGGTACTGCCGGTACATGCGCTTGGCAAATCCCCACACCATTTCGATGGGGTTAAGCTCTGGGTGGAATTTTGGAAGGAAGAGGATTGTGACGTTGAAGGGCGAGCAGGCTGCCTCTAGGCATGACTGGACGTTGGCGAAATCGGGCTGGTCAAACAGCATTCGACGCATGCAGCATGTCGTCTGTCTACCCGCATCAACTTTGGGGCACTTGAATTTCTTGCATTGGGCAACTTTTCCTGCAAGCTCCTCCTTCGTCAAATGCTCTCCCAAGTCCCCACGCAAACGTCTCTCCTCCAGAATAACCGCCATGCCCTTGAATTTACCAGCGAACTTCTCGACATCGGTGGGAAAATAGAGAGACTGTGGACTGCCGTCGGCGAACGTCGCACCAGTCATTTGGATCTCTTCCTTGACGCGTTCACCGTGCTCGTCGTGCATGATGGTCTGGTCTTCGTTGAGTTTGTTGACCTGGACCAAGAAGTTGGCATCTTTTGGGTCCTTGGGAGGTTTGGTCTTCTTCGGCGGTTTCTTCTTTCGTGTCTCATTCCCTCCTCCAGCTGGCTTGGTTTTCTTTGGAGCTCGCGGCTTCTTGGTCTTCTCTCCACCATCCCTGCCCTCTTCTTCTGCCTCAATTGCACGCGAGCCCGAAGTAAACTTGGGCATTCCCATTGCTGTCAACGCACCAGCAGTCCGAGCTCGATGGGTGGTCGCATTGTCGTAAATGAAGATGTGGTCAAATTCTGGCCACCGTGTTGTGGCGATTGCGCAAGCAGCTCTCGCTTGCTCTTCGATATCCGCTGCACTAAAGTAACCGTCTCTGTTCTTTCCTGGGCACATTGTCCGTCTTGCTGACTCACCCTCCAGCCCCTCGCAACCATCCAAAGTCGGCAGAGAAATAGTCGGCAGCCATGAACGATCCTCCCTCTCCCTTTTGATATGGTTTTGCCCCCGCCGTCACATCCTGCCAAAGCTTCCGTCGTCGGTCATGGCCGTAAAAGATCGATTCATCGTGGTACCATATGCATGTGGGTCGGACTCCTGGCGGTAAACGAGGGACTTGGATGGTGCCATCGGCGTGGTAGATGTAGGAGCGCTCTTCAAAATCTTTGAGTGTCGGCAGGTACGTCTCTTCTCGATACACCACAACATCTTCCCTCTCATGCCCGTCAGAATACTGGCCCTTCTTTGCATATCCATAACTGCTTGTAGTCAGTCTTGAAGAATGTCTTCAAACATGCAACACGTACGCAAAACCAAGCTTGATCAGGTATCGGCGTGCAGTGCGAATGCTAATAGCCGAGGTAATCTTGTATCTTTCTCTGATGTCTTCTCGGTTCACAAATGCTTGGGTTTTCTCCGCCGTTATTTCCTGGCCACGCAATGCTGCTCGCACTTCGGCATCAAGACTTTCGTTGTTCAGTATTGGTTTGCTTGACTTCCCATAGGGATTACAAGGAAGAACTTGTCGATCTTCGATAAACGCGCGCGCAAGCTCGGCAAATACCCTCGCGCAGTTCTTACCCCGACCAACAGCAATCGCCGCCTGCATCGCTGACTCACCCCAGTCTTCATATGTTGTTGATCTGGGTGACGTGTATATCGACAGCAGAGTACGCATTCCCTCCAGTCTTGCGCGAACATATGTGTCAAACTTGGGCTTCTTGTAGCCCTTGCTGTTGGGACCACGAATTTCACCCTTCATCAACAGCATCAAGTCCACGAGTGCATCATGGGCAGCAGTGACGCTGGGTGCAGAGAATACCACACGTTGGCGTTCGGCAGCTTTCATTCTTGCAAGATATTCCAATGGTGGAGCTGGACGCGGGTACCCATCGTAGGGAAATGTTCCAGGAGCGCAAGTGAGAAGCTCGTCAAATTCGGGATTAACAAATGCCAAGTCCTCGTCTTCTGAATTAAGTTCCTCGTCGACATCCTCAAACAGCTCGGTAGTAAACATAAAGGTCTCGGGGGCACCAGTGGGTGGCCGGCTCGTGAAGCCTTCACATTGGAAGGTGATAGGCGCAGGCTGACCAGTCACCAGGAAGGGATCGTCGCCAAGGGGTTTCAAGGGGGAAGACGTGTCAAGATAGGCCTGATTTTCGTCAGAAAGTCTCATCTATGCTGTGTGCCACTCACGTCTTCTATATTCTCATCATTCTCGACGTGTTCGACGCGTTTGACGCGTGTCTTCTTTGAATGACGCGATCTTGTCTGCGGTGTAAGCACGGAATGGGTCCGCTTCTTTTTGGGTGTTCTCGGAGCAGAGGGAAGATTGGCCGTTCTGGCACGGATATGGGCCTTTGGTGGAGGCATAGAGCAGAAAATTGCCCTGTAGCAACGCCGCCAGACAAGCTTTGGCGCATCCGCGTTTTCGGGTAGTAAATGGCAAACTCCGTCATCAGTTCTTGTATTTTCACGATTATTTTTACATATATAGTACTTAGGCACCAATATCTATCGATTCATGGCGGCGATTGACCCAATTCAGGCTAGAAGTGGTCGAATGGATGAAATTTAGCAGATATTTCCCAATATAGATGTGGCGCATCACTCACGTGGGGGTCGTGGATCGTGCATGGCCTATACCTTACTTGAACCCTCAATTCAAGTTGGCATCCACGACTCCAAGTCCAGTAGACCAGATCGTGACATTTCAGATAAAATCGTTACAAGAATACTTTACTAGTAGACATTAAAATAGGCTAGATGAACGAATGGAGGGGTATGTGTGGTCCACATCGTAGCAGACAATGCATGCAGTCCGGTTCCAGAGTCCAATATATACCTGTTTTATTTTGTTCCGTCCAAATTCTCCAATCCACCTCCGCTTACTCATCCACAAGCACCAGGTCCGGCGGCGGCCCGCTGATGTCGACCTTGCCCTTCTCGTTCATTTCCGCGTCTTTTAGACTCGCCTTCACGCCAGCCGCCTCATTCACACGCTCCTCCTCTTCCGCCAGCCCCAGTTGATCACGTGGAAGCCATATGACACGCTGTGGCCGCGACGCCGCGGGATGCGCAAATCCATATTCGTCATCCGACTTGAGCTTCGCGGCAGCCTTTTGGCGCGCAGTAAGCGCCTCCTGCTCCTCGTCCCCATGCACCGGACTCGCTGCTTCCGCTGACTGTTTCGGCTCCGTCATCTCGTGCGAGTTCGTGCTGTTGCGGGATGTGGGCTGCGCCGTAAACGTCTTGTCCGCAAGACTAAGCGGCAAGGCAGCCTGAAGTGGCCCATAGGAACTTGAAATGAGGTTCTGATAGAGAACCTGGAGGGTAACAGGTCAGAACCACTCAGCTGAAATGGACGGAAACGCACCGTTATAATGATGAGGGCCACCATCAGTGCACCTTGTGGAATCGACGACGCCTTGTCTTGGTCATCGCGGGCAAGGAAGAACAAGCCAGCAAGGCAAATCTACCGAAATGTGAGCACGATGGTGTAGACAATAGAAAAACACATACTTGTTCAATGTACAACCCAACAAAAATGTGTGTCATTGCCTTGGGGAAGAACAAGCCCCCAGTATCCCCCGACCGGGGTTGCTCAAATTGCCACAAGAACAGATACTTGTAGAGCTGGAAGAACGCGAAGAACGTGAAGCAAGCGAGGCCGTTGATGATTGGGGCGATGACCGAGTAGACAAGTGCGATAACAGTGAGCAACGTGATTCCAGGGAACAAGGTTCCCCAGGCAACATTGCGGGCACCGTATTTAATCCCATAAACCGCGCGAGGGGTGCTGCCCAGAAGATAAAGCTTGACGTAGTAGACCACTAGTGGTACGATTTGGAGGAAACCACCCGCAGTTCCAGAAAGACCTTGAAGAATCGTATATCTAGAGAAAAAATCAGAGATCGAGTTGGTCAAAAAAAAGTGGTGAAAACCTACGTCAAGAAGAACGTCGAGGCAGATGGCAGCTTTTGAGCGAGCAAACTTGGAACCGACGATGGATCCTTCAATAAACCGGGAAGCGCCGATGCAATTCCGGACGAAAGAGTGATAATCAGGAACGAGTGCTAGTTTCCTTCATAAGTATCGAGCTAAAAGAAGGATGGAGGGATGACATACCACGACCTGGAACATGAAGAACCGTGTCATCAGACTGAGTTCGACGCCGCTACGTTTTGGCATGCCCTCGAAAACAGAGAACAACCGCAACACAATGGGAAGCAGCATCATAAGTACCGCGAGCAAAACCGGGGGTAAGATACCACTGAGTATACCGACAACAACTTGCGGGAGGTCGCAAATCCACGCGAGCCACGAGGCGGTCGTGCAAAGCGAATGCAAGTTTGAAATCAAACCAACGAACGCGACGGGGATGGACCAGAAGATGATGAGGGCGGCGGTAGCGGCATATGACAACAAAGTGCGGACACGCATCTCGTATGGGTTGAGACCAAGGTTGGACCAAATGACGTCTTGTGGAGACACCTCAGAGTATTTTTCGGCCATTCGATATGGTTCGTGGTGAAGGAGAAGATTCTTAGCCATGTTTGCAGCTATTTGACGATTGAAAGTAATGAACGCGCTACTGAGTGCAGGGTAGTTTTGCTCCTTGACTTTGGTCAGCTCTTTCTCTGCAGCCTCGGCACCATCAGCATCGTCATCTTCGGGGAAAGCATCATCGAGCTCGTCGAAAGGTGTTTGGTTAGGGTCGCTCATTTCTGCCGACATAACCCTACGACCTTCTTTAAGAAGACGGTTGCAAAGAATGATTTCGCGTCTGGCCCAATCGATAGAATCGACCTTCTGGCCGAAAAGTCCTAGAAACCCAAGCTTGTGGGTTGGCCGCTGGTCCCGCGGGACCTCAGGCACACCTCCTCGTTGCTCAACATCCTTGCCGTCACCACCTGCTTTAAGATGGGCTTTGGTGGCAATCGAAATAAGCTTCGTCTCTGCTGACTCAAGCTTTGCACAGGCAGCAAGGCGGCGATCGTAGATATCGGGAAGCGTGCGAAGATTGCGATTAATCCATATCCGCTTGACGCCTCCTGGAAGGTCCTTGAAGAGTTCGTGAAGCGCGGCCGGCGAGAGGTAACGTGCGGGGATTCCAGTGACAAGAATAGTATTGGCCTGGACCGACTTCGCGTGGACAGGGTTAATGAGGTATTGTTGACGCGTTGTGACGAAATGAGACATTTCAAGCCGGATGTTATAGAACACCCAGAACGTGAAAGCCCACGCTAGTACCAAATGTGCCCAGTAGCGCGTCTGCTTGCTGGGCTCGACATTGCCGAAGCTCAGGAGGTCAAGCTTGGTGTTTGCACCGACATGTGTCTTGACGGATGTCACAGGGAGGAGGATGATCCAGGAGACGATCCAAATTGGGAGGAAAACACGGGCCATCATGAGAAGAAATCGCAGGAAAAAGTAGGCATCGGGACCATTGGCGTGCAGAACAGCCTTGTAGTCGGCTTTGAAGACGGCCCATGGCCATGAGAATATGGAGGAGACACCAGTGAGAGAGTGTATCCGCCGTCTGAAAGGGAAATGGTTAGTATAGGCTCAACGATGATAGGAAGAATGATAGGCTGAAGCGAGCAGAGGCGACGATGTGAGACGGGTGGCTGGCATCAACATGGCAGTTTCGTCAAAGCTATGGAGCGGAAGACTGTGTAGTGGAGGCTACTCCAAGTCTTGGTCTGACGCAAACAAAGCCCCTCTGCGAAAACAAGGCGCCCCAGGCAACGACCACGTCGAAGCGTGTCTTCCGACCCGAAATTGAAAGACAACTCACGAAGGGACTGGAACGTAGGTTCTTGGCTCGTAGATGGCCTTGAAGTGGGGTCGTAGGATGGTGAAGATGGCGATTTCCGCACCAAAGACAATCGCGTTGAAAACAAGCGCAGTGACAAACGTCGACGTCGACGCGGTCGTCGCCTGAGAGACGTTCGACCTGGATGACAGTCAGCGGAAAAAAGTGCCAGCAATGGGGGAGGCATACATGGTGGGCGGAAGTCGAAGAGGAGGATGAACGGTCTATTCATTTATGCACCAACAAAAATAGGGCACGAGTTCTGACGTCACTAGGGTTGGTCTCAGGCCAGTCCAAGGCCAGTCATGGTTTTTGATTACATCACATCACAGGATTTCGCTCCAAAGTCGGCAAAACTTATCCCTGTTGGGGTGATTGTCGAGTCCAGAAACTCTCATCTGTGACCTTTCCTGTACTTAATGAGCTACGATAGGTGAAAAAAAAAACATGAGCGTCAATCCGTATAGCTTGAGATCATTCACCATGTCATGACTCCTAAGCAGTCTCGATCTGATGAAAAACGACTCATCCATTGTCGTTCATCGTCCAGGTACAAGCTCGCTGTCCTTCAGAAGACATATCGAATCCAATTCCTCCTCTAATAGTCTAGGTTGTGCTATAGTACATTTGTGGACGGTGTTACATGACAAAATACAAACAGAAAGAAAAGGGTATGCCCTTACAACGCAAACCGTTGCTGCTGCTCGACGAACGGGGTGGTCCCAATCGACGGACTGAGAATCGGATATGCCGAACTCACATCGTCATACCGCTCCTTCAACTTCTTCCACGCATGCCTGAATGTCGAGGTACTGCCTTTCTCGTGCACCAGTAAGATTGCGGTCTGACTCCCAACCGGCCGAGTCGCTCCGACTCCGTTGCGATTGACCAACACGTTGGCACGGTGTTTGAGCGGAACATCTAGTGGCGCTGAAAGCAAAGCATTCAGGCTAGCGGAGGGGATGTTGCCCGTGTTCTGGTTGGGCGATAGAGGCATTGCGAGATTCTTGATATTGGACAATGCGCGTGCCGATGGGGTTGGAGAAAACTCTACCCGGAATCGGACAGGCTTGAGAGAAATTCCGTCTGGAGCGGCCTCTTCGACCCTGCAACGCAGCATCATTCCCATCGCAAAGTCATCGTCGCCGCGATCCGAGCCTTCTGCGAACGTAAACCCGCTGCCTTCGATGGTGATACCAAGCTTCTCGAAGAGTAGTCCAACATCTCTACGGGTCTTGTCCAGCCCGTCTGCAGAATAGATGACACCAGTACCCGGAATCGCTTGGCCAGTCCCTTTCCAGCTAAAGAGGTTGGAAAACCATCCCTTGAACTCGCCAACGCCAGGGGAAGTCAACTTAGGACCAGGACCTTCATGATTGAGTGCGACAGGGGAGGTTAGGATGGACAGGGTAGAACGTTTTGATTTTAGTGGCGGCATGGTCATATCTGATAATGGGTTAGTATCAACGAAAGTGTGATAGAAAGAAAAAACGTGCGTTTGCCTTTGCGTTCCTTCTCCCGCTTCCCTTTCGCTTCATCAGGCAAAAAGATAACGTTGCCGTTCTCCTTCCTTCCATCGTTGCGGTTCGCACCAAGACCAAGTCCCAATTGGAATTCATCTGCCGCAACGTAACTCCATCCCTCAGTGAAACTCTGATTTTCCTTGTCACCGAAACCTTTGTGAGCTCGTGGAGGCGCTGAAGTTTGAGTTTTGGCCAAGTTGTTAAGACGGTCGGTAACACCATCAATCGTCTTCTGGATTCCGGCATTGCGCATGCGAGGCGAGGCAAGAAGAGGAACTCGCTCGGTATCCATTTCAACACCAACATTCTCCTCCACAGAGACACGAGCGATATTTTCTTCTGACCCAAGCTTCATCAGATTGAAGTCAAGATTGAGATCAATGTGGACATCGAGCTCTGAACCGGCAACTGGAGAGTGGACAATTGGTTTGGGCGGCGGCGGAGCAACATTGGTAGCGTGCGAACGACTCCCCGAAGGACGCCTGAAGAGTTGAGGAGAGAACAAAGTTGGGGCGTCCACTGATGGTGTTGTTTTGGCAGTGCGGCCACGCCTTGAACCATCTTCTCCAACAGAAAAGGTATAGCCACGACGAGGAAGGCGAGGGGCACTGTTGGTGTTTGTGGATGATGCCGGACGACTTGCCCCGCTCCGGGCACGTTGAACCGTTGCGTTGGGCTGGGGCACCCGAGTAGATCGTGCGCGGGGTCCAACGGGGGACGGAGGTCGGTCTCTAGAGCTAACAACAGAAGGTGTGCGTGATACGATTGGTGGGGCTAGACCTGAAATGGGAGCAACCACAGTAGTGGCTCGTTGGTGACTAGAAGTGGGTCGCCGAGACTTGAGGGCATAGGGTTGGAGATGTTTGTTGAGATCGAGTTCCCATCCTAAATCGAATGTTGGACTTCCGAGTTGATCCAGTGCATCGTCGGTGTTGGAGTTGCCGTCACGTGTTCGTAATGATTCATCACGGTGGCGGCCAAGAAGGAAGTAGAATGCTTTGGCATGGATACCTTGCCCAGCTGGCGAACAAAGATCGCGCTTGATACTTTCGCCTTGAGCGTCAGCGTGGCGACCCCAAATAATGCGGAGGGAAGCGAATAGGTCTTGGTCGATCAAGGACGGATGACCAAGCGGACGAGCAAGAGTACTAGGCGAGGGAGGGAGCGGCGGCGTCTTTATCAAAAGGGAGTCGGTGGTAAGTGGTGCCGTCGAAGAAAGCAGCCATGGATGGACCAATATCTCCGGAATCTGGACATTCATTATGTTAATCAGAGACGAACGGTAAAGCTAGACATTTGGACAAACCGTAATTCGGCAAGAGACGTCAACAACAAGCATGCGAGAGAGAAGGTCTGCCGCAAGAGGATCAATCCACGTTGGAATATCGTACTTGCCAGCCTTGACTTTAGCGAGCAGCGTCTTGACATTTTTGTCGTCAAACGGAAGTCGTCCAGTGAGCAGAGCATAGAGAATCACGCCACAGCTCCAAATGTCGGTTGCGTTGCCTTGATATCTCTCGCCATTGACAATTTCGGGGCTCGCGTAGTGAGGAGAACCGCAGCTGGTTTCGAGTTGAAGAGAAGGAGGTGCAAAGGCAGCCATACCCCAGTCGGCGATTTTAACGAGCGGTGGTGATAGTGAAGCAATGAGAATGTTCTCCGGTTTAAGGTCGCGGTGGATAATGGAAAACGTGTGCGCGTAATTGAGGCCATAGATGATTTGCTTGAAGTATTGCAGGGCTTCGGGAGCCTGGAGGCGTCCTTTATTGACCAAGAAGTCGAATAACTCGCCACCCTGCACGTATTCGAGAACGAGGAACAGCTCCTTAGCTCCTTCATAGACGTCATAGATGCGAATGATGTTGGGGTGGTTCATGAGCTTCATCATCGTTATCTCTCTGTCAATTCCGAGACGCTGTTTGTCAGACTTGGCCTGTTGTGTTGCGAGAGAGGCGCGAGAGTTGACCAAGGGAGCGAGTGGAAGTATTTTGACAGCGGCGAGCTGGCCAGTGACACGATGTTTCGCAATTTTGACTCGCCCAGAGGCGCCTTTCCCAACACACTCGCCAAGAATCCAGGGCCCAATGTTCTTTGGATCAGTGGGGAGATCGAAGGCACTGACACCACCAGCAGCTGCAGTTTCCTTGGCCCAGCGAGTTCCCAATGGAGCAGCATATTGAATCGGGGGAGCGCGAGGCGGGCTGCACGAGATGTCGGCCATTTCGTCGTGGACTAGGTATGCGCAACCCAAAGCACTTGGGGCGAGGATTCTTGAGGAGGGAGAGGAAAGAACGTCACAATGTGACCGTGACTCGCTTCTCACAAAAGTTTCGTTGTCGACTCTGTGTGTTGCTGTTGTCTTTCCTTGAAGTCAGTCTAACCGGTTAATTTAGATGTTGAGGGCCTCATGGCCCTTGATATACTCAGCATTTACTCCAAAAACTAGAACAACCTTCGAGAAACCTGGCGTATATTTGGCGTTTCGTGCTGGCACCTTCATCCGCAATTTGGCCCTCACAAGAGCACCCATAGACGAACGAGACGATACGTTGGATAGCGGAGCAAGTGAGGCCTGTTTGACCTCCAAAACACATAAGCTGAACCCATAATTCTAGATCTTCCCGGCTACCATTTTCCCCCATTCCCTCTGGTTTCTGCCACCACAAGCACTCCCGCAAACACAATTTACCAGAGGCTGCCGCAGGAAGCAGCTGATATAGCAGCTCAGGTCGCTGTATCATTGCCGGAACTTCTGCCGGAACCCGAATCCGACACCAGTGCCATCTTTGAAGACGGAGATGGTGATGACTACCATGGCGGCGTTTCAGCTCTCGCTCCTTTCACTTCCACTGAGGCCCTTCGGGTGCTTGTGTCGGCGGGAGACTATGACATTGCCCTCAAAGTCCTTGACGAATTGTTGGAAGTTGGGGTGGATATTCCTCTCTCACACACCTATCAGTTAGCGGCCATAAACTCAGTCAAGTCTCAAGCCCGCACCGATGCAGATATGGAGGAACAAATACGGACATTCAAAAAATGGTTCTCGTTAATACCTGTCGTTGACTACTCCCGTCCCAACGCTCTCGATCGCGTCATGCGCAGAGTTTTGTCCTCCTCACTCAATTCCATTTCACTGGTTATGGAGTTCGGGCTCCTAGCCGCCGACAAAGGACATGCTCCTCACATTTCTCAACGCGTCCTCGGTTTCATTTGCATGTACGGCGAGCCTGCTCAGGCCATCGTTTTTCTGGAGGAATTTTGTCAACGACACGCATCTTTTGTTGGAAAAGTCGATGAATCTCCCGTATATGCCGCTTTTCGGACCACCGCCTTGACTTCAGCCATACGAACCCTAGCCAACGCCGGACGTTTTGACCACGCTATCAAGCTTCTCCCTGCACTTCCAAGAATACGCTTCGATCCGTCCCTCTACAATTTCCTCATTCGCAAGATGCGCGCTGCTGGGGGCTCGCGCTATGACCCGCTCATCGAATTGGTCGCAGACTGCAAGACAAAAGCCTCTCACTCCTACAACCCAGATATCATGCCTCCAGCTGATCTTTCGATTTGCATTCAATGTCTAGTGGATGTCGGCCAACCTGACATGGCTATCAAGTTATTACCGCACCTCGGTGGTCCTCAGTCGGAACTGGTGGTGAAAACACTTGACTACATCCAAACCCGCTCCAATACGTCCTTTTCGTCTCCATTGAACGCACAAGATCATCCACAACCTTACCCTGCAGAAGACGGGTCAAAGGACACAGACCAAAGTCGACGATTTGCATTCGTCGTCCGAAAGTTGGCCAATGCTTGGCTGCTCGACGAGGCCCTTGCCATCTTGCCAACATATCATAGCAACAACGCTGGTCTTCATTTGTCCATATATGCTCTACTACTTCGAAAGCTCAAAGCCTCCTTCGATCCAAAATACCTTTCTTCCATCGAACAGCTCTTGCGACTGCACGAACAAACAGCGGTCGCAGCTCGTAGTGGTCGAGATTGGCTGGAAATAAATATGGAGGAAATGCCCACACCTCAACTTGCCCCAATTCCGACCTCGACACAACCGCCACACTCCACGTTTGGCATGGCGCAGAGCCTTCGAGGACTGCGAAAAGGTTTCCATAGCCCAACACCTTCCCGCATGCCAAGCGCAGTCAGCATCGTGCAGTTTTTTCACGACTACCTTTCGTCTGGGAGGACACAGGCCATTCGCTTGCTCCGTAATGCGGCGTTCCGCACTCATACTGGCTCCGGAATATACATATTGGCTGAACTTCTCTTCCATGAAGGTCGACAGGAACCTGCTGAAGTCATCAAAACTTTCGCGACTTACTTCTTTATCGTTGGGCTTCCCCGCGACGAACTCCTCCCCCATCTTAGAGTTGAAGCAGAATCAGACACAAACATATCAGGAGGCCTCCAACAAGCCAAACGACATCCCGACCCAAAACATACTGCTGTCGTATGGCGAGCTTTACTTGAGCTGGCTGAAAACAATGCCCATCTAGAAACGCTCTATCGCAAACTGTTGGCATTTGCGAGGATGGGTATGGCGCCGGCTCCTGCTGTAAACCGCGGGGTCCCATTGCTTCTGCCTCCACCTGCCTGGAAGACTGGTGTCAGTCAAGCATCGTTTACTCCTTTTATACGACGCCTAACTTTGGCGTTTGGACCGGAGCGAGGCCTTCACGTCCTGGGAGATATGGTCAAACTCGGGATTTCACCTTCCATTCATCAACTCACCGAACTCGCCATGGCATATTCTCGTGGGGGTCAAGTCAAACACACTTTCGCGTTGCTCGGTCAAGCGGAGCGCGCCGCTGATGCCAAAGCCCGATCGTCGCAAGGGCCCACGAAGGGTCCCACAGTCCCTGGTGTTGACCTTGTTCTTTACGGAGCCGTTATCCGTGGCTTCCTTAGTAGTGGTCAAATTGCCGCAGCAAGAGAGGTTGTTGGTCGCATGATGCAACGATTTGGTGGAGACATCGAAAAGAATGAGTATATCCAGTCTCTGCTAGAAAATGTCGAACAGGCGGAAGCAGAGGTTCGTGATCTACTTGTTTGCCGCCAACCCTTCTCATCGCTCCTCCAGGACCCATAGATCGTATGCTTTTGATGTGTCTGTCCCTTCAGCCTTGCTGCTACACAAAGCCTGCGGAGTTGTGTTTCGTTTGCGGAACATATGGGAGCAGGCCGGTCGGAGCTCGCTCCATCCCACGCTCGCCAGCTTCAGCTCTGTCGAGATATAGATAGCGCAAGTCTTACGTGTCCGTAATTACGAGACCATCAATATGCAATCGCAATCTGATCAACGAGTTTGTTTCGGACATCCATGCCCTCTGAACCTTTCATCGTTTTCGGTTACGGCTCTCTTATCTTCAAAGTGGCTTCACTGTCTCCACAAGAGTCAAGCTCATATCCTTCGTAGCCGCCACCGCATGTTATTGCACAAGGTCCTCGTTGCCTAATCTCTGCTTCTTTCCGGCGTTAAGATGTCTATAACTAGCCTCTGGGTTCTTGAAAGGCTACGTTCGACGATTCGCGCAGAAATCGCATGACCATAGAGGAACCCCCGAGGTATTGATCTAATTTGCTTGAATCTGCCGAACATCGAATGGCTTGTAGCATCCTGGTCGCGTCGTTACCTTGGTTCACAAGAAGGACTGGGATATGTTCTCTGCCGCTGTGAGTAACAACTTCCCCGTTCTCCTCTCTCTTGGCTTACAATACGTAGGATGCGTTTCCTGACGAGGATGTGGTGTGGGGTGAGACTGGGCATCATTCAATCGGTTTCGTTGACTTGAATCTGAACATGTCTAGGAATCGCCTACACAATTGATCCTGCCTTCGAGGACGAGGTTCGCGCATATTTAGGTACAGCTCGTACGTTTTCTTTTCTGGACAACTGACCAAGAACACTCAGACTATAGAGAAAAGGTGCAACTGCTGTGTAATCAATGTGTGAAGTGAGTCATGACAAGTCTTAGGACGGCTACACTATGGAAACGATGCCAATCTACACCATCGTCAGTGGGGAAGAAAAAATAATTATTCCCAAGGTTTTAGTCTTCTCATCCCTCAAACGAAGGCTATAATTTGCTTGATATACCAGGCGTATGTGCGTGCAAGAATTACAACAAGGCAAGTTTCCAATGAATTGCATTCCTAGTGCTATGTCGGACGGCCGGATAACCCCTCCTTTTGTGCGTACCTCCTGAGTAAATGATTAGTCATTACTGATAATCTTTGATAGTGGGTTCTGAACCGTTGCCTGAGCTAGCGCACCGCATCTGGATCTCGGTGGGGCCTTCAGGGCCCAACAAAGTAAGTGCCAAGTTCCGATTCACAACCTGGAACACTTTTCGTCGTCAGGATTACTTGTACAACCTTGCAGACTCTGTGCGGCATCTGAGTCCTGCCTCTGTGGATCGACATCTCTTTACGCTGGAGGTGTGTGTTACAACCTATCGGTCGCTGAATATTGAATTTGAACTCCGTCCACGGGCAGGAAATCGTCAAAAACCTGGACCAGTCGGAGGCACCCATATCCGTTGAAGATATCCGAGCCTTCTCCGAAAGCTAGAAGACGGTTGGCACACTATTATTGTCCGTTTCCGAGAAACAACATCCTCTTTGGGCTCTTTTCAAGGCTTCCGAGTTGAATGTCAATGTTGAAGACGTAGATAACCAATTACTACTATATTTCCTTACAGAGACATTTAGACTAACTGAGCACCCTTGCTTTGAATTCAGCCTGCAGTGCTGTCTACATCATATGTGCAGCACATGGTCCCGACAACGGCGTGACACACCGACAAGTCACACCCAACTTTCACTTTCAATCGACTCCAAGCTGGACTCGCTAAACATCTCCAGTGCTCACCTTCGACGTCGGCCTGTCGCGCCACATGTTGGTCGGCAGCTTCGATTCCCACACCAAGCGCAATAATATTGGTGGATGGGGTCGTTCGAACTTCTTTCTCCGTTGCAAGTAAATCGCGACACTTGATGCCAAGTCTCGGTTGCATGTGCTTCTGCCCTTTAAATATGCAGACGCGTATCTTGTGTGTCTCCAGCGACGCATTATGGCCCCCTTGTCGCGGTTTGCACTTTCGTTACTTCCTCTAGTCGCGGCGGTAAATGCTGCGACGGATCCCTGTGCAACGATAGGTGGCAAGAAATGGGCTTCCCCGAAGGATGTCAGGGCATGTTTGTCGTCGTTCAAACTCGACCCTGCTATCAAGAATAATGTGCGTGCTTGTGCACGTCTCAATCACTCTATGTTTATGACTTGGTTTTAGGTGCTCGACGTTGTCAGCAAAACATTGGCATTCCATGCCTCTGTGAACTACCAAATTTGGGCGCCCGAACCTTACTCCCTATCTGTCCACGAAGACCTTTTCAAAGACATTGCACGGATCAACAAAACTTCTTATTCTTCTGAATACGACTTCCACATCGACCTTTCACGCACTTTCAAACGTCTTAATGACGGCCACTGCGTCTGGATCAACTATTGTTTTGTTAGTGCTTCCTATTTGCAAGCAGAACATACTCATTCTGGATCTAGGACTGTGAGCAGAGCTTGTTAAACGTGTTATTGCAGATAACAACTGGATGAACAGCTGCTTTCGTCAACTACTTGCCCATTCCCTTGACTTTGCTCACCGACAAATTTGGGCTCCAAAGTGTCCACATTGTTCCAGAAGCATTCGACGTAGCCAAGGCCGAGTTCGCTGACGGATTGGATGCATGGCAGGATGCCCTGCCCGGCGACTTAAAAGGAAGACTCGACTTAGTCAGCACATATTTCTCTTCGAAGCTGCCTATGTTGACTTAGGATAGCTCTCGGGGGCCAAAGTCCTGCTGATCAACGGGTTACCGCCTTTCGCTGCTGTGGATGCCAACGCAGCCATCGCAGGAAGCTACCAGGCTCTTGGAACGCGCCAAATTGGGTAGACAGTTTGCTGAAAACGACAGCCTCAGACTTACGTCAGCATATCAGTTTCTTCTCAAGTTATGCGCGGGCTGCGAGCAGCTTCAGCTACAGCATGGGCCAATTTGCGCAGCAGTCGCTTCCTTTGGATGATTCTGTCTCCCTCCTGATTCAGCGCGTCAACCAAACCAAACTCGAAGTTATCACGGTGTGTTCTTTCCTTTCGGTTGGGGTCACACTCATGTGTCGACCAGCTTCCTTATCGCTCACGGATCGGCTCGAGTACAAAAGCCTTCACCGACTCGGCATCCTACAGGGCCAATAACTGTCGCGCTGTGAGCGGAACCAACGGAGTCGACATCCACGACACCACAGTGGCGCCTTCAACTGCCGACAAGTTCAAGCAAATTCCCGCACCCGTTGCTCCCGCTGGAAAGAAGCACCTTATGAACGTTGTTCTGGACACTGCGCCGTTCACGGACATCACGCTGCCCGGTGGACTCCAGCCTACCGCCCCTGCGCTGAATGGCAGCTTTGGTATCGGGACATTCTACCTTCAAAAAGACGGGAAGACTGGTGTCCTTGCCCTGGTGAGAATCATCAAGTCCAATTCCAAAAAAAAAAGTTAACCCCATTCTCGCGCAGGGCTCTTTCAGCGGCGCCAACTACGATACCATGCAAAGTTCGTTGCTCCAGGGACTTCAATCATTGAAGGCACTCGGCGCTACTCAGCTTATTATTGATGTCACAAATAACGGCGGAGGTTACATCTGTGTTGCGCATGTAGGTTGTCTCTTTCGAGCCCATCACTAGAAACTAATCCAACTTCTAGTGGCTGCACCGTATTATTATCGGACCAAAAAGCACCACCGTTCCGGAAGCAGGTCAGAGCCAACGATTAAACATATGTTTCGGCTGAGCTCGTTCACTTTAGGCCTGGATACTAAGGCACGATCGGGACCTCTTGCTCAACAAGTCGTACAAAAACTCATTGACGAGAAACTGGATCCCAACCAAGAGCTGCTTTACAACCCTCTTAACTGGAACAACGCTCAAAATGTGCAATTCAAGGCGGACGAGAACTGGTTAGTTCCCCCCGTCAAAAAAATCATCAACGGACATCCCGACGCGTTCAGTCAACGGTAAGACCTTGGTCCTGCAGCAGACCAGAATCAGCGGTTTAACGAAGCGTAGACTAGGACAAGAATGTCAACCTGACGGTTTCACCACCACCCCGCCCGACGTTGGGTTCTTTGAACCATCGAAAATTGTCATCGTATCCAACGGCCGGTATGAAAACTACATTGTCATATTTGGAGATCTTATTCTTGACTAGATGCGCGAGCTCTTGCTCACTCTTCAGCGTCAGTTTCTTGTTACTTGATCTTCCTTCTGTTGCTTAGTCACGTGCAGATTACCATGGCCAAGGAGGAGGGCGTCCGGACTGTCGTCGTCGGTGGTAGCAACCTCGTCAGACAAGAATACTGCGGTATCGTTGGTGGTCAATCGACGGACTTCGCCACCATTGACACGGAAATTAAAGTGTGTTATCTGGAGCTCAGTATTTTAGCCCTCTGACGCTCTTTTAGTCCACTGGCCTTAAAAGCAGCCCTCTCGCGCCGCCTGACCTGTGTGTTCTACCCCTGACCCTGTACTCCGTTTGCTCATCTCTTTGCAGGATCGTCAATGGTGTGCAGGGAATCACATGGCGTCTGGGCTTTGGAATAACGCGCCGGGAAGAGCCTGAAGGTTTGTTCTCGCGCATCGCGCATCTTGTTTTATAGCTGACTTGTTGCCGTGCAGAGTGGCAGGAGCACTACGCCGCGATTCAGCTCCCGCTTACGATGGAACTGTACGTGGCCAAATCTCAAACTACTTATATCACCAGAAACTTACTGACGCTTGGTAGTGTCAACAACCCTGTCAAAATCTGGGACGCTGTTACAGCGCGTGTGTTTAAGTAGAGGAAAGCAGGTCATAATTCGGCGACCTCTTGTCACTCGTTTTCAACTCTCACTCGTTTGAGATACCCGCATTAATAGTAAAAAATGTGTGGCCAAATTGGTCGCTCTGCCGTTCCGAGCTCGCGCGTTCTAGTCCAAAGCCTGACCTAATTTTCACGGAACAACCGAAATAAACCGCCTGTTTTTATTTTGGAATGTCCGAGCTTGGGACCGTTCCAAAGTTGAATCGCTGCCGAAAATAAATATTGTTGTCAAGGATCAGTCTGGGGACATCAATCCAACTATCAATCTAGGACCAGAGTTGCACGGCCTGTCGCAGCTGGCCCGCAAAGCGCTGAATGCACAGCAGCTGGTGCCTCCGACAAATGTCGGCGTCCTAAACTTGAATTTAACAGGGTCGGCATGGCTGATGCGATGTCGTGATTACGCATCATAAACTGATTCTCGTGAAGGACAGACTGCAAGGAAAGAGAAACAGCAGAAGTTGCGCGTCTGAGAGCACCAACAGGCACTCACAATGGACACACGACCCAATGACGCAGCGTCGATCCTCAACGACAGGTCCGTTGGGCTTGGCGGTCTTGGCTTAAGTGGTGGCGGTGAAGAGGCCGACGACGTCTCCGTTTCCTGACCATCATTGATCTTTTGAATGGCTTGGACGAACCTAAGCATCAGCTTCTGCATTGTGGAATCCCGGGTGTGAGTGACTGGAAGCTATCATGTACGGGACAACAATACTCAGATGTTGCTGCGGTTGTGGAGCGTTGAGTAACTGTAACATGTTCAAATACTTAAGTCCACTGTACGGGAAAACCGGGTCTAGATAAAGCTCATTCGAGGCCCGATTAACCGTGGAATCATCCCAGACTTTACTGCGCACACGACTATGATAAGTGGCAGATTTATCCGTGGAGGTCCATACTTGCGCGAGCATGGGAACAATAAACTAAGAATAGAGACCATGCTGAGGGAAGCCTGGACCTACCAGGTGACGTAGGCCAACAACCGAGCTGTCGGAGAGGATGCCAGTGCGACTGTGAGAGCTGTAGGAAATACTAGTTCACGCCGGGACGATTGGACGATTGTTACTAGGCGCGTAGCACCTGAAATATGCAAAACAGCTATCTCGAGGCTGGGTAAATGTTGGCCGCACTCGGCGTCCGTGATTTGTGGAGTGCGAGTGCCAAAGAAAGCTTTTGTCCTATCAACGATGTGGGATCGTCGACGTCGCTACCGAGATCTATATAGCTTTCACAAGACCTCGACTTGAACTTGGGCGCAAAGGAGCGCTGACAGCCTACAGCGTGAACCGAAGCTTCTGGCCTTCAACTGGACAAATTACTCGACAGTTATTTTTAGAGCTGCCAGTTGTAAATCAAGAACAGAACAAGTCTATTTCAGTTTCTGCCGTATCGGATGCATAACCGCCAATACTTTTTTTGGTCTCATGCCACGACCTCATTCTGCTTTCTCTTCGCTCCTTCTCCGCCGTTTTCTGCTTTGAGATTCACACTCCCCAGCTGGCCACTGGCACACGACCAGTCGCATACGAAACCAACTATCTATAGATAGATAGGTTGGTTGGTTGTAAGGTTTGTTCCTGGTCCTTGTTTTCCCTGCGCTGACGTCGCATGAAGCTCACTTTGCGCCTCCCCATGTCGTCTCGAATGACATACCTCTATGAGCCACTTGGTGGCCACCCCAGACGAACGTGGCGTGACTCTCTTCGTTCTCCCACCCGCTGGACAGCAATCCTTGCCATTGTTGCACTCTCCCTGACCTCCATCGCCATCCTCACTCTCTGGAGTAACCAATGGCCATGGAAACCCACCTCCCTCGCCCCCAAAATATTTCCACCCGCGGAACACACCTCGTTACCTCTATCTCCGCCCGCGTCAACTTCGAAGTCAATACCTTCCGGGCCACCAGAACGATACCCTCCCAGCCTACCAACCACAGCCCTTGTTGGTCACACAACATACCACCCGTTTGTCGCACCATCGGCGTTGCAGGCGATTGCCGACCCACGAATTCTTCCGATCCGAGCCCAACAAAGTCTCTCGAGCGCGTGTTTAGATCATTGGGTTAGTACAGGATCTTGGGGAGACCCATGCACGCGTTCCATGATGGCTGAGTCCAAGATCGACTTGGTATACGTCTGGGTCAATGGCTCGTGCGTTAACATTGTCTTTTGTTTGTCGGGAAGTTAGTTGCTGACCGCGGTTTGTAGCGATGTGCTGCACCAGCGCGCACGGGAGGTTTTGTTAAAGAAGACCAACTATCGGACGAAGGATGCCAGGTTCCGGGAGCATGACGAGTTGCGATATTCTTTGAGGTCTGTTAGGGAGGCAACGAAAACATGGCGGAACAGCACCTGGCATGTCGTCACCGCGGATGTTGTTGACCCGGGGCAAGATGGGGTTCATCGACAACGACTTGGGCTCGTACCACAATGGCTCGATATCGAGTGCTCGTACCACGGGAGCGAGGAACCACAACAGCCACCGATACGCCTACAACATGGTGAGCTGTTATTGCAACCCGTTCTGCTCGAACTAACCGTGCTTCTATCAGATACCCAGCTCTTCCGACTCACATCCACGCCGGGAAAAGAACCCAACCCCCAAGGCGCGACCGAATGGCTCGAGAAGATCCTGCCCAGCTTCAACAGGTTCGTTCATTGGAAGAAGTGATATGATATTCCCACGTTTCTGATCTTGACATCCAGCCATGCTGTCGAATCTCAGCTACCGCAACTTGACCCCGAGCTGGTATCTGACCACATTGTTGCCCTAAATGACGACCAGTTCATGCTCCTTCCCGTCCCCCCCTCGGCATTTCACACCACGCTCTATGGGCCTGTCTTCCGCGTCGATCCAAACTTGCTAGTTGCTGGTGATGCCTCCGGCTCTGCTGACGGCGGTGGGGAGTGGCGGTCGCTCGGCTGGAGCAACCATCTCCTTAGTGAACGCTTTGGCTCCCGCAAACGGCCGTATATGCAACACAACGCGCGTTCCATGTCGCTCCCGCTTATGCATGAGGCGGCTTTGATGTTTGGCCAGTACTTTGCCAACACCCCGCTCTCGCAGTTCCGCGGGTCGCACAAAGTCAAGGACGAATTCGAGGTCAACACTATTTTCTTGACGACGCATTTTGTTGTCGAGCGCCATCGCGAGGCGTTGTTGTACTCGTGGGTCGTGCTCAAATGGGACGGCAACAGGAAGGCGATGTGGAAGGATTTGGGCGGGAAAGACCGCGAAACGGAAATTCGCTTTGATAAAGTAGCAGAACGGACTACCCCGGAAGATGTCGAGCTCAATCTGCTCATGGCCGGCATTGCGCCACCAAAAGCGGTCAACGACACGCAACAGGGTGATACAACCTATACCTGGACGTCTATGGACGGATACAGCCCCAGGTTCAACAAGCTTGTCATCACGACAAATATCCCTCGCTCATGTATTGACGTCGCTGGCTCTTCTTGGGAACTTTTCCGGCATTTGGTTGCGAAAGACCCTGCCTGTGGCGACCAGATCATCTCTGCCCTCATCCACAAGTACAAAAGCGGCCTCGGTGCTTTTCTCCCCGCACCATCTTCAATACCTGACTCTCCCGACGACCCAGTAACACTTCCCCTGATCCTGCCGACCAAACCCCCGAAACTCCCCGCAAACCCACGCCAATTCGCAGTCCGCCTCCTCCAGCGATATGCGCACGTGCTCGGTGACTCGCCAACCGAGTTCATCGCGCTGCGTGGCGCGGGTGACGCCAAAGTCATGCTCAACAATGTCAACCTGAAGCCTGCGACGTCGTTGTTGTGTCTGAACGACGACCTGGGCAGCTCGGATGCGACGCTGAAGGCCACAGACAAGGTGCTCAAGGACTGGTTTGACAAACGGTGGCCGGAGAGGCTGCGGTGCGAGGTGTAGGATTGGGTGGAAGTAGAAAGAATTTGTTTTCGCTGAACTGCTATCGTTATTGTAGACTATCATTCTGGCATTCTGTACTATATCTGCACAATCACTACATTCGTTCATTGCACTTGTAGTTGTGTCTGTGTGAACACTAGTCAAAGTCTCAGGTGAGATATTAGTAGTAATTGAATTTTGCTAAGACTTGAGAAGCATTTCACTCTGACTTGGTTGTGTGATGCAGAAAAAAGTGAGGGCCGCGCGATGACAGACACGCATGGTATCAGTAGGCTTGCGAGCAGCAGAGGTCGGAGAGGTTAACGAGGGGAAGCGTTATTACTGTGTAACAACAACACTGGCAACAACCACAACCACCCAACGAAGAACATCCAGGCTTGACAGCTGCAGAGGCATCAACCGATGGGTCTAGATAACCGCTATGCATGCCCTCAAGGATGATTCACATCACTCGGAAGGATCCACGCGACTTATGATTTGTGCTGGACGCAGCGGCTCAAGTTTGGGCAGTTGCATAGCATGGGGCATGGATGCATTTTCTCGTGATGTATGGAAAGGGAAAAACAGTAAGGAAAATTGCTCATGCGATGAGTTTTACAACGCCGCCAGCCTCCTTGATCTTGGCCCTGCGCGACAATGTTAGCATGAGTCGACACGGATAAAGTGGAACAAGAACGCACTCTGCCGTGGCTGAAACGAATCGTGCTTTGACGATGAAGGGCAGTTGAGGGAGTCTTTAGAGAAAGATCAGCTGTCGAAAACTCTGCAAAAATAAAAGGCGTTGCTTACTTCCCGTTGCCCAAAACCTTTCCGTATCCGAATCGCAGGGTGTCGATGACAGGGACGACAGTCGAGTCGGCGGTAAGACCCTTCTTCTCCTCCGCGGGAACGAGCGACCAGAGATGGTCGACGTTGATGGTCGGCCGCCAGTGCGCGTTGCGGGTCAAGTGGAAGTGGCGCATACCGACTTTACCGAAGTAACCAGGATGGTACTTGTCGAAGTTGGTACTGTTCCAGATCAGTTGGTGTGAGCATTGTCAAATATAACACGCACCGGTGGTGGTGCTGACCACCAGCAAGACCACGACCTCCGGGGTGTTTGCGGTGCTTGCCGACACGACCGTGGCCGGCAGATACGTGTCCTCTGTGTTTGCGGGTCTTGCTGAGGTGTGTCGGCATCTGAAGTCAGTCGTCAGCTATCTGAAATGTCCCCCACCGCATCCAGCGCCTGCCCGTCGATTCCGCTTCGAAATCGCTCGGATTGAGGTCTAGGGCATGGATCGGTGCTGGAGGCGGGCGCTGGACGCAGGAGGGCAGCATAAAACGGGGCTACACACTTTTGAGGGCGGGGTTGAGGTCGAGAAAAAACGAGATCAGGGGATCAAAAAGGTGTGAAAGATTCTGCACTGCCACTACACTGTCATGTGCATCAGCTTATTTTTTCTCTCACTTTCAAGCCAACCACCACGACCACACCCAGGTAAGCCTCGGTCCTTGCTCTCCTCAGATGATGGTTTTATATTATTTATTGTCGGCGATGGCCCGTGGGCATGAGCGCATCTTTTTTATTCTGACTCTCTCTTGTTGATTCTGAGACTTTATGCTGACGCGTTTCTTAGGTGAGCTGCTCGTTCTGTTTCCCTCGTAAAGGATTATACCTTTTTATCTGTCAATCCACTGACGGCTTATGCCGGATGGAGAGACCTACTATATAGCTCTATGACTCTTTCTTTCCGCTCTCTTGTTTCGTCGCTCACTCTTCCTAGATGAACGCGCCGAATCGCTATGAGCTGTTTGTGCTTGACGACGGCGAGAAGGCGTGCGTCGGATGTTCCTTCACCGTCGTGTCTACGCGCTGAACGCATGCGACTGGCCCAGGCTTGAGGCTACCGAAGACACCAAAATTCCCAATGCCGCCACCTTCAAAATCGTCAAGCAGGACCATACGCTAGGCAACATGCTCCGCGCGTGTGTTGTACCTACTATTTCTCTTGCTTCATCGTTGACACGTTTCCTAGCCAGCTGCTTTCCGACCCCTCGGTGCTCTTCGCTGGATATAAAGTGCCCCACCCGCTCAACCCGCACTTCCTGCTCAAAGTCCAAACGGACGGCAGCATTCCGCCCGCGACCGCGCTTGAAAACGCCTGCACGCGGCTCATCACAACCATCAACACGCTTGAAGGCCGGTTCAAGCGGGAGTTTTCGTTCAAGGATGTGGATGCTGGGGCCGCTGGGCCGACGGTCAACCTCGGTGTGCCAGACGACCCCTATGGTGGCGGTGGAGCGACCGCCTGGGGTGCCCAGAGAGACTATCTCGATTTTTAAGTCAGTTTTCTGTGTACTGTAGCTTTATTATTTGTATCCATTCAAGGTCGTAGCTTTCTTTGCACATTATTATATGAGCGCCTGAGCAATTCATTGAAAAGCTCCCTCAGTAAAATGGGCCCGAATTGACATGCTTCCTAGCGAAAATAGGTAATATAAAGTACAGCGCCATTCCAGTATCCTTTGCTGCTTCTCCGAAAGCCGAGTTGTGCTTGCGATCCTCTATTCCCATGCCGTTGGACCCCACGGCCAGAAAACAGGTACTGTCCTTCACAACATAAGTAAGGTGACTTTCGAATATGAACTCGCCCACCTTTTGTACTCCTCCCATTTTGGATCGCCGCCAAAATGCTTGTCTCCCGTCTTCTCGAGTGGCGGCACACCCGAGACCTGATCAATGCGACGTGAGAGATCTGGCTACATAAGCGAGAACAACACCAACCTTGCGGAGGAGGAACCAGGTGAACAAGGGGCTGAGTGCGGTCAGCGCAAGCGTTCCCAGTGGGTACTGATGCGTCTTGATGCTTCCGGCAGAAATGGCCCAGATTCCAATCCAGGTGCCTACTTCGCCGACGTAGCTTGGACGCGGGTCAGGGAAGCAACTAGAATAACGCGCGACCCTTACTTCGGATGACGCGAAACCGACCACAATCCCCGCGTGATGAACTTTTCGTCGTGCTGTTTGGCCTCTTTCGCGCGTCGCCAGGCGGTCTTTTGCTGGTCGGCAGTGACCTCAAACAGGAACGACCCAGCAAAAAGGGCGGTCGCGAGTATGTCGGTCGGGCCCAGCGCGGGGTGCAGGGCTGGCGGGAGAGCATTGAGCAGGTAGACCGGGAGACCGACGAGGAAGACCCAAGTTGCCTGCGCGAACCAGTAGAATGCGAAAAGACCGGGCTGGGTTTTGACCTCGTCGAAGCGCGAGTCACCGCCTGCCTTGATGGCCCTCTGCAAGAAGTTAGCTTGTTGAAGGAGATGGAGGACCGCGAACGCGCCATTGCAAGAAAACTGCCCAGACGAAGACTCCAGATGACCAGTGCGGCGTTGCCCAACAGCTGGCGCGGTGCGAACGAAAGCAAACTCGGAAGCGCGTCCAGTGTCCCATCGACAAACTTGGATTTGAGGAAAGGGAAGTAGAGGGAGACGAATGTCGAGCTGAGGAAGCCCAGACAGCCCACCAAGTCATAGAACATTTCATTCTGGAGAGGGATAAATATTGCTGCCGCAACTACAAGATCGTGAAGTCAGAAACGAGTGGAAAAGGTGTGTAGCACCACACGCACCAGTTTGGAGGAGGTAAGAGGTTAGGGCGGTGGGGACGAGGCGCGAAAAGACGGCCATGGTTGTGGAAGAGAAGACAGACGATCTGCACCCGCTGTCTAACCACTGTCAACTTGGGTAAAAGGCCACCACGTGGCAAACCGAGTACTTTGGATACCAAACCGAACTCAGTAGCTAGCGCTACGATACTTTTTCTACTTCCGTAGTCACGATAATCGCTTTTCCTCAGGTCCCAGTTCACAGGCACGAAATCTGAGTACCAGCGCAAAACCTGGCCCCGCATGCTCGTCGCAACAGGACCTGTCGCAGTAGGTCATCTCGCCACGTAAATGCGACTGGTCCATTCCCAGCCGTGCCAAAAATGAACCGGGACACGCGCATCCCCGCACCTATTCACTGCGAGGGCCGGCTTGCGAGGTGGCTACATGGCGTTGCAGCTGGGGAAGGAGAAGTGGCGGCACCAATGCAACAGTGACAAGCGAAGTAGTGGGGAGTTCAATCAATGTCGTCGAAAGAGTAGAGTCTATAGCATGCCCAAGCACCTCGGCAACGGTAACACCCGCTGTGGATCCGATTCACCCTACCCGGGCGCCAGCAAATCCGGAAGGTACGGCGTGCAGAAGAAAGATATGTTTACTTGTGACTTCGCCGTAACTGCGTCGACGAGGCTGATTCCAACTAGAACAATGCAACGCATCCCTCTCAACGGCGTCAGCGTCAAATAGTCAACCTGTGCATTCACTGACATCATCCGCCCTTGTCTATCTACCCCGGATGTTTCATTTCTGTGCTCTTTTCCCCCGCGCGTCATGTCCAAGCTGCCATACTGGCAGGAAGCTAAATTTCTGGCCCTATTTCTCCAACACAATAACGAGCCGACGGCGTGGCAAGCATATCTGGACAGTGTCACCGAAGACAAGCGCTTCTACTTGGCTCTCCATTCTAAGGAGACCGCGCAACTGGTAGTGGACTATCTGGATCTGAGGCTAAAAAAGTCGGCGGATAGCGGACGGAAGAGTCCAAAAATCAAGTGTACGCCGTTGGCCCGTTAATTCCCCGCTCACATTTTTAGTCTTGCCCGGCGCCATACAACATCAAATACCGCTAGAAATTTGGTGGAACGTACTCAGCAGGCTGGATGTTGTCACTATGGGAGCCCTTTCACATGCAGGTAAGCCTACACGACAGTCGTTAACCATCTCAATGCCTCAAGCTCCATGGTTGGCGCGCATGATTGAACACGAAGTCGACCACAGTATGATAGCGGCGTTTAGAGCGGTACAACTCCGTTGGCGTATTTTGCGTTGGGGCATTGCACATTGTGCTGCTGTCATTGGGCGGGAGGGAGCCGCTAGAATGCTTTTTCCCAGTCGCAAGAAACACCTGTTCGATGGCCTCGAAGCGTTAGAAATCTTTGTCAACACAGACCAAGCCGACGAACTTGCAAGATTTCTCAAGGTCACAATGAACTTGGAATTGGTGAGAATCGCACCGGCCATATGTCTTTTACTGAAACCCAGAAGTCCAATCTCAGGCAGGGTAAGCCGCGGGATAATATCCAAGAGATTCGACGTTTACGGCGCACCGATGGCCATGGTATCAAAATTCATATCAACGTTTGCCGCAACGAGTCTTCCCGATGCACCATTTTTCGCACTGCGTTGACCTGCGACATGATGTATTTCGATGGCGAAGAATTGGTGGTGCCGCATTACAGCTTGACTTCAAATCTATTGACGGTCAGAAACTTGGGCTACTGCGGCCAACATGGCAGTGATACAACAAGCATGCTACAAGCGACTTCTGAAGCCGCTGAGCGAAAAGGCTTCAAAATGACCAGCTTGACTGATGGTGTGAGATTAGATTCCGGTATCCTGGGAGTACAAAATACTAAGGGCATTGGGACAAAATCCTTCACCTATAGTGGGGGTTGGATAATCACACCACAACCAAGGAACGGTATTGCTTGGCGCTTGCATTCGTGTGAAAACATGTGGGGACATCGGGAAGCTGGCCCTTTCCTAGTTCAAGAGCTCGATGTGCACGAGGATGAAGGATTGTATACGGATATTGGATATGACATGTTATGAGTAACCTTAAATAAATCCTTGGCTTTCATTCACTCAGATTATAGATAAATACTATCCCTACTATAGACTATGGGCTATAGCCGTTCATGCCATCACTCCGTACAAAATAATATCCTACTGCCCGTGCTGCTGTTGTTCCATATTCATGGGTATCCAATATAACATTTTCTACAGAGGTTATATTCATTTCTCTCTGGGGTAACCCGTTCCTTTGCATCCCATCATAGAAGAACATGCTTCCATCTCGTCGTATGATTCTGGCAGTAAAATGTTCATCAGCATAGTAACATATCCCTCTAATTGCATATTGAATATTTGTTGTGGGCATAGTAAATGACTTTTCACATCTGGTCAATGGAGAGTAGTTTGCAAAGTATAACATTGGTGGTGGATTCATAATTTCACTGATGGTCAGTAATCGATTATGACACATTGGGCAGTTCTGAATACTCAACCCACATAATTTTTGAGTAAGCCAGTCCGTTATATGAAAATCATTTGTAAAATTACCGCTTTCATTTCCTATAATATGCTGCATCCATCCCAGATGGTTTACAGTCTCCCAATCAATTTTACATAACACACAGTTCAGTTTACTATAACCACAGTTTTGAGTACCAAACATTTTATTAGCTAAATCATTTAAGGCAATTAATGCTTTACCATAAGGAAACATATCAGCAAAATCAGATGCTAGACTAGATCGTACATTATTTCTCACTTGTTCCATTGAAATATTTTTCAACTTCAAGTCAGAAATGGCATTATTAAGGTTAGTGATATACTTATTTCCAGTCAATGCTGGCCATATTGCTTTATCTTGAATCCAACTATCTACTAATGGCATCCATAAAGAGTCATATGCACAACTCCAATTAACACTATCCCATTTACATGCAATTACATTCTCAGTTATGAAAGCAACAGAATCATGAGCAGTCTGAACCTTTTCTTTTTTAACCCGTTTTCTATCCTCATTTGAAAGTTCGACTTGGAACTTCTGAGAATAAGTTTGTTTTTTATCTTTTTTCTTAAGATTATTGAGTTTCACATGAGATGGTAAATCACGTTCCATAAGTTTCCACACAATACAATTTGCCTTGACATCAATATCGTAATTGCTATTATGATCCTTTAAAGAATTATGCAATTCTGGTAGCTCAAAATTGGCACCTTTCCATTTTTTAAATTTTCCAATTAATTCTTTTCTATCCAAACCAGTTATTGAATCATCTAGTTCATTCTCATATCTTAGTCGGGTGATTACATTTAGCATTTCCAGCTCGCGAAACTCCTGACGTAAGAATCCTGATATACCCTTTGTAATTCGGTTTTACATGGATAGGCTGTAAAATAAGTGTTCCCTCTGCACAGGTTCCTCTTGAAAAAGCAACATAGTATGCAAAATGAGTTCTCAAATTATGTGCGTCCACTATGTTCACTGACCTTGATTTCCCTTGAAATGAGTAATCAGTACCTGCAAAATTAGGCAGTATAGGTATTTGCTCACGCACAATTTTCATCACAGAGTCATCAGGCATCTCACAATTAATTGTTTCAGATCTTTGAGTTAGAGGTACAACATTTATGGGTAAACCTGGTATCTGAATATTTTTCGGTGGAGATATCAATTCTACAAATATGACATTTAAACAATTCTGTCCATTATTACCAAGAGTTTCTTGCCATCCTACCACTTTTGCTTCTTGTCCTTTTGTTATACATAGCTCAGTTGCCTCATTATAACGTATGACTACTGGTAAACCTACACAAATATCTAAATATCCTGGTATATTACTAGTTGCAGAGGGTGGAATTTGCCACAGTATATCTTGTTTAGACTGAGAAATACTCTGAGTCAATTTTTGCAATGTTCTTCCTTTTTTTACCCAATGTCCTTCCATGAGTTCCAATTGCCTCAGGATTTGTATCATTTGAGAAATAACGATACAATATTGCATCAGTGGCTTTCGCAAATTTCAAAGTCCCTAACTCATTAATTTTGTCTCTCGTTGCATTTAGTGCTGTAATTACAGAAATATGGTGAAATTTAGCTTCCTCAAAATTGGGATGATTTTTTTGTTTACTAACAACTTTACTTTGTAGCCATGCTATATCTTCGTCTGTACATGCTCCAAAACGCATATTACCTAATACCCTTCTAAATGATATATTATCTGGTGAGGCATCCCGTTGTCTCATATTTTCAGTCAAAATCACAACTGTAGTAACTTGCTGCCACAAAGCCTTGCCAATAACATTTATCTGATCTGTCAGTGTTGCCTTGACTTTCAAATTTTTCGTCACATCCAGATCTCCTGCATACAATGTCTTTGCCTTCACAGGAGGTAATTGGCCAAAATCCCCTGCAAAAATCATATTCATCCCCCCAAATGGAATAAAATACTCCTCTAAACTAACAGCTAATTTTGCACTTATTTGATATAGAGCAGTACAAGATAACATGGAAACCTCATCAATAAATATATACTCCACTCCCAATAATTTTTCTCTCAGCTGCATAACATTGCTCACATGAGATTTGTCATCAGAATTGCCATCTCTAATTCCAAAAAATGAATGATATGTACTACCATTAATCAAAGCGGCTGCGGTTCCAGTAGGAGCTAATATTACAAACCGATGCACCTCATTTCGCACTTCAAAAAATTCTGATAATGCTTTAATAACTTGTGATTTTCCAGTTCCCCCTACACCTCCTAAATACATTTTTAACTGTTGAGGCTTCTGAGCCATTGCATGATTGGTAACTATATGATATGCTCGTTGCTGTTCTTTATTAAGGTTAAATTTTATACTTATATCATTTGCAATCTTTTGATCTTCAACATTTTTTGCCTTAAAGCTTTTCTGATAAAAACTATCATCTAGTATTACCACATCATCATTGACATCAGCAGCCTTACTCAAATTGGAATTATTTAAAGGTTTCTGTTTTTTTCTCTGATGTAATAAAGCTTCCCGTATTTGGGCAAGTTTTGTTTTCCAAGTGGCCGCTGTTGCATAAGTGTCTGGTTGAAATCTAGGTAGAGGCAGTTCACCTTTGTTTTTCAATACTGTGCTCCAACCTGTTCGTCCTAATACAGACTCAGCATCACTCATTATATTTTCACGATTAATATGTCGTGGCCCTTTAGCAAATGGTGTTTCATCAATGACTTCATCATCATTAATATCAAATTCTTCCATCTCATCTTCAGAGTCATCATATGATATAGCACTTTTATGTAAAGGTGGTAACTGATTCTTTTTCTTATTCTGAGCAGCAAAATCATCACGAGCATCATTACATTCATACTTAATATTGAAATTTTCCATTAATTTCAGAGCCTTATCACTAAACTTGTAAGCACTAAATGCTTCATGCCAAGTAATTTCACTTGTTTTCAAATCTGATCCAGCTCTCCATGGTCGAAATAAAGTTAACATGGTTGTACAATAAAATTCCCGGTCCCCTTGATCACTGCGAGGTAAGTGGCCATAAGTAAAATTCAATACAGTTGAGCTTAGTTTCCGTTCATCACACTCAATATAGTGAGAATCACTCAATACATGACTAATATCTAATGCATGTGCAGTAATATGTCTTTTTAGCTCTGATGCAGTCAGATCTGATTTATCAAAGCCTACATTGTCACTGTCCTCCTGATGACAAGGCACATTTTTACATGTCGGAATATAAGTTGGTTTATTTGTTTTAGGAATTTTTTTCCTTTCGCACATTTGTGTCCAGTCATACAAACTTACTTGCTCAAATCTAGCAGGTCTATGGACATAGTCTTCAACTCTACTTACACCAACAACATCACCATCATCATTCTTTTTATTCATTAGCACTACTTCATCATTCTCATCTAAGTTCTTGTTATTTGGTTCTTCGGTAGATATTTTAGTTGATTCAATACAATCTTTCAAAAGTTCTTGTTCATCGGGCCAAGCTTTTTAAGACCTCATGAACAAATACTTTCCATGCGAATACTTTAAAAACCATATTAGTATAATGGTCTGGCAGTCCCATCACATAGGATGCTGCAAGAGGTGCACCAATTTGTGACTTAGATGTTAGACCATTGACCATTTGCATTATAATTGTTCTATTATTTTCTCTGGCAGCTGGAGAATTTCCTACAGCTACTGTTCTCTTATTAAGAACCTGTTTTGCACTATTAAATATATGGTATAACTTCAGTGCATTTTTTGATATATAATCTGTGACATAAGCCACCACAGCTTTAATAGAAGTTCCTGATAATAAACTAGTCCAGTCTGTATTACATCTTAATAAATAACTACAGTCTGGAGAGTAAGTGTTGATCATAGGTTCTAATTTTTTTCATGTCAATATGACCATCCTCTAAATCAACCTGTGTCTGTTCAAATATACTACGTGGAAATCTACCGGAACATGTACCATCCTTGCGTATACAACCCTTTACTGATTTTCGCACATAAGAACCATGACTATCAGGTGCCTCAGTTAATATAATTCCAGATGGCCGACAAGTATGGACATTAGACTTTAACAGTATATCATCAGTTGTTAATAATTTTTCTTTTTCCCAGAGTCGATAAGTTTCGCAAGGTACACAATCATTCAATTGCAAACCTTGATGAGTTGTGCATCTTGCTGGCGGTGGCAATGGTAATGTCATGATAGGATCATAATATCCTGGATAATTACTAATGTCATTTACATAAGCTGTCACATCAGCCATTGTTCCTGACTGAAATTCACCTTTATGACATGATTCCAGATACATAATTAATCCTTGTTGAAAAGCACTATCTTTATTTAGTAGTCTATTTCTAATTTCCTGTGGGGATAATGCATTTTTAATCCAAATCAGCATATGCATATGCAGAGTCAGCCTACCCTGTTGTTCAATAGTGCCATAGTATGCATCTGTCTCACCTAACAGACCTCTGTGGTTACTGTCAACACCTAAGATATGCTCAATAAATAACTTTGTAATATAATGAAAAAAGCGTGCTGCAGCTACTGGATTTTCTCTAATCATTTTAGCTCTAGTATCTGAGTTGTAGATCTCAGGAGTAAAATTTATTTTATCATCTGCTAAATATATACATAATGGATGCTTCAAATCAACAGGTGCAAATGTAATAAACCAAGATGGAGCTCCCTTGTAATTAATCATGGACCACAACTCATTTCTCATATATTTTTTACTAGTTACTGACCCCTGGACCTTACCTCCAACGAATTCGAGATCTTCTAATAATGCATAACATGCTTTCTCAGCTTCTGAACTTGGTGTCACATGTTCGCCACTTTCCATTCGCTGACTTAAATCTGTCAATGTTTCAATATCTAACTTTGCTAAGCGATCTGATATTGCTGTAACGTTCTTTTTCTGCACTAATAAAAAACTACCAGAAGATGCATTTTTAATTTGGGAATCATTGAATGCTACTAAGGGAAAATAAAGATCTTTTTGAAACCGTTTATCATAATACATTAATAATTTTTTCTTACGCATATCTTCACTTATACGTCGTTTGTGTATCTCTTGAGAAATCCCACCACAGCCATAAGGAAATAGCCAAGGAAACATCAGTGGGTAAAGATTTGCATTATGATACATGGACTCGGGATTAGGTAACCGACCTATACCTAACATTTTCCCACCTGATTTCAAGTGTGCAAGTGCTCTACTTTTCAGCACATCTATATCAGCAACCCTGTATTCTTCCTCTGTCATGCCTGCAATTGCAAAAGGACATGGTCCAGTTGAGGTACCAGTATATTCTTCATCCTCATTAATACTCATAGCTTCTGGAACATTATTGTCATCCATGCCATTAGTTTCTAAAAACTCTACACCACAGATAGGACCTGATATAGGGAGAGCCTGTAAATTTTTCTGAGAAATCTCCAGATCATGATATCCCTTATGATTTAATTTCAGCCAGTCTAAAGCATTCTGTATTTTATATCTTCTAACAAGCATAGGAGTTCTTTCAAAATCTGCCTCTGTTGGTTGAGATGACCCAAGAAAAATAAATGCCAGCACCTTACTTATTTCATCAGTTGACAGAGGAAGTGCATGATATAAAGTTTGAATAGGTGAAGCAAACATTACAGCATTGGCTACCAATTTTCCATGATTGGATGCTGCAACTCTCACTACACATCTATTATGACGGACACGTGCAATCAACATTTGTTCTGCATAAGTTAGACCTTGTAAAACTGTTGGAACTTCACCTAACCAATTATGATTTGCCAATGCATGTAAGGGCATTACACCTTTCCGTAATTTGTCTTCACAGTCTATGCACACATTGTCAGTTTCTAATAGCACAGGACCATCCAATTCTTCAATTGGGTCAGATTTAGTGAGCCTCTCTTTACACGTGCCAGCATTTTTTGAACATAAAATATCCCAATTTATATCCAAGTCTGTTTTAGGTGTTAATTTAGAACATAAGGTTAGCTGTCCACATACACAACAACCCGCTTCCTCCACGGCTTCCGGACTTAGGGCTTTACAAAAATCTGTAATTATAGTATGCTTTTCTGCATTAGAACAAGGAGCAGGGGGAAATTCAACTTTAGCATGTTTTATGTTTACTTTGGTTTTATTTCTTTTTGCATTACGAAGTGCTGCACTTTGTTTAAAAGGCTTAGTGGCTAAGTCAATTGCTCGACGTGACGCTATTTTTTGTTTACTCATCTTATTTTGATATTTACTGTCATAGCTTTTCCTGACTTCATCTGACTTTGTTATAGTTTGTAAAGTGAAAATAGTATAACATGTTTTACACACAGTACATTTATGGTCCAATATCCCTGATTTGAGGTCTACGAGATTGTCACGGTTTCGAAATTTAATTCCGTGCAGCTTGGCTATTTTTTTTATTTCAGCAGATGGTAACTTTGGTAACAGCACTGCCAAGGGAACATCTAAAACCAATTGTCCCAGATCATTTTCTCCAGAGGTGACAGCACTTCCACAATAAACATAGTCTGTATATTTAAACTGAGTAACTGGGGATATAGAAATATCTTTTGGCAGCCAGTTTGCTAACTCTTTGGTCGTGTACAACATAGGACGTGGTCCACCTCCAATACAAATATCATGTTGATTTGACTGCATTATAGGTTTATTTATGGGTATCTGAGCATCACCATAAGAGAATTGCAAAAGTAGGAAGGCTTGACTTAGAACTGTGTATGCTGCCAGAAAATAAAGAACCATACAATATATGCATTTTTCATTGTACCATTTGGCCCATAATATTTTCCAATCCCATTTATGAATATAGCAACGATATAATAACAAAAGTAGTATCAATATATATTTTTTCCTATTCACTAAATCCAATGCAGAAACTGAAATAGCGCTCCAAGCAAGGATTTGCCATATAAGATCATGTAATCGTGGTAATTTTAGTGAAAACCTGAAATGGCCTATATTTTCTGTCTGGTTCGGAAGAGATGAACATCTCGTTTTCCGCTCGGAATAGCCACAGCATGGCAGACCCGCAAAACATTCACTTATTGCAAATCGCAAGGCCAAATTACACTCGGTTGACACCTGGATTCCACCTAGGTCACATTAGTGTGTGCTATTTCTGCAGGGTATGCATGCTTACAAGCAGAAGCACTTCTCATGCTAAGTCCAATACAAGTAATAGGCCTATTCACGCCATATATGTTATCAGATACTTCATTTGGTTAGAACACCACAGATGTCGGCATGTTGTTACTCACAATCATGCGTGCTTGAGTCTAGAGGCTGACAGACTGGAATATGATATGCCAACCCCACAAGGGTCATCGCTATCAACAGTATGATATGAGAGTAGCGGTAGTACATGGTCGACAGAAGCAGGTGTCTCATTCAGATGTCACACGGTGCTCAACTCCTTTACTCAACAAACATAAACACACACAAGCATTATCGCGTCAAAAAAGGTTTAATTGTAACCATAAAAAATACACGACATCGTAAACGGCTCAGTTTTCAGGAGGGTCGGGCAACGGGTCACTGATGACCATGATCCAACGAATATTCAATGCCAACCCGTCCGAGTGATCTTGTTTCTTGTACGCAACGCAACTGTATCCAACGACAGCCAAAGAATTGACAGGGATTTCGGGTTTCTTGAAACGCGGAAGGGACTCCAATCGGTCGAGTGCATCTTGGAAGTTGACACTCATTGTAGTGCAATCATAGACCGGAACTGTACACAGTCAACACAGAGAACTGATAGTTGATTTGTACGAACCAGTTTCCTCGAATCGCAAGCTGTCTCGCCCTACCCCACCCCGAGAAGAGATACCGGTATTACGCGGAGCAGTGGTTGTGATGCAGGGACCAGCACGCGGTTTTTTAGCCGGAGCTGACAATAGTGAGATAGATCGAAAAGTTTTAAACAGCTTACAGTTGGTACTGGCTGCCCTATTGGTGGTAAAAGAAAGCGTTACTCCGCGCATTTGAACATGGACTTCAGGTTTATGTAGGACCATGGTCGTCAAGCAAGCCATCCGTTCAAATTCTCCACGCAACATCATACCACTTACCCCCTTCTCTGCAGCACTGTTCCCAGCAGCGTAACCAGTGCGGAGAAAGGAGGATTCAACTTTGATTACCGACGTGAAGACTGCGACTTGGTCTGCGCTTGTTGCGCACAAAGTCACTCTGAAAGTTGCATGAGATCCAGTCATGAACGGATATGTACTCACTGAGAGCGCATTGCAGGGGATACAGCAATCACAGCACTCGGGCTAGCGCGAGAGCCATTGATAAACTGACGGAACGTCTTGAATACCAATGCTGTCTTCAACATCCTAATAGCGGTCAGTGAATCACAAGCATATAGCCGTACGCACAGGCCGTTCGTGTTGGCAGGGGAGACGACAGCTTTCAACGATGCGTAATCATAATCTTCCCCCACATCCGACCAGGGTGTCCATCGTCCGACACTAGTATGGTTAACAGCTGTCCCCGGCAGTGAAGATCGTACCTGAGAGGAGGCAGGGCATAAAATTCGGCATGCATGGACACGGGAATGAAGACGAGAATTTCTTTGGTGAGAAGACATTGCGGAGGAGATACCCTTCAAGTCATAAGGGCCAACACGGAATGGGTAGTGACAACGTACGCCATAGGTAGCGAAGAATAACTTGCATTATTGAAGTAATGCGAGGCTGCGAAGAGGTCGTGAAATCTTTCTTCATCGCCAACATCACTGTCAGACCTGACATACTGTCAGTGTCTAATCACCGCCCGCAGATATACTTACTTTTTGCGCTTGAGCACTGCTTGTGCTTCAACCGATCGCTTGGCTTTCGGCAGAGTAGATTGCCCCACTCGGTCCTGCACAGTATCACTCATGGTCGAAATAGAACTATGCGCAGATTGCGTCAATTGGTTTTCGTTGTCGATGGCAACCGGAGCATATTGCGTCGCTTGATCTTGGCCGACGTTGGCAATCGCCACATCGTCCACTAAATCATTGCTAGGTACCAGATACGTCAGCGTCTTGTAAGAGTTCGAAACCAGTATTCGCACCTTGTAAGATTAGCCGCTGCTTGATAGGCTTCCATAAGTGTCCTGCGGCGATTAATTAGTGACTTTAACTTAGGCAAACACCTACTTGATTTCGTGATAATGTTTGGCGATGTACTGAACGTCAAGTTTAGTCTGTGTATCGTTAGGTGCCGAAGGCGGGCCAATGACCACCGATGGTGCAACGGCACGCGCAGGGACAGGGAGTTTACTAAGGTTTTGTTAGAAATGTATGGTAAATCACCCGCAACTCACTTAGCAACTCCCATGGTGTTTAGTAGTTTCGGGCCAAACGCAATTGGGCCACCTGAGCCTTGCACTGTGGCCGAACTCGTGACCTCCTGTGGTACCGCCGCATGGATTGCGAAAGGGATATCGATTTCAGGTGCACTTTCTGCCTTCGTATCGACAACATGTCCACCCAGCAAGTCAACAGAGGTATGGCCAACCCCTTTCGAGGACTGTGCCTTTTTCTTGAGTGTGATCTTCAACGAGGGTCTGGTACTATGCGGTCAATGCGATAGTCAATCAGCAGAGAGTCAACATACCTGACTTCATCTTCGTGATTGTTGGAACGAGTGGGCGTAGCCTGAACGTCTGCCGAAGTGCCACTAAAAATGAGTCAGTACACAATCGATAGGCAGGAAGACCGAACCTTTTGTTCTGCCCAGCCTTTGAACGTGTGAGGATGGGCGACGTAATGCCACTAGATGTAGTTGCTTTACTAAAAACAGTCAGGTATACGATGAGAAGAGTATACGGCATACTTTTTTCCTTTGGTGACAGGAGTCGCAATTGCATGGCGTTCGTCTTCCGAAGCAGACCCGTCAGTGAGTGGACCGCTGTCATATCAGCGGAGGAGACAACCAAATGAACGCCATACTCAAAAGCTTCAGGAATCACGTTAGGTGTATTGCCATAGACAAGTTCCGGTCCAAAGATTTGCGCAAAGAAGTCGTCGTTATCCATAGTGTAGATGAGGGCGTCGTCGCGTCTAGTTGAGCTTTTGAGGCGCTGGATGAGACAATTGCATTCCATAAAACGGATGTCAAACTTCCATCCGGGCTAGAAGCAGACCAGGGAATACCATGAGCACGTTGATAATGAAGTCATACCAGGTAAAACAATGTCCAAGCGGAATGGAAGTGTAACAAGTATCCGCAACTCTATCGCTCGCGGCCAGGATGACGCAGAAACTGCGAGCTCGCGTCGGTAATGACGCGGGATACGGAACTGCCTCGCGGCTACCTCCGATTTCCGCGCCGCATCGATGCTGATTCAGGTCAGTTATAACGAGGAGCGACGGCATTTTGGATGACTTTTACATTTGAGCTATGGCGGACTTTGGTGAGTCTTCCAGTTGCATGACTGCATCTGAACGAAGGTTCAGAACCAATCGTCGCAAAATGGATGCTTGCGACTGCACAGCTCGATGGCGAGAATCGCATGGGCGTCCCTTTGGATAGCGTTAAAGTGAGTTCAGACACGACATAGATGGAACTGACTTTTTTTAGGAAGAAAGTATCTCTGTGAGAGATGTTTCCAACGGCAACCTCTTGAAAATCATGGTCGAGAAAGCACCAGGGAAGCGAGAGGAAGCTGTTTTTACGACGGTTGGGCAACTCGTCGACTGTGACCTTCCACCCATCACGTGGAAGATGTGACTCATTTTTCGACTGGTTTCGTTTACTGATGCCTCACACAGAGTCAAAAAGGCTGTTGGCGGTCAAGTTCTTCAACGTGCTGCAGTGACTGGCTTCAAGTCGGCGCCTTTCCTCAAGGGCCTTGAAATCCTTTCGAACCTCGAGACAAAACTCGGAGCAGCTGTTCCGCGTGATATTCCCGTAAAAGCGACCTGCACCACCTACGCAGAAAATGTGAAAGATGTCGCACTTGTCACCAGTACTCGGTACTTCACTCGTGCGCGCAAGCCTATTCCAGCTTCTGATCGTCGTCCCATCCCTTCTACTGTCGATCCACACGGTCTACTTGCTCGTTCGGAAAACGAAAAGACGGCTTTTTGCACCGACAACATTGTTCATTATGTGAAGCTGGTCGATAATCAGTAAGTCTGGGTTTCTGTTAGTGACTGACTGACTGAAAATGAACAGAATAGTCGTCAAAGATCCGAGCTCGTTTGCCGTCGGAGATTTGATTCAACTAGGCTTCGCTATGCATGCCTATCGCATGTTTGACGTTGAAGCAGGCCCCTCGTTTGTTATTAAACTTGTCCTTCGCAGTCTTTTGTATCTGGACACACCTAGTGCAACTAAACCGGTGAGCAAATCTATTTTTCCGTGGCGAACTTCTCATATACTGCATAGGAAAATGCCAACACGGTCATTAAACGCAAGCTCATCAATGACACATATGAGGAACAACATGCTAAGCGCCTCCGTCGTGCAGCGAATCCACTCGCCGATCGCGTGTTTGCAGAGGTTATTGTTGCTCCCGATTCGAGTGACGATGAAGACCAAGGCGGCCTCAATTTGCTTGACCTCGACATATCCGGACGTACTGGCAATTGAGAGGCAGGCTTTATTGGCATTGCATTTTGTATATTACATCGTATGCGACCACAATGGTACCAAATGACTTCCCCATCGCGCTAACTGCTGTATGACACGTGAACTCCATCTGCCCTCTTCAACGTCTTTCACGCGACAGACACCAATCAAAGTAGTGGCGAATATTTTTCTCATTGGGCAATTGGCTGTACAACCTACCAGAGTATGCGACCGCCGTCTTTTTACAACAACTGACCTATCGCAAAAGCCTTGACGTCGATTTAGCCAGTGCTCTGCCGCATACAAGAGACTGCCGCCGATTCCACTAGGGTCGCAAACCGCGCAGGTACAGCTATTCCCACCATAATCAGCCCATTTTGTGCTGACAATTTTTGAAGGAATGGGCCGCCCAAACGCAAGCGACTACTAACCGGTCAGCACCGGTCCAGCAAGCTTACGCGCCTCTGCAATGAGCGAACGCCGACTACTACCAAGACGATGACAGAGTCTACAACGAGGGTTATCGCGGGCGAAGAACGGGAAGCAAGAAATGGTTGATAAAATTACATTTGTCGATGCACAACGAACCACAACTCCTGGAAACAATAGCCAGCACGCGAATGGAGAGAAAGCGGGAGAGACACACACGGGCCACTTGGCCTTGAAAGACGGTCAGCAACGCGCAAGGCCCCAACGAGCATGACGCGCACCTGCTTAGCCCCACAAACATCCGCAAACATAACGGCCGGACAACGTTCGGCACAACCCGAGCAAGAAAAACTACGCGCCAAGGTTTTCCAGCTTGCTGCTCAGCGACCAAACTAAGTAAGCGTTGAAAAATGATACAAAGGCAAACTGACCACTTTTATGCCAGGCTCAATCCGCCCCGCAGCGATACATGCGCGCAGCGCCAACAACCGCGAGCGCAAGGAGGCTCAGCCGGCCTGTCGGGCCCGTAGTCCGACGGCACGTGTCGCTTACCAAGCACTCACGCTTTCCTCACCTCCCCCGCTCGCTTCACCGCCCAGCCCGCCCACAGCCCCGCTGAGACCACGCTAACAGCGCCCCGCTTCAACATGCGCGGACTGCGCTGCCGCGACCGGCCCGCGGGAGCCAGCTACGAATGGCCGTAATCCTGTAAATTCCAGAGGAGTATAGAGAATGAAGAGGCGAACACGATCTCTTCCGCGTCGTTATAAGCATGTCTCTACGACAATCTTGGTCGGACACTCTAAGTATGGACGATGACGCTCAACCCTGGTGTATGATTGGTACGTTTTCAAAATTTAAATATGGTTATATTGTGAGGAAACTTGCGTGTAGATTGGCGGCGTCTCCACAGGGAATGTCTCACAGTGTTGGACGAACCTGAAGCCCCGGTGTCGTCACGGTCAAGACTGCCTACCTCATCGCGTGTCCCCTCCCTGGTCGACTTATTGCTGGATAACTGGCCTGTGCACTTTCCCCAAAGACAAATCAACGAGATTCCACAGCACCTACTGCAGCAATTCCGATATGCTACCGCTCGCAAATTGTTCGGTCGTGACAAGGAGCTGGATGAATGGTATGGTATACAATCTGGTTGGTGCTCCCATAACTTAGAGACGACAGGTTGCAGCAACATCATCGTTACCTGACGACCGTCGAGGACGATGAACTGCAAGCGAAAATGCTTACCTTGTCATCTATACCGGCGATCTTTAACTGTGTGCGTGTGCAATCGGAAACCTCATCATACGCGGTATACAGTCCCAGTGGCGATATACGTGTTCTCGACCAATTCCGGCCAAACCACCGAACAATCTTCAACAACGCAAATGCCTTGCGAACACGCATTGCGGATATAACGGAGCATGCACTGGAGGGTCTTGATTGGACGCACATTGCCATGGGCGGCTGCACTTTGCTAGCGGCGTATTGTGACGCTGTTGGTCCTTATTGGGTGCGCGACTGGGATGGTGATCGAATTGAGCTGATTATCCATGGCATCGAATTGGAGTCAGTTCCCGACGTAATGCAACATATCTATGACTGCTATGTCGACAACATTTCGGGCGTTGTACGGGCATATCAAGGCTTCAAATATATTACGATTATCAGCAATGATGGACCGACCATCCGCATCGCCCAACAACTTTTTCCCTCCGCTGCCCATTGGGCTATAGCACAGTCGATTGACATATTGGGCTTGTACTGGGACGACACTGACTTGTATATGACCGCCGCGCGCCGCGCGGGCGCTGGAAAGTAAGTCATGCAATCGATTTGTCCAATCACTGACCGAATCGTTGCAGCATCGTCAAATCTATTCTCAACGCAGCTGATACACGATGCGCGAGAATCGTTTTCTCTTGATTTTTTGGACTATGGGTATGTTTGACCTTTGGGATATGAAAGCTATTAACCATGCAAGGTTGATCGATGTGTCGTTATATGGATTCGGGTTGCGTGTTCCCGACTCAATCTTGCAGGCCATGGTAAACCAAGCAAGTTCTATCAGCGCTCGAGTGAAGTTCCGCAGCCTCTGCAGAGCCGCATACGATGATGTGACTGAAACATTGAGCGACTTTACAGAGAACGGTACGGGGCATATAGCATTAAGCGACCTTTTGTCTCGCGACAATCTGGACAAAGGTCGCTTGCCCGCCTGCTATTTAAATGATGGTACTTCGTTCTTGCGCCATATTGCATTGTTGAGTTGGATCGACCGGCGGAGCGTAATGTGAGTGGATTCGCAGATCATTGACGACGATTGATGAGAAACAGACTATATGCTCCACTTGCGCATATTGATGGTGTAAGTCTTGATTACCGGGGAAACTAAACTGATAGTTGCTAGATTATGAACTACTATTTGTGAGTTTAGCAAGGAGCTGAACCAATGCTAACTTGGTCAGGTTTGAAAGGCCGATGATCCACAGATTCTCTGTTGAAAGTTTCGATCTACATCGAAGGGATTTCGAAGGCTATCGATACCGCCGATTCGACTTTTGCTGTTATCCGAAAGCCCAAACACCATATTCGCCGCCATTCCACCACGTTGACATGGCCTATGATATGGCACATCTATTCCGTGCGGGGTCACCTGTGATTAACATACCGCTTATACTTCCATGGGCTTTCATTGAGTGTGCAATTTCAAAGCTCACCTCAGCAGCGACCTACGGCAACTATGACTCTCCGACATTGACGATCGTCTCGAGTGAGGTCATGCATCAGTTTCCTGCTGACGAAACAAGCATGCTACCCTGCTTGGTGCATTTGTCGGTACCGCCAACCTTTAGATGGCAAGCTCATTCGCAGGGGGTACAAAAGTATGTGACCTAAGGAGTTTACCACTGAAATTGACGAGCTTAGAATATGGAAATTCCTCATGGCATTTCGCAGTGTCTTCAACGAGTTAGCGGCATACAAGAGCGACATGATTGATATCTTGCGGAGCGAGGGGATACAAGACCGGTTTGTACTAACAGTGAATGGCGAGCAACAAGGATTGGATGATTGGTTTCAGAGTGTATAATGATAGATACTGTGGAATTGAAAGAACAAGAGATTTTCGGGAGCCAGGGTGTCATACTGGGACTCGCAAGATATAATGAGCCCATATTTGAAAGCAAGTAACATTTTCAAGCATCCCGTCTTCGCTGAAAACAGCAAATCAACACCAAGTGACTTCACGCTCGCTATCGCGGTCATGCAGCGTTTAGACTGGGGAAATGCTGCCGCTTAAACTAAATCCTCGGTTGCTCCCTGTGCACCGGATTCTTCGGCCCGGATAAAAAGGCATGCCCAGCAGTGACCCTAACCCTAAGGGAAAGTGATTAACAAAATGTAGACCGCCCGACTGACATGAATACAAAATTTCATTACAATCTAAAAATCTCAATGACTGAGGATCGAGGTCGCAAATCAGCAGACGAAATTAGTCATAGACGATTACTAAAGTACTCGTAAATTAAACCTGGAATAGGGGTACCTAAATTCCACCCAAAATTTATGTAAACTGTGTCCCTTACTAAAAATGTAGTATGGGCCGCGCAGTGATTCAGTATTGCTGCCACGCCGTCCGTGAAGCAGAGGCAATAGACTGACCTATTGAAGGACTGTCTTTTGCTTGCGTCCGGACATAAACTGCTGTACATTCCCATGGACGAATCGATCTTCCTCGATGGATTCGACATGAGCCATGTTTTGTGCTTGACTTAGCACTGCTTTTCACTGGATCTTGGTACCACAAACTACATACAAATAATAGTACATTTGAGAACGAAAAACAAATTCAAGTCGCCCCAGTCGCACTCGGACTAGGAGTCGATTGAGATCCACTGCCCAAAAAACTCTGCGACTTCGAGACCACTGGCGCCACCGAAACGGCCTCTTTCGCGTATCCCTGCAGTCTCGCCCACTCCAACAGCACCAGCGCAAAGTAGCAGTTGTTCTGCGCGTCCGTCAACACCTTCCGCGCAAACTGCATCCCATTTTCCTGGATCTGGCGCGCTTCGTCTTCGTGTGTCAACGCCCACTCGATCTTCTCAACGAGGTCGTCCAGTCCAATTCTAACTGGAACATAGTGTTCGTATGGGCGGAGCCAGTCACTGTAAGGGGGCAGTTATTTAATTAGTCAAAACAGAGAAAGAGCGGATACCTGAAGTACTCAGCGAATGCGGTCGCCTAGAAATAGACAAGTCAATATTGAGTTTTGAAAGAAGGGATGAATGTACTTTGAACACGAGAGACCCGGAGCGGAGAAGACCGAGATAACGTCCCGAAAATGTGTTGCCATCGACATCCTGCGAAACAAATTCAGCGGGGCCAGGACAAAAAGAGAAAAAAAAGCCATACTAGAAGATACTTGAAGTGATATACCTCTTCACGGGGACTGCCATGACCGTCGATTCCATATTCATCGATGATTGGCCCGCGTTCACAATCAAAGGTGCAATGGGTCTCCCAGAAGCTTGTAATCTTGGCGTTCACCAGGTCTGGGTTACTCTCTGCGATTTTGACCAGTCGGAAGCGGGAAAATGTTCGGTAGTTGTCGTGGATAATATGCCCACCATTCGACGCGCCGCGCCAATCTGACACAAGTCAAGAGGGAATCAAAAGAAGAAGAAAAAATCCACTTACAAAGCTGAGGCTTCTTGTCCTCCCAGGTCAGATTGTTGGGCTGGCCAAACTTTCCAGACCAGGCGGACGAGTCGTAGTAATATTGCCCAGGAAAGAGAATATCCGCGAAACAAGGGGTGATTTTGGTCATGCTCAGTATCGGCCAGAGATCACTGGTGAAGTCTGAACTAGACGCGGAGCGGATGACTGCAAGAATTTGTTATTGACGTTTAGCATGTCGCAGAAAAGTGGGACCTACAGGCAACATCCTCCAGAGCATCGATTGCCTCATCTGGGTCAGAGTCCGAGTGTAGAACCCTACATCCACTCTTGTTCATAAAGAAGTCGTGGGTCGGAATAGGCGAGAGACGAAATGGCGTAGAATCATTGAGCTCCGTCGCCGACTTCCAAAGTTCTGCATCTTCCGTATTGAACACAACACGAGGCTCGTCGCGTCCGTTGATCATGAAATCCATGTCGGGAAGTACGTGTTTGAATCCAGAAAGGGTTGTCGGCCATTCGCCATCGAACGCAGAACCGGTGTAATTTGGCATTAGGACCTGTCCGTTTTGAATCTTGATGGTGGCCATGCCTTTTGGATCCTTCAACATCTTTGACCGTTTTCAGCATGGGTTAGAATGATGGTAGAAGACTAACCAGATTCCGCCCCAGGTCAATCATCTTCTGGAAATGCTTTGGGTGCGACTCGGCCAGGCGATACCACGGTTCCAAGTCGCGATGTATCTGGTCATAATCGTCGATGAGACAAGAATTGGCTTTCGCGAGCTTGAACCACTACAGAATAAACTTAAGCCAAAAGAATGCGATGTCAAGCTACACGCGCCTTGTCAAAGTTGTCTGGAGGGGTACGATTGTTGCGTGCAGAATAACGAGCTGTCGCTTCTTCCAGCGTTTTTGACTGCCGCTCATAAAGCTCTTCGATGCGTTTGCTAGCAACGTAAACAGGATTCGGACGCGATGGGGATTGCTTCGGGGGTGGGGCGAGGGATGTGCTTTCTGGCGAGTGTGTCTGGGCAGCGAGAACGCCTTGGTCGATTGTGGAAACGGGCGTGTCGTGAAAAGCAAACTGGAGATCTGCCACGCGGTCCTTCCATTGGTACGGAACACTAGAGGACAGAAAAACAAGTCCTAGACAACCAAAGAGGACTGTAAACGGCAGACAACGGAGTCGCTTGGAGATTCGAGAGGAGCGGCCATATCTTGCAGAGGAATCGCTAGGTGGCGAGCGAATGCTGCGCGGATAGAGGCCTCCGAATGTCATGGAGAGAAGAGCGAGTCCGTGTTTCGTTCATTTTTGACTTCCGCAAAATGCAGGTCGGGTCGAGGAAAAGGAGAGAGACAATCATGTCAGCAAGTGTTACGTCAGCGACTTGAAGCGCGTTTCTCCGCAGCGACCACCATGTCGGTCGACCCATACCATGCCGTGCAACGCGAAATCTCTGGCTCTTTGCAGTCGGCAGCACAACTCAGAGCCTCTTATGTGCGGATACGGAATATGGCTGTTCGGGAAGACAACGAAGAGCTAGTCTGGGCACGAAATGAGGTATTGGGGTTGCTCAAACGAAGTCACACCGACTCAATTAGCTTTAGCTGAAAGCAACACTTGCTGCCCTCGATGCTGACCTCGAGGACCTGGAAGAGAGCGTCAAGTGCGTGATCATAATGCTCTGCACTTGCCAGCGCTGACTTTGACTCCAGAATTGTCGAGTCTACTGACGCCCGGATGTTTGGGCTGGACGACACAGAAGTACAAGACCGGAGACGATATGTTGGCCATGTCAGACGCGAAATAGATGTGCGGAGCACCCCATTCCAGCAGAACCCAAATGAATTTTTGCAAGTCTAGAACATGCGCGCCGAGTTGACCAACTCTGCACGACCGCCGCTCTCTCCACAACCATTAACCCCACGGACACCCCGGTCACCATACTCTGAGCGGGCTGCAGACGATGACCACCAGGAAGCTTGGGCCAGACAGGAGCAACAGGTTCGTAGAGTTGCCGCTCCCGTTGGTTTGTTGATATGTTATTTCCAGATGATGATGCAAGACCAAGAACGCACAATGGACTCTATATCGGGCACACTGAGCACTCTGGCACAACAAGCTGGTCTCATGGGACAAGAAATTCTAGAGCATAATGAGTTCGTAGTTCGGACATGTCTCTTGCTTACACTAACTTTTCACTCAATCAGAATGCTTGATGACCTAGAGCAAGGCGTAGACAGGACGGACACAAAACTCAACGACGCGATGAGTCGAATGCGCAGGTTCATACGGCAGTCAGAAGAGAAGGGGAGTGGATACTGCATTATCATCCTCATTATCATCCTCGCAGTGCTTCTCCTTCTGATTATCATTATGTAGACGTTCGGATTTGTCGTTACTTTATTCACTTCACTCTTCTACCTTACTCTTGGATAGTACTACTGCTTTTGGGCCACGATCTTCTTCATAAACGGGCTGACTTCAGGGAGGTCACCGGTCTGGATTTTGAAGGGCTTGCTAGGGATGAAGCTACCAGAGTCGTACGAGGGCAGACTGGCTGGGGCGCGGAAAGGCTGGCACTCGGTGTTGAAGACATCTGCCCAAACCTTTAAGAGAACCGACACAACGAAGGATTGTGCAACACTCACAGTCGTCAAGGGAGATGGTCTTGGGATCGTCGAAAGTCAACCAGAGATATTTGAGGACTTCGGCGAACCAGAAGCTCTGGGTGTCATCTGAAGTGGGATGAGTAAGCGATAGGCATGAAGAGACGAATGACAGAACAACTAACCCATCTGGCCCCTCGAAGCATCATTGACGTCGTTGAGCGACGCATAGCCGACAGTGGACGGAAGGTATTTCATGAATGAATCAATCGCATCGCCGGCTCTGTCGAGGTACTTGCTCTTGCCGGTAATGCGCCATGCGTGGAAGTTGGACTCGAGCACTAAAATATACTGTTAAGATGACAGTTGCCGGGGTTGAAAAGTGGTGTACCTTCGGGTCTGAGGATGTAGAACGCATCAGTGATGTAGAAGCCATGCTCCTTGTAGAATGCGGCCTGGGCGGCAGTCGGAGGTGAACGACCAGTGAAGTTGCCTTCGCTAGACTCGAAAGCGAAAGCCTCTGGCCCGATGCCAGTCTGGGTGCTGGAGTAGGTGTTCTGTGACGTTTGGTCAGCGATAGAGAGACGACGAAGAGCAAAAGCTTACCCAGCAAGCCTCGTTCAGATCGAGCGCAATGTCAATGATAGTTTGGTTCTTGAGCAACTTGCCGCCTATGAAAAGATAAACGATTTCTCTTGTCTCATTATCAGATGAACTCACCGAGCATCCAGTTTCCGGCGTGGAAGCAGGCAAGGTGGCTAATAATAGCGACGTCAAGCATCTTTCGGTGAAGCCCGTCAAGTACTCACGATGAGATGTGACGGACTCTGCCGGCGTCATCGTAGTCGCCGAGATAAACGTGGTTACCCACGGTTGATTTCTGTGAGAAATAAGGAATGGTAACCTCAAGAGAGGGGGTCCAAACGAACGCGGAGGAGATGTTTGATCGACGAGTCAACAGCGGTCTATTTCATACGTTAGCGGTATGTAGCCGATAATAAGAAGCAGTCTTACCTTCCAGGTGTCCATGTAGATGTTGTCTTTGGTATTGCTCAGGCGAGCGTATTTGAGCAGGTATTCGAAGTAGGAGTCGCTTCCACCGCCCCAGCTCTACAAAACGTCATTAATCGCGCTGACAGAAGGCAAGAAATAAAAACGAACGACGTATCCGCCGACGAAGTTTCCAGTTTTCGGGTCGATTCCCTGAGCAGCCAGTCCTGGTAACGGAGCGGGCTAGATAGTTCCGTGTCAGTCCAGTCCGATCATGATGAAGTAATGCCTATTCTTACCAAGTTCGCGATATGCGCCAGGGCCTTGACGGCCTTGTCGCCGTACGTGGCATTACCACTGTGTTGACTCAAGATATAGCCCTCGAGACTGAGGGTGCCGGCTTCAGCGATGTTGGAGCTCCGCTGCTCGGGCGTGTTGGTGGCGAAGTCGATGAAGCCGAAAGGAATTGGGTTCTCGCCAACTAAAGAGTGAAAACGAATCAGTAAATGATAGACAGTAGCGCCACAGAAAACGTAATTTACCCCATGCATATGCCATCTTGTCTGCAACTTCGGTGGCCTTTGCGAGTAGTTCGGGGTGTTTCTTCCCGCTGAGCTCATAAGCCGACAGAAGGCCGCCGAGATAGCGGATCGTTGTTTCGAATACACTGCAGGTATCAGAAACAAAGAATCGAGGGTTAAAAGAGAAGATACCTGACGGATTCGGATGTCTTCGATCGGCTGAAATCGATGTGGGCGGTATAGTTGACAGCTTCGAGGAATTCGGCCTGAGACGATTAAGCTGATGCGAAGGAACAAAGACGTCAAGTTACTTCGAGGCCCATAAGGTACTAGCCAATCTATTAGAATCAGAAAGACTGCCGATGTACAACTTACTATTGTCGGCAAAGCATCGACGATGGTTGCGCCCCACCTACAATGGGTCAAAAAACGGGACAAAAGCCCGACGAACTTGAAGCATACCCATCTAACGAAGGATCAGTTGATAGCCAACGGAAACGAAACATGATTACTCACTGCGTCCATCGTTGAAGCCCTTGCTCACGGGAGAGAGATCGTCATGGCCCCAGGCATACTTCCTAGTGGTGCGTCGATCACGTGGCGGACTAAAGGCTGTCTGGGGACTGACCTGTACGCGTCGTAGCTGTCGGTGAAGATTTTCTTGACGTCGTTCTTCCGGGAGGCATATCGGGGCGGGACAGATAAGCGTGGATTCTGAACTCTAATACCAGGGGGGCCAGGGGGGGCAGGGGTAGGGAGGCCAGGGGGGGCCAGCTAAAACAGGTGCAGAGAGCGCAAGAGCAACTGCGACCGAGAGACGCATAATGGAGGAGGGGCGCGCAAGAGATCTGGGGGGGGGGCTAGTCTTCTTTTTAAACCCTCTCCGGTGACGCAAGTGGACTTGCTGCCCTGCGAGGAAGTCTGATGGAATAAGGAAACGGTATCACGTTGGAGGTGGGTTGCGTGCTACTCGGGCAGTAGCCCACCGTCAAGCGGTTTCAAGCGGTTTCAAGCCCAATTCAAGTCAGCGCATCATAGGTTCGGTGGGGTCTGCTGACTGATTCTAGTCTCGAGGCGGGGCAGCACAACGCAACAGATGCTCAGAGAAGATCCAAATCCACGTGGTCGAGGCAACGAAATTATTCAATTTTGAGCAGATCTTGGAGTAATCTGGAGAAAGGAGGGACCGCAAAACCTTGAAGTGGGCGCGTAAGTTTTGTTGTAGGGTCTTGCGGGGGAAAAGTCAGGTTGGTGGAACCTGAAACAGCGCAGATTATGGCACATTATGCGCGGAAATCGGTTGTCCCCAGAAGTTTCCCTATTTGGACGAGTTTGAGAAGGAAGCAGATGGCCCGTCATTTGAGTTTCATTCTGCGAAACCCTACATTCGCTACCGACGTTAGTAGTACCGTACGCGACCGTTGAACGTTGGGAAAGGGACGAATGAGCAGAGAAGCAGAATTGGTACTGGTCTGGTACCCGCGCAGTGTTGGAGAGTCAGACGAACTGCGAGCCTGTGACGTCACATCTTTCTCTTGACGACAAGCCTAGGTCGCTGTCCTCTCCTCGGTCATGAGCTTCCAAGACCTGGAGTCGGGGCTTCACCCAGCTCGGACGCAACCCACTCTCAACCCACAATCTCGCCAGGATGCCTCATTCCTCGAGCTGCAGTCATCATTGTCGCTACAGGTGTTCAAAATGAATGCCAATGTGCAAGCCATCCTCAGACTCGTCGACCAACTCGGTACTGCCAAAGATTCGGCTGGAATCCGCAAGAGTTTGTGCGTGGAGTAGTCCAATTCGTAGCAAGAAAGCTCAGTTTCCACAGGCATGATCTCACCGAAACGACCCGAGAGATGGCCAAACGGGGCTCTGACGACCTCAAGAAGCTGAAGACGCTGCAAATGAGTCTGGTGTGCTGTTTTGTGGCACAGCAGGCTGTTTCAATAACCCTCCCTAGCCCCACCAGAAGACTGCATTGCAAAAAACGTCGCACGACTTGGAAATGTCGGTCGTTGCCTTCCAGCGCGCTCAGCAGCTGAGTGCGGAGCGTCAAAGGACAGTAGTCGCTGGAGTACGATTAGCAGTGGAAGATTCGTGAGTGTGTTATACCCCACATTTTACAATTGCTCAAAAGTGCCTTAGTCCTCACCAGGAGCATGAGGACGACACACCTAGTGAACGACAAGCACTCCTTTTGCAGCAACAGCTTTCACCACATGAACTCGCATATCAGGAGTCGCTTATTCAAGAGCGGGAGCAGGAAATTCGAGAGATCGAAACTGGCATCCATGAAATTGCAGAAATCTTCCAAGACCTCGGAACGTTAGTTCACCAACAGGGCACTATGCTTGATAATATCGAGTCCAATATTTCTTCGGTCGCCGTTGATGTCGAGAGTGGCGCTGACGAGCTACATTCTGCGGCGGAGTATCAACGCAAAGCCGGACGAAGAGCCGCTTGCTTAATGCTGGTCTTGGTGTTCGTGACTGCGATCGTTTTATTAGCGGTATGTCTCTTTGCCTTCTTGAGGCTACCGACATTGAACTCCTCCAGATTTTGTCATGAGCGGGCTTTATTGCATATTTATGGCTCTGTAGATTAGGGATTTGCAACGAACACTGATACCACGTATGCACTCGTTTAACACTAAACTAATGAAGCTATTCAATCTGTCCTTACAAGTGAGCCAGACGCGTTCCGTCACAGTGACATGCCTTTTGAAAGACCATCATCTTGACTTGGAATGGCGCCGAAGAAGTCCTCAGCCAAAACAAAGCCCAAACCTACCACCGTTAGACTCGACTTTGCTCCTCCAGCCTCTAAGCGCATAGATCCTCTGACTGCTGTACGACCCTGAATTGCGACCACACTGATTGCTCATGTCCTAGTTTGCGGCCCCGAAACCCAAAGGAAAAGCCAAGGAGACTGAGGACGACCGGCTATGGGTGGAAATATACGAGCCAACGTCGCAAACCGAACTTGCAGTCCATCCGAAGAAAGTCGAGGACGTCAGACGGTGGCTTGAAGAGGCGTTCGTGGGAGGGCCGTCGGGAAAGCTACGCAAGTATCGTGTGCGTACGCTACCTAACGTGAAAAGGAAATTAACAGCACATTCAGCGTATTCTTGCTTTGACAGGCTTGGCTGGGGTAGGCAAGACAGCCACGATCCGAGTTTTGGCGAGAGAAATGAACTGCGAGGTGTTGGAGTGGCGCAATGCGATGGGCGACAATGCGTATACAGGCTTTCAAGGTAGTTCTCGAGGTGTTCCAATTGAGAATACTAATCTTGTCCAGATGACCACCAGACTCTGTTTTCGAAATTCGAAAACTTCCTTGAACGCGCTGCCACCTGCAACACGGTATTCGCTGGGCCTTCCTCCTCACAGACAAAGCGCCGCATAGTGTTACTGGAAGATTTGCCGAATCTCCTCCATGCAGACACCCGCACAAAATTTCATAACGCTTTCCAAGCCCTCGTCGCCTCGCCCGACCCCAATCCGGTCCCAGTGGTCCTTATAGTTAGCGACTCAGGAACTCGTGGCGAGGCTGCAGACGATCGGCTCTTGACTGGGCAAAGTAGAGAGCGTGACGATGCTATGGACATCTACACTATCTTACCCAGGGATCTATTGAATGGCCCATATGTTACTCAAATCGGGTTGGCTTTCTGTTCCTTCTAGCAAACACCGCTTATGATGAACAGCTTCAATCCCATTGCGCCTACAATCATGAAGAAAGCGCTTCAATCAATGATACACTCTCATTTTTCATCTCAAACCAGTAATGCTCCATCTAAAGAAATCCTCGACGTGATCATTGAGACATCCAATGGCGACATCCGAAGTGCAATAATGGCGTTGCAATTCTCGTGCATCGTCGAACTGCCTTCTGGTAAACGGAAAAAAGGGACCAAAGGAAACGCAAAAGTACTTCTGGAGGCTATAACCCGGCGAGAGCAAAGTCTCGTTTTGTTTCACTTATTGGGAAAGGTCTTTTATAACAAGCGTAAGTCCTTCTTAGTAGTTAACTGCATTTTTACTCATTGTATTCCAGGTAAGGGTGACCCACCGAACCCCAGTGCAACGGCGAAGGACGTTTTTAAAAGACAAAGAGTTGGATGCGGCGCTGCGGGACCCTCCCAAGTTACCACACCACTTGTCTGCACATGAACGACGAACTAGCCGTGTCAATGTCGACATGCTGTACGCAGACTCGCCAATCGACTCGTCTCTCTTCTCACTTTATATTCACCAAAACTATCACCAATATTGCAACGAGATGGAGGAGTGCGAAGGTGTTGCTGAGTGGCTTAGTTGGGTGGAATCAAGTGGCGGAGAAGCAGTGGGTGTCACTCCGTTTTGTGTTTCCGCACTCTCTCACATGACTTTTGCAGTGGTACCAGGCAAATCCGCACCAGTTCCATCTTCTTGCTCTCGGCACGCTGCATTCCCTTCCCTCGCCAGTTCCACGACGAAACCAAAAGTGTTTCAAGCCCCAGTTTTTCGACTATTTGACGAAAGAAAAAGACGCTTGGGATGCGGTGAGGGGAGGTACGCGGATGGATAATGGGTGATCCGAAGGACGAAGACCACCGCGTTGGGAGCTGGAGTCGGGCAGAGGTTGTTACGGAGCTTGGCGGGGTGCTGAAAGCGCGTGATACGAACCCAACAGCGTCAATGCGGGCCCCGCTGTCGCACCAACTGTTCTCAAGGTTAGATTTTGTGCCCGGTAGTGATGGGAGCGGGTTGAGCCAGCTTAGCGAAGCCGAAGTGCCTGGTGTTGTTGAGGGGCTAGTGGAAGACACAGATCATGTTGGTGGCTGGGAAACTGGCAATAAGAACGGAGGAGGATGGCTTGAGGATGATGAGATCGATGAATTTTGAGAATGGAGATTTACTTGTTTTAAAGGTTACGATTAATCTTATCATCCCTTTTGAACCCAAGAGTTTTGGTGTTCGTCTATGCGCTTGGAATTTTGAGCCAGGACAAGCACCGACTGATGTGACTGGGTGACGCGTGAATCTTTCTCTCAAACAAACGCGTCGAAAATGGCGATGCCAGTTATCTCGGCTGCCGACCTGGACGCCCGTAGGCGCTCCTAACCGCCGATTTACCTGACCTACTATTCTCTCTAGTGATCCCTCTGGACCCCGAAACACCCGACACACCTTCAACCTCAACCGCACCAACAACAACACCAATAGCAAGCGCGACGAGCAGCCAGTCAGCGGCAGCGTACAAGTCCGTTTAATCGTCACCACCACCTCGTTGACGCGACCTTAGCGTGGCGGCGGCCTACCAACAATACCAACAGTACCACCAGTATTATACCGCTTCATATGGGACCCAACTACCCGCCGCGACATCGCAGCCGCAGTCTATGGCACGACAAGCTATCACTAACGCGGCTGCAGCGGCCGGCTCGAGTGCGCTTGACACCTCAGATGTCGCGACACTGAATGATGCATTGGGGAGTGCGGGTGTCGATTTGCGGGTGCGTGCTTTATTACCCTGTTTTCAAGCCCTCTTTTAACACGCCAAACAAAAAGGCCGAGGAAGAAAGTCTGCAGCGCTCGCATGGCTACCAAAACTCGTACGCCAACACCGGATCGGAGGACCGCGCAAGGAAACAGTCGGCGCGACCGCATTTCGACGTGGCACATCTGTCCAGCAAGATGCGGACCATTGCAACACACCACAAGGTCGCTGGCACGGGCGTATCAGAGGACTGTGTGAATTATCTTGCTCTCGCTCTTCGCGCGCGACTGCAAGACTTGGTGACGGCGATGATCCATGCCGCAAAACATCGAACCAGCGCCAAGTTCGATAAGCCAGCGTCAGTATATGACGACGGGACGGCAGCCTGGGGTATTATGGTCCGAAGCGATGTGGCGAAACAACTGGCTGCATTGGAGATTGCAGATCGGGAGGAGGAGGAAAGGGAAAGAGAGTTACGGGAACGACGAGAGCAGGCAATCGACAAGGTTCTCACGGCAGCCCTACAAGGGGAAGACATCCCGCTAGAGATGCCAACAGAAGAGCAGGTCTGGCAAGAGCGCAAGCGGCGGAGGAAAACGCAAGAAATCCAACAAAAGATGACGAATCAGACTGCCAACAAGGCGGCTGGGGTGCCAACACGGATATGGATGACAACAGCGCACATAAACAAGGGCAAAGCGCCAGTAGCCGCCCCGACACCACCGCTACCTGAGCGGAAGTACCAAGCAGTCAGACCAGAGTCTGTCCCACAGCCGGATGGGAAAACGGTGGTGTCAATGCGAGACGCGATGTTTGTTATTTCGAGGGAACGAGGGCATGGAGGTGGGCGCGGAGCCGCATTGGGGTGGGCATGAGGATGTTAAATATTAAGTTGTAGGTTATACTTTTCACATCGCGGCCGCTTCGTTTTCCGTTGAATATTAAAAATCTACAGAAACTATGCTGTTTGGTCGAGATGCTCTTCTTGTGTGGTAATGGATTTAGAAATAACGCCGGCAGTTGGCTCTGAGAATTGAGCACACTCTCATGAACTTGCCGAATGAAACCTTTCCTCCATTTGGACATGCAACTACCCAGCAAATATTTAATCCAGACGTACTCAGGTTTGTAATGTTCGCCGCCTGCTGTACCGTCAACCGAGCGCGAAATGATTGATTGGCTTTGCACTTGACCTCGAAATGGATGTTAGATTCCAAGTTCAGCATCCTGGCGGATAATATGTAATCGGGTCACGGTTACGGTGAGACAAGCAACCTCTTTGCACCAAACTACTATGACTGCCCCTACCCCCACCCCCCTCCCCAAGAACTATGCTGCATATCTTTCCAGTAACCCGCTGCCGATCCCTCCACCGACCTTGGAGAAACCCGATCCTCCCGTTGAGCTTTGGTTGGAGGAAGCGAATGGTCGACGAACATCTGTGACCACCGATGCGGCTTATCAGGAATTGCATGGCCTTGTGTTGCTCGTCCTGCGTCAAATGGCCTACGGTTCAGCCTTGAGAGAAGCACACAACATTCTCGCACGCATTGCCGAGGACCTTGAGGTAATCGCAGCTCGCGGAACCGACGCCAGAATCACCTTCACGCAACTTTGCAAATACATCATCCAAACCCCGCCTTGTTTCATATTCAAAACACTGGAAGATGTTGACCGCACTATAAGCTGGGGCCAAGTAGACAAAGCTAGCAACACCAACGCTATATTTGTCAGCCTCGATCTTGTGGCGGCAATCCGAGACAATGTAATGCACGCATTTTCCCTATTCGGATACCTCTTTGTTGAAAGTTTTGCAGCCATTGGTCGCGCATGCTGCCAATAAACAAGAGTTGTGGCATCGCCTCTTCTTCGTTGTTACCATTTTTCACGAAATGATGCTTGCCAGCACGAAAAGGTTCTTCAAGTCTATGACTACGCCTTTTATGGGTCAGCTTGACAGCGATGGGAACGGGAATGGAGAAGCGAGGACAACCTTCGAATGGTGCTTTTTTGGGTTTCACACTCGAATGATCGTCAATAAGGAGAAGAATGAGAGGCAACAGCGTCTTTGGAACATGAAGCAAGCTGTAGCAAAATTCAGCGACACGACCTTTGGCCAAATCGGTTGGTCATATCACCCAACCCTTGTCTGTCCTGACTCCTACCTGTGCTCGCAGATCCAACGACGGCACAGAACATTGTCGCCTCGCTCGCAAACGAAAGGATCTGGTCACCTCACTCCAAATTGCTTGAAAAGCATGTCTTTAATCAAAACACTGAGGTCATGCACCGAGGCAGCCCTAGCACCTTCAATGAGGCGACAAGACGGTTAAGCGAGGACTATATCGTGGTAGGCATCCCCTGCAATCGAGGACTTCCAGCTTCGCAAAGAACTGTACCTGCCAGTGAGGGTCTGGGCATCCCAATGCCAGATGCGTATAAGGAGGCAACAGCAGCTACACAAATTGTAGGGTAGTGTTTCCATTTTTTTTTCTCTGCTCCCCGATTTTTTTTTTCAATAGTGCATTACTACATTACACACAGACACTAAAACTTATCCGTTTGCCCAACCTAGTTTCTATCGACCTCATCCTTAGAGTTAGATCGTGTAAGCTCGTGGGCTAGCAATGTAGTCGTCAAAATCTGTACCTGGACTCCATTCTCTGAACTTGTCCATCTCTGCGATGCGCTTCTCAATGTTCTCATATGCCCCTCCCATGTCATCGAACGCGTCTGGCCCAACTGCTGGTTGGTCAACATATCTATTCGTGCCCTGAGACTGGTGAAGGAAACAGAACAGGCGCCATAGACACTCATGAAGGTCCCCCCGCTCTTGCCATTTTCTTGTCGTGACCCTGTTTCCGATGATGGTTCCCTCGACTAGCCTTATTTTTATCCTTCCATGCCCGATCTCTGGCACTGCCGCCGCTGCCTCCATCCGCATTTCCGCCTCCCCTTCCCCGACCGCCTCCCCCTCTACCACGTCCACCGCGTCCTCTTGACCCACCACGTCCAACCAAAGTCGATGCACCACTTTCATTATGGACAATCGGTGTCTGGTTCCCCGCAAACTCGTGTTTCTGTAGAATCTTGTCCTTTCGCGGCTACGAGGGCGAATCAGTGAAAAGACTGGTATTCCGAATGACTGGCTCACATCCTTCTCCAACATGATCCGCCAGCCCTCGAGCTGCTCGTCTGCCCAGCCCGTCTTCTCCCTCAACTCAGTCCGCGCTTTGCTCCTGCGCGTTTGGGCATCGCGGTCAAACAAATGTGGGTCGCGGATATACGCCAGTTCGCAAATAGTCTCCGGTGACGGCTTTTCATCTTCGTGGTCGGAATCTTCACTTTGTTCGCCATCACCTAGCACCCGCACGCCATCCACATCATCTTCGAGGTAGGCAACTGCCTTGACTTTGGCCCCTTCTTCTCCCTCCGACTCCTCGTCAGATATTGCTTCCGCCCGCCGTAGAATGTCCGCCTTCATTTGCTCAATGAACGTCCTGTCTCGCAGGACGGTCGTCTCATCCCTATCACCATAATCAGACTCATCACTAAAGGTATGGCCAAAAGCTTACTGCGTCTTCTTCCCAATATGCACGTTACTCAAATCAAATTTCTCCTCGTTGAAGATATTTCTCCGCTCATTCACCGCCCGCGCAGCATCATGTATCCGCTCTTCGTCTGACAATGATATCGCTTCAAAACTGGGTGCAGTACCCTCCAGGAGAGCATCGATCACCTGACTCGGATTTGTGTACGGTGGAAGTTTTAGCAGTGCTTTGATATATGCTGGATCGTGTTCGGGGAGGATATCGAGCACTTGTGAGACGTGGAGGTCGATTTCGGGGTCTTCCGGTTCGACGGGAGCAGCCTTTGACTTTCCTTTGCCCTTGCCAAGATTATCGACTCCTACTGCAATGCCTGAGGAGCGTAAGAGGATTTTCAACGCCCCTGGTTTACGTTCTGTGTCATCAAAACTTCTGAGACTGGCTTCGAGCACATCAAGACGAGCGTCTTTCTCCTGGGCATTCTTCAACGCGGCGGCAAGCGTCTGTGCCAAATCGTAGCTTTGCTGGTAGTCGGCGAGCAGCGTGCGGTTGAAAAATGGGGTCGATGCTTGATTGTTCTCGGATGAAAGTAAGGCGAATATAATATCAAAAGTGCGGTCGGCTTCGATTGCGAGACTGGGACCTTTGGCGGATGCGAGATCAGAGAGAATGGTGCGGATAATGATGTGGAAGGCATCGATGAGGGAGACCTTGGTTTCGACAAAAAGACGTTCCCACTGAAGATCGTGTAAAAAAAGCTGTGTGGATGAGGGGAGAGAAGAATACCTCGTCCGCTTCTCTAGCGCCATCGAGCTCCAGTCCACCATAAGAACGGGAAATATCAGCCAGTCCAGCTTCGTATACTTTTGCCAACGCGACGATGAAATCTTTGTCCCGAGCGAAGACTCTTAAAGAATCCTCGGGGCAGACAGCAAGGAATGCCGCGACGCAGTAGCTCGTTTTGCGTAATGCATAGATGCCTTGAGATGTCGATAAAAGCTGCGTAAAAGCAGGCAGGAGGGCTGCTCTGACTTGGGATGGCTGCGTATGAGCAAGAATGGCGCGTATTTGAGTCGAATTCGTCTTCGCATAAACTATGGCCAAATCGACAAGTGCCTCCAGCTCCAACTGTTTCCCCAGCTTCCCGGCCAGCACGAGGACACGTTGGCGGATGGATTTATCGTCCTGTTTCGAGTCGCTGCCCCAAATGAGGCCTTCGAGTGTGGCTCGCGCATGGTCACGAGCGTAGATGGAGACGAATGCGATTGCGGCTGAGATGTCGAGTTTGGATTCGGGAAGGGAAGTTGACTGGGCTAGTGCAGAGGCTATGGAGGCCCGCGTTGAGGTTTTTTGTGAAGGCGAAAGGCTTTTCCATGCTGCAGGTGATGGGTAGGGAGGAAGACGGAACATCACAAACCGTCACAGAAATTTCTTGTCTTCGCCCACGATCTGTTCCGGTCGTACTTCCTGCTGAGTCAAGTTGGACAAAAGAAAAGGCCGGCATCGGCAAGAAGAATATGCTATAAAGCGCGTTGGGGAGTAGTTTCAACACATCCATCATGGCGACGACTCCTGTGTTTCTAATCACTGGGTGCTCCAGCGGTCTCGGGTACGAAATGTCTAGAGGTACGAGTTGCTTTCTGCTTTTCCCATTCATTGCTCTGACACTGCGACCAAGCCGCGCTTGACCGTGGATTCAGAGTGATCGCCACCGCAAGACGCGTCGAAACACTCCAAACATTGAAAGAGCAAGGCGCCACAATACTCTCGCTCGATGTTACTGCCCCCGTAGCGGATCTGGCAGCCTTCGCACAGACGGCATGGGAGATATAGTGCGCCTCCTTTTCTTGTCCGACTCAATGCTTTAACCAATTAACACAGCGGACAAGTTGATTATCTCGTTAACAACGCAGGGTATGTCCAAGGCGGCGCCATCGAAGAAAACACACCGGAAGAAACTCAGAAGCAGTTCAACACCAACGTCTTTGGCGTCCTCAACCTCACCAATGCATTTTTACCCTACCTCCGCAAACGACGGTCTGGAACTATCGTCAACATTAGCTCCATGGGCGGCTCATTAAGCCTCGTCGGGGCCGGCGTTTATTGTGCATCCAAAGCAGCCATTGACTCCTTCTCCGAAACGTGGAGCAAGGAGCTTGCAGATTTCAGCGTCAGGTGCATCTCCATCCAGGTTTGTCTGTGCGTTTTTTATGGCAAAGCCCGCTCATCGGTTATGTAGCCGGGCATGTTTCGAACACCCGTTTCCAACTCCACAAACTCCCAACGCGGGTCCCGCCATATCCCAGAATACATCGCCGCCAACGAGACAATGGTCGGCTACAACGCCCAAACTGGGACAGAACGCGGTGACCCGGCGAAAGGCGCGGCCCGAATCGTCGAGTTTGTCACGCAGACCAACGAAGATCTACCATTTCGCCTTGCGATTGGGCCCGACGCGTTTGATAACGTGCGGGGAGCATTTGAGAAGCGCATTGCTGAGATGGACAGGTTCAAAGAATGGAGTATGGGGACAGATTTTGAAGACTACGTGGCCGATCCTGCAGCTTACACGATCTGAATAATAGTCGATTACGTTCATTGCCAGAGAGCGTCACGACAATCCTTACAACCCTTCTGTTCATCTGAATCATCAAAATTCAGCCGCTGCCCTACACATTACTCGTTTCTAAATTTATTTGCAGACGAGCCGCGACTGCAGGTCTGGCCGAGAACTACATAGTCTGAATCCGGATCCTCCACTGGCGCCTCGTTCAATGAGCTTGAGCTCCCCCGGTGGCGGATCTGAGTGTCGTGATCAAAAAAGTGCCTCTCCAGTAACATACTCCGCGGCGCCCAGATGTGTTGATAAGCCAGCGAAGCAACGATGTTTTCCGTGGCGGTCCCGTCTGCGAGACAAGATTACAAATTATAGGCAAGGTTGAATATGACTGACCCTAGGTAATATAAAGTACAGCGCCATTCCATGCTAAGTATCCTTTGCCGAGTTGTGTTTGCGATCCTCTATTCCCATGCCGTTGGACCCCACGGCCAGAAAACAGGTACCGTCCTTCACAACATAAGCAGTGATCCAGTACTGCTGCCACACCGTCCGTGAAGCAGAGGCAATAGACTGACCTATTGAAGGACGCTCGAGGCTGATGCGAAACCGTTGGGAGAGAACGCGTATGTTGCCGGCATCGGGGTTGAGTTTGAAGGGGGAATGGCTTTCGACGCCGTCAGTACAGACACATAGTCAAACGACGAAAAACATATGGATGAAGTACTCCCGACTCGGCAAGCCAGTTGCGCGGCCAGGCTAGACCAAACTTGATAAGGAACCGGAAAGCAAAGCCTTTGACTTTTGTCAGTGAGCCAGTGTACAAAAAGGACAAGTAGCGGAACTGACTGGTAAACAGCGCAACCGGGCGCACGCTCCGTCGAAGGCCATCCGCGTGCTGAACCCCGAGAAAGACCGCGCTGGCCTCGCTGAAGTCCCACAACTCGAATGTTAGCAAAGTATCTGTGTATCAACAACGCGATACATTACCAGTAAAGCCATGGCCTGGCCTGGCCGAAAAGTCCGTGTCCTTTTTGTTTGCGTGGACATATCTGAATCAAAGGTAAGCTCGGTTTCAAGCATCAGGCGGCACTCACTGAAGCAAAGTGCTTCTGTCAGAGTTGTTCGTCAACTGAAGGGATAGCGCTACGAATGACAATAAGCAGGGCAAACGCCGCAAGGCAGCAGCGCTCACACCCGCCCGCTGTTGGCCCCAGTCTCTCCAGCCAGCTTCGGGAAACGGCGGTGATCCCGAGCGGTACAGCTTAAAACAAGGTCAGAGAGTGGTGATATGATAAGAAGAGACACAGTGCTTACTTTTCTCGGGCCAGGACACTGGTGGAGTTGTCGAGGAAAGCGGCTGGATGAACTAGCAGCAGCCGCAAACGTTGAGTCGCGCCAGAAAGCAAGCTGCGGGGGTCAATCGGAAAGATTCCGCGCTCGGCCCGAGTTTTCTTGATCAAGTACTCTTGCACTAGGCCTAGCGATGAGCAAGCGATGAGCCAGCGTCGGCGACCAGCGGGTGAAAACGCGTCAGAAAGCAAGCCGGGGCGGTTAGCAGGCAAGACGGCCATTTCGGCCCGAGTTGGCCAGTTCTTTCGGGCCCGTTGGCCCTAGCAGCGAGCCAGCGTCAGAAACCAGCCCGGGGCAACGCGTCAGGGCGAGCGGGCGGTCTCTCGAGCGTGTTGGAAGGAAAGAAGGTGAGCAACACAGCCTTTCGGCGTCGATCGACGGCACGTGCCCGTTGACAGCGGCCTTTTGCTCAGCTCAACCATCTCTCCCCGCCCGGACTCGAAACAGGTGTCTCGGAGGACGCTGCGCGCTGCCGCAAAGGCAGGGAAACGGGCCCCACTCAAACTCTGACTAAGTACTCGACACTCTTGGGTCAATCCCGCAACTCTGGCGCCAAACGAGCCCGGGCCGCCTTGCTAGCCGCCAGCCATAACCCAAGTTACACTGGTATCGGCTTTGTTTCCTGCTTCACTGCCGATCCCTCTGCGCCTGCGGCTATCTCGCCCTTCATCAGCGCTGAATAACAATGTCAGTCTCGCCAAATTGTCTCTAGCCGCGAAAAAATGCTTACCTTAACCAATAGAACACCCTCGTTCTTCGCCAACGTGCACGGGCGGAAGTTCACGCTTCTGTCAACAACCAGCGCGGGTTAGCGGCAAGAAAGCTCAGGCAACGATTCCCACGCACCACCTTTACCATCGTTCGCAACGGGCTCGACACTCCTTCGACAACGTCAATGCGATCTGTAAACCGACATGGGCTGCCAAGCGTAAGTCAGCTGTAATGGAAGAGTCGGCACAAGCCTGACTTACGCAGCGCCGAGACCAACCGCAATGCCCCTCCGACGGGCCCGCCTACTTGTATCGAGGTCACGGAGGTGACCCTGCAAAGGCATTTCGGCAAACGATCCATGAGCGGTCGCGCCCTTCCTGGCAGCAACGAGCACAGGTCAGCGGCAAGACGGTCAATCAATGACTTCAACGCACCTCAGATCCGACTTTGCCATCGGGATCGCCTCTTCTGACAACGACAACGCTCTCTGCAAGCCGGGACACAAGAAGACTGCGGCAGCACGAACGAGCGCAAGATGCCCAGACAAGCAAGACCTTTACCGCCCATCCCAAGGTCTCGCCGACGACACATATGGGCTGGAACAGGTCAGGCAATGTGTCCGGGCCGTAGCGATAACTCACCTGGCAAGTCTGGCCCTTTGGCTTCCGACCGCGCCAAAGTCAAGGTGAGCATATGAACTTGCGCGGCGATCAGATTTGAAGCGGTGGGCGCTATCCCTGCGCTAAAATCGCGTCAGAGATAACTGAACAATATCAGACTTACTGCAATGTCGGCTCCATATCCTGAGAAGCACGGCAACAACGGCTCACTGAAAGAGGTAAGAAACTGGATGGCGAACAACGAGCGGCAACTCACCTGCCGACAACGACAAGCCCGGCCCCGACTTAACAACTAATACCCATATATGACTCCCAATGGCGACGAGGACAACAGCGGGGCGAGGAGCACGACGACGATGACGACATTGTCGGCCGACTTGGAAGAGGAGGAAGTGGGAGAGAGGAAAAGGGAGAGAAGGGAATGATGGCAATGTCGGATTGGGGCTGGGTTTTATACCCAGTGCCCGTCGGCGCTCGATATAAGCGAGGTGCGGTGATCGCTCACCGGATACACGCATCGCTGACAGTTGGACCTGGACGATCTCGCCACTGAGGTAATAGCGTGGAACCCGGTTTTGTGGCATTTAGAGCGCTTTTCGGGCAAGTATGTAGCAATTAGCTTGTGTAGGTACATAAGGTATCATCCTATTGCATGTTCAGACAGGTTTCAGACCTGACCATACTCTGAAATAGACCAAAGTTTGAAAAGTAAAGTTTGGGAATTGGAAGTAAAATACGACATACTTGGACAGCGGAGCGCCCGGGTGACATCAGGGATGATGATGCCATAAGGTCCAGAGCGTTCTATGCTGAAATGGTGCGATTTTCCCGGTGAGAAACATGGAAGTTTGGGGTGATGAATGAAATTGCCGCAGAGTATGGGAATCTTTGGGGAATCGGAAGCGGCTACGTGGGAGGCATGTTTTGTCATGTGAAGCGCTGAAAATTTGGAGGGAATCGGCCCACTCCCTGGCTCAGAAACCCAGGAATCAGCAAAACAACGCACCTAGGCAATATCACATAGTTCAGGGGCTCCTTTGCTACGGATGAAAGTCTGGGCCGACAGGGCGCTTACGTAAGCGTCATTCCTGAAAATTTGAGCGAAATCGGAGCATTTTCAGCTATAGAACAGTGGTTGAATCGAGAATTTCCCTTTTTGGTCGCAGGCGTTAGCGTGCGATGAGGTCACGTGACCCGCTCACGGAGCCCGTGTTCTCCGACCTGTGTGCGCACATTATGAAACTTTTGACAGCTGGCCCGCTGTCATTGCTCAGGGATCACTGACTTTGATTCCTTCAATCAAGAATTGCTATAAGTAAGTCCTGGAACAAATTCCTTTTTTGTTTTCAAAGACAGTTCTGACTTTGATGTTTAGCTCTGATTGCTAAGTCTGGATAATTATTCAGAACTGGTTCTTAATATCTTTACATCTATATCCTTCTCATAGACTATCACTCCTTGATATAACTTGGGAGGTTGGAAAGAAAATCTGACATACCCAGGCCGTGGAGCGCCCGAGCTGCAAGCGAGTGACACAAGGTATGATTGTGCCGTCAGGCCCAGTGCTTCTTATGCTCAAATCCTGCAAGTTCCCCATTGAAAACAGGGGAATTCTGCAAGATAAATGAAATTGCCATGGGCTAGACCGCCCTCCGGGGGATCGGAGGCAGCCAGGTTGATGATACATGTGATTATATGCACGGCCCCAAGTCTGAAGATAATCAGCCGACTCCCTGGCTCAGAACTTCAGGAATTGGCCAACAACATACCTCAAAGATATGATATATTCACAGTTCTCTGTTGCTTCAAGGAACACTCTGGCCCGACAGGAGGCTTACGTAAGCACGTGATTATTGAGTTTCAGCCAAATCGGAGTAGTTCTAGCTATAGAACGTGCACTTCATCGTGAATTTCCATTTCCGGTCGTAAGTGGTAGTGTGCAGTAGAGTCACGTGACCGCTCGGCGAACGCCAGTTTTGACAGTTGAACTTTAGTTTTTGGGCTGAGTTATGCCCTGAGTGTAATCAAACATAGGAATCCAGCTCAATTTAGGACAACTTGATTTTTGCATCTAGTTTAGCACATTCTCAAACTTGAACACTTGGCAGAACTTGTGAGAAGTCAGCACATCTGTCAGAAGTGATACCTTGCACAATGGTCTACCAAGAGAAGCAGGAGAGCAGATATACTAGAGATTCAGAAACGTGAGAACTGACATTAGCATAGCCACCAATGTCAGATCAATGACGATTTGACAGGACATGTCAAAGCTTGCAGAGGGGACAGGGCACCATTGCCTGGGAGTGCACTCATGAAAATTTCAGGATCTGTTCTCTA